GACACGGTCTTCTGGCACCCAGTCAAATCCTTGAGATTCCCAAAAGAATGCCTTCGTGTTCCTAGAGGATCCTCTTGGCTCCTCCTCGCAACTTAATATACCCCTTTCACCTCTACGATAATTAGACAATCGTACTTGGCCCTATTTATATTTACATATACAATATATAGGTATAAAATATGATATATGTATATACACGCGAAAAACAACTACATCATAATGTATACTGTGATTAATTTTTGAGTTTCAGGAGTTTTCCAAAATTTAATTAAAGTTTTACGTGCTTATTACACGAAACAGGATACCTGAACCTGATACTATAAAGATGATGATCATCGCATGGATGCTGCTGTGATTGTACGAAGGTCTGACTGTAACAGACCATCCAATGTAATATGCATGTCCTTCCGATGCTGATATGAATATTAATGCCTTCTATGAATAGGGCGCAGAAAGATGGTTGAATTATGAGAAAAGACAAGATAGATTAACCGATGAAATATATCGATGCAAGGGTAGATAATTTCGTCGGAAGACTCGATAAAATACTTTCTTAAAATTTCACGTATTTTAAGATGGCAACAAACTCCAAAAGGACGTTCTTAATATCTATTTAATTCATGCGTCTACCTACTTTTTTACCGGTTCCTAATTTCATAATACTATGTTATTGACGTCATATATTTCCTTTCCACGGCTGAAAAACGATAATAAATGTAAAACGTTTAGGCGTCCTAGGCGAATCGATCCCATGAAAGATTCAATGGCGAGAACGATTAGTGGAACGGGACTGTCAGAATCGTGTGCCTCTATTCGTTCATCCGTATGTCTGTCTGCGTATCCGTTTGCCAGTCTGGTTGGTCGATGCCTTCACGAGAAGCAATAATAATGAAACCGATTACCGAGCAAGGATTCAATTTTGCTAGACGGGCCTCTAGCGAACGTTTCTTGTGGGTTGCCTGAGGTGAGTCTAGGGCTTCGCATTTGAGGCTCGTGAGCAGGTCGGAAGGTGGACGAGAGAGCTGAGAGGGCTGGTACATATTACTATCGGGAATGATAGAAACGAAGAGGGGTAGAAGGAAGCGTTACCGATGTTCTCACAATTTCTTTTGGTTCCCAGGTACCACCACCTCTGCTGGCATTGCTGCTGCCACCACCACCGCGATCACCACCACTATCGCCATCGACGCTTCTATTCCTACTGCCCCCACCATCCCCGTTAGCAGTTAGAACGGGGCCATTTATTAGGAGCTTTATTTGCGCAGACCGTCATTTTTCGATGGTAAATCATTCTCGATCCAGTGGCCCTGACTGAGACACCTGTCTCTGCCAAGAAAAAGGTAGGGAACACGGAGAACGAAAAAATAATAAAGGTTTCTCGTATCGTCGCTTTATTATTTTCATTGGATAAGTGATGCCGTAGTGCGTCGCTGGATCGCGGAATTCGGAAGTAGGTATTTTTGATCGTTCCTCCTTTAGAGAAATGAGAATATAAAGTGGAGCTACTGAATGCGGAATGCCCAAGAAGCAAGGACAATTTTTTTCGGTAAGAGGATAATGGCATGGCCGATATTAAAACTCTACGCAAATATCTTCTTTCCGCGGTAAGATGGAACTCTCAAGTGGCATAAATGTTATACAATCTCTCAACGCATTGTGAAAGAACGGGGTTAGGAGACCCACTTTTTCTTCGTCCATTAGTTCTGACTTTCTTCAAGTTGTTTCTTTTTTATTTGTTCCCTGCCAAAAAAAAGAAAAGAAAAAAAAACACTTCAAACTCCACTCCAGTGTCACCTCGCACTTTATTTTTATCTTATCTAACATATTAATTAGCACGACGTTAGAATAATATCGCGATACTTTAAAGGCGCGATGCTATGCTGAAAGGACTGGATGGACCCCTTTATAATGTAAGGGTAGGAAGTGTGTAGCAAGATAACGCTGTTCTCGAGTCCTCTTCTATTCTTTTATTCTCTTATTCTTATTGTCTCTTATTCTTCTCTGTCCTTAGGCATGTTAGGGGATCTTATCGAAACAGCAACAGCTCGCAATCCTGATTACGTCTGCGAGACGGGGAAATCCTCTTGAAATTTCTTTGCGTTGCCAGCAGATACCTAAGATAACGATACTGTTGGGAGTTTGAAAATATTACAAGGTACTTCGGAGCTGAGTAAATTTAAAGAAATTATAATAAAAACGAATTCTTAATACTGTATTATCCCTGTAACGCATATTACTTTGTGAATTCAATATTACAGAAATACATGGAATCTGTGTACTGTCTGAAAGTAGTTCATCCAAAGGGTGGTGTAATGATACTGTGCCATCACAGCTAGAGGTACTGATGCTCCTCAATTATTCAGGAAACTAAGTCTCAAACTAGAATGAACCATGTCATTTATTCCAACTAATTTTGTAAACTTATAAGTTTCTTATTCTTACCATTCTCATATACGGCATTTGCTACCACGTATACTTTAACTTGGAGTTTCTCTTTTGCTTCTTCCTCTTCCTATGTATTTTACAGGCATTCAACCTCTATCCTAGGGAAAATGCGTTATGCTATTATTGCCTAAGTATTCAGACAGTATAACTCTCCAACCAGCACACCTTGCACAAGAAATTTCTCCCTACCTCGTATAAAGAGAAAATATCTTTCTTTCCGGATTATAAAATTTGCAAAATATTTTTCATTCTGCTCGTTGAAAACTGATCGGTTTAACCAGACAAATCCGCTTCTGTACTTAAACTGATGTACTCTCGATACCATTGTATTTCAATGATTTACTTACTTTTCTTTCTTTTTTCCCCCTTAGCTTACTTTCATTTAATTAAGATTCTAACGATTGACATCTCATGCTTCCAGAATTCCGCCGGAATTATTCATGAAGAAATCGGACGTATATGAGGTATTCTTTTACAAATCGAACACTTTTTTCGACTGTAGAATTTAGATTCTCATGAAAATTTTTTTACAGCTTCTATTCAAGAAATAATGTGACACCTGTATCACGATTTTTGAGAGAAAATTTTTTTTTGATAGGTATATTTATTTTTAATTTTAATGATAATCGAAGAAATGATAATTACTCATGTATATAAAATTCATTATTTCTGGTTTTACTCATTCAATCGATTTCGTTTTTTTTTTAATTCCTTACCGTGTTATGTTAGCTCTTTAATGAATATGTAAATGATCTTCATTCTGTTATTTAAAAAAGTTATTAACAATTTTATTGTTTAAACAATTATTTTACATTTGCCCCCTCAATGAATAACATTTAAAAAAATACTATCGTGTGCAGTATGTTTTAATCTAAAAAACCCACACTTAAGAAATGTGGAGACTTTATTAGATCCGAAAATATTAAATATTTTCTAGTGCGCGGCGTGCGCGTCGCGCGTGGATCATAGCTTGACGTGCTAAAACGTCTCTGAGTAAAGAAAGAAACGAAATAATATTTAATATTTTCCAATCTACTAAAGTCTCCATTGTTTTTAAATGTGCGTTTATTAGATTGAGATATAGCACACACAACAGTATTTTTTGAAATATTATTCATTGAGGGGGCAAAGGTGAAAAAATTGTTTAAACAATGTAAGTGCTAATAAATATTTTAATTAAAAAAATAAAGGTCATGTAAATATTCAATAAAAATCTACCATAACAATGTGAACAATGAAAAAAAAGACGGAATCGATTGAGTAGGTTAAACCAGAGATATTGAATTTTGTATTTAGGAAAGTGTAGCATTTTCTCGAATTTTATTGAAATTTCTGTTTAATATAGTTAATTGAAAAAAATTTTTTCACCAAAATCCCGATATAGGTGTCGGCTAATTTGATGAGGAGATGTTATTAAAAAAAATTCAGAGCATTTAAAAATTCGAAAACTTTTTTTTTTACAAATCCGTACGATTTATAAAAGAATGCCTCATATACGACATGAAATTATATTGGAATACAATACTTTTACAAATGAGTGAAATTTGGCCAAAGGACAGATCTTGGGGTCGAACGAAATCCATTCTTTATGGGACATACGCAGACGTCCAGATGGCTGGGTTAATCGTCATTACGACTCTGGAATATTTTTCTATCCGTGACGCACGGGGAGGTGTATATGAGGTGACGAAGATTTTCAGTGCGACCACATCAAGCTTAATAATCATTCACAAGGCATGCAGAATCCTCTTAATCCTACATTGACGCTTTATCCCGAATAAATTTATTCGTCAACCATCTTTCGCGATTTAAGGATACGGTACAATATAATAATATATGGCTGCATACAATTCCTACAGGGTCTTCATTTTATGTGGAATCGGAAAATCCTTACAGAAATCTATTTTTCCGTGCGTGAAATGTGGATCTCTACCTCTCTCGAATCTGCCTCCTCAGATCCCAAAAAATATTACGGAAAACAGCCCGCTTCTACAAATATATATTTATGCTCTATGCAATAGCGCCGACCATCACTGTCATTTGTTTTTCATTATCACCGATGCAGTATCTCATCGAGCAACGAGCTATGAATGTATCCGAGAAAAATATAAATTATACGTTCCCGTACGGGGCTCAGGTAATATTTCGTTTCGTATGTTGCGCACCATTGACAAAAGTTTTATTCATATTTCATTTAATAATTCTCACTTTTCTTCTTCAGTTCCCCTGGATAAACATGAACGACTCGTTAAATTACTCTTTGTGTTATTTCGCTTCGAGCGGGGTCAGTGTTGCAGTTGTACTGTACGAAATGAGTGTTGACAGCTTTTACATGCTCTACATAAGCCAGATTTGCGAACAGTTCAAGCTGTTGGATCGCAAGCTCAAGGAGCTCGTTTTCTTCGGTTCCTTTGATGAAAACGTCAATCGGAGGTCGAGACTTTGCGACTGCATTGAAAAGCACCTCAAACTCATACGGTAGTAATTCCAATTTCAATGAATAACAAATGACAACGACTAGTACGGTATAACACTTGAATTACATAATAGGTATAATTGTCTTTAAAAGTTTGTCTCTATTTGTTTCTAGAATGTGTGAGTCGATGAAAAAACTTTACTCTCTGATAATCCTAATATTCTGCGCATTCACGACATTCTCCCTGTGCACGGTGATATCTCAGATAGTGATAGTGAGTTCAATTAATTAAAATATTACAAATCAATGGTGCTTCAAGTAACAATGTTTATCTATGCTGGATTATCTGGTTTTAAATTTACAAAGGCAACCGAACACAGTCGATACGACTTTCGTTCGACAATCATCCGCCGGCTTGAGAAGTTTCTTGTCCTAGGACACACCACTCCTCTGTAGTTATCTCTCTGAACTGTTAATTAAGCCTTCTATCTATTTTTGTTTCATCCATTTTCTCCTTCTCTTTATCAAACGATCTGCAGCAAGCAGAATACAGTACGTAAATCCTATCATCTACAAGACCTAGCTAATTAAGCCTCCTGCTAAAATGCTGTAAGACATTCTTCCTCAAAAATCCATAGTACTGTCACTGCTCAAAGCTGCTCTTGACAATAAGAATATTGGAGATCGACGAATAAACGTATTCCTTGAAATTCAAATAAGATTAAAATAACAGAACAAACAAAAATCGTGAGTATCGTGAATCTACAGTATCAAAAAATGCTTCGAAGGGAATCAAGCTAAGTGTAATCCATGATTTTATTTCAGATGAATATCAAGAGCAATCCCGTCCTCCATACTTCGTATCTCATATTTGAGTGCAGTGAAATCTTTATGTTCTGCTGATTTGGACAGCAAATGACCGACCAAGTGAGAATACCGAATTATTATTCGATTCAATTTTCACGAGGCGTCTAAGAAATTTCTTTCAAGGCCAGATTCATCTCGGATGCCGTTTACCATAGCCAATGGTACGATGCCAGTCAACGGGAGAAACAATCATTGCGATTGACAATGCGACGAGCGCAGAGGCCTTTGTCTGTTACAGCTTCTGGATTTGCCGTTGTTTCCCTTGAATTGTGTACTACAGTGAGTAAACAAGTACGAGGAGAAAATACAAGTAAATTTCTACGTGTTTCCTCTACTTCCAGATATTCAGTACTTCTCTTTCGTACTTTACGCTTTTACGCAAAGTATACTACAGGTAGAGATTACTGCATGATATAGTATGTGCTACGCTATACTGTATCGTATTACTAAACTTTGTAGTAACTGTGCACCGCAGTAACGTGAGTTACCATTACTTCGCATACGATATACTATAAGTAAGTAGGTATGGGACGCTGCTTAGAAATAAAGAGTGTTGCAATAAATAAAGGATTATTACGAGTGCAAACTTTATTAAACAATTTTTTTTCTTTTGCACTTCACTGCTGCTACAAATAATAACAATATTAATGCGGTGTCCGTTAAAAGCAAGCGGTCATCGTAAACAGATTGCGTATCTGGAGTATCAAGATCTGGAATACAAGCGTGGAGTCTATGCCGCGGAACAGCTCGTGGGCAGGGACATCCTAACACTCTTGTTGTGTGATTTCTGGCTGAAGTCAGGATTGGCTCCCATCTTAATACGTTTGACAATGCTCCTGGCGTGCTCGTTGTCACTGACGCAATGCATCTGAACGGTCTTCTCGTGTTGCGTGTTAGGCTTACAAGAGGATGAGCACGTTGGCATCGGTTTCAGGGAGAAGCAGATTTCTCCGTTTTCTTGGGTGATCTTAGTCTGGAAGATGGTGCAGCTGCTCTGGCTCTTGTTCTTCTTCTCGGATCGGACGTGATTCTTCTTCCAGAGGTTGTTCTGTTTGGAAGGACGACCTGCCTCGCGGTTGCTGACCACATTTCCGTACTGAACGTCCTGTTTGTAACATTCAGCCTGGTTTGCTTTGCGTGCGTTCTCCTTTGCGGGTCCCTGGCACTCGTTTTGGGTGATGGCATATGTAGCTGCAAACTGGGATGGATTCTTCAGGATGCAGTTCTTGGGAGTCGTGAAGTCGGTCTGAGGTTCCCCGGTGAAAGTACCGCAGAGACCACGTACGTCGTCTTTGTATTCATGGCCCAAGGACAGTTTGGCTCTGGAACCGTCGTACTGGAGTTTGTAGGAGCTCCTGCCAGCTGATTCAATCGTTAGACTCTTGTCAGAACGCAGGTACACTTCAAACTGTATTTCATCCTCATTCTCGTGCCTGTAGATCTCGTTCTGGGAAAGGTTTATTTCACGTCCATTGATTTTCACATTAGGAGAACTGCTACCGGGTGTCATAAGAACGACAGTATCGTCCACCACCATTTGACATTCCTTCTGCTTCTTATTGTCGCTAACGTCACGGCAGACTACGCTCACATCTTCGGACCTGTCATTGTCATTGTCATTGTCATTGTCATTGTCATTGTCGTCGTCGTCGTTGTCGACGGTCACTGCTACAACGTGCCAGCAATTTCCCAACTCAATGGGATACGTCTTGTTGTCGAAGGTCGTAACCATATTCTCATCCAGAGAACAAGTAGCTGTCAAAGAGAAGAAATTAGGACGTTAATTAAATCTTCCCATTAATCTAATGCTTATTAATTCTTCGATTTACTAGAAATACTCACGATTCCACTGGCCAGCAAGAGCTTTTCTTCCAAAACGATCAGCAACGGTCCTATCGGGTTCCGTAACGATGATTGACCTGGTCCAAGAGTTTACAGGGACATTAGTAACATTAGCATCCATGTTTGGTGCATTTACGCTGACATTCAGACGCTTCAAATCCGGTGAAAACTCAAATTCTACGTCGATCTTTCCATCCTTTTGATCTTGAGGATCGATCATGTTCTCATAGGCATAGTTGTAACCAAGATATCTGGCAATACCGTAAGCTTGCCAGGTCATGTTCTTGACTGCGTTGGGAATGTTATTGAATTCGACGGATAACCAGCCCTTGTCAAGGCTGTGGGCACGATGGGTCATGTTACGACAGGCCGGAAGTATGTTGTTGCCTTCCTCCATCTGCTTCTCGCACTCTTTGGCCAATGGTCTGTTCTGCAGGTACTGTCTGCGTTCATTGCTCTGCTTCAGTTTACCCTGGATGTTAATGTGGGCGCCAGATTTGCAGCTCTCGCCAAACTTCAATTCCACTTGGTATTTACTGGTAGGATCAGCTTTAAGAGCCTTAGCGAAGTTCATACTGGGAACGTCTGGATTCTGAGCCTCGGCTTCCACGCAGACCTCAAAGTTCTTCTGTTGTGCAGGATTCTGGTGATAGTAGAACAGTGCTCTGCTTATATCATCGACTGGACTGCTAGCCCAGGCAACGGTGGCTGCGTACTGTGCGCTGTCCTCTCCTTGGAATTCTGCACCGATGTCCATGACTGAAGCGGAAGCGTCCTTAATGCCTTCAATAGCTAAATTTAGGAACTCAGCCTGACGAGAGTTGCTGTCAGGTTCGTTTGAGGTTGGTTCTGGCGCATTAGCGTTAAGGCCTTCCTCCTGGCTACGATCACCGCGTCTACCTGAAGGATGTCTGTACGAAGATGACCGGTCTCCACCCATGCCTTTGGTGGCGTTCGAATAGGATGCAGTAAGTACCAAAACATTATTTTTAGATTGTCTGGAGTCATAGATCATATTGTAGATGTTATGTTGAATCGTTTCCTGGGACATTGGGAACACTGCTGGTGAAATAGCATCATGAGGCTGCATCATCTGTGCCAACCATGCGAAAGGTAACTGATTCACATCATTGTCGAATTTCGACTGAATCCTGAATGCCATTCCTGTAGACAACTTTCCCATTGTGAACTCATTCTCATGTAGGTTTTCAGATATGATCCTGCGTGCATTCGTGCCTTGGGCAATTGGTTTCAGATCTAGGATGTTGTCAACTGCAGTGTAGGGCCAGGTACTGTAGTGGAATAGATTGTAATCCTTATTGTTTTGCATTGGCTGAAGTTTTACTCGCACGTGAGCATTTTCCAAGTCCAAGTCGACCTTAGCCTTGATTGGCAGATTCACTTGCAGGTTCTTATCGACACCAGCGACGTGATAGACACGATCTTGTGGATTAACGAATCCAATCTGTGCCTGCATCTTTGTTGAGTAGACAAAACGAACCTCGGCGCTAGCGTTTATGGTACGAGGAATATTGATTTGATTACCAGAACTTAATTCTGGATAAGTTTTTGCCTTTGCTTCGCCACCGACCTGAAGCAGCGATGGTGTCCTCAGGACGTAGACAAAAGGTAATCCCGCTGCAGTGGGGAAGCTAACAGTAACTTCTACTCCGCTGTACAATTTAGTGTAGTTGAAGTTCTGTCCTTGCTTCCAAGCTGCTGCTGCTTTCTTTGCCATTTTTGGTAACTGTTCGATAGTCTGATTGTCAAAGGCCACGAATCTGTTCGATTGCAGCATGCTGATGAGAACGTTGCCTTCCAGCTCGCCATTATTGTCGGTCTGGATCTTCAAAGTCTCGGCAATCCATGCTGGACTGAATTTCGTCGATTTTCCTTTGCCTTGTTCGCGTCTCGAGTTATTGTCGTCATCGTCATCGTCGAACTGATCAGAGAGAACGTCCAAGAGATCATCTACACTGGATACCATAGCACCAAACTCTAGAGCTGGCATTTCAAAGCCACCCTTGTTGCGATTCAGACTAGCAAACAAAGCCTGGGGTACAATACTGTCTTCGCTGCCAATGTAACTAACAGCCATCTTGTATGCCAAATTCATTTCCTGGATGGCGTAATCACGAAGGTATTTCTTCGAGTATTGCATTCCGAAGGTCTTTGGGTTAAGAAGATCTTTAGCTGCTCTTGCATTGTGAGCCCTGAAATAAATTTACAGTAAGACAATGGTAGATCCAAGATACACCTAAAATAGATCAAAATCAAGTAGCCATGTAAAATTATTTATAATTCTGATTACTTACAGTTCAGTTTGGCTGTAAGTTTCCAATTCGGCAGCGGATTCAATGGCAGATTTGACAGCAGCATTGACTTGGTCACACGTGTCATCATTGGTGAATTCCGCCATCCTTTGCAGCATACTTGCTGGGGGGTTAGTCCTCATAAGCTGGAAGACAGCTGCAGAACGTACTTGATGAGTCTCTCCGGTATTCTGATAAATCTTGTAGAGTACGGAACGGGCCACCTTCGGGTAGAGCTTGGCAAGTTTATCCATGGAAACGACCATCATCATTCTCTGGAAATCGGAAACTGGGTGCTCTCCTTCGAGGTAAGGTTCCAGAACCGCGAGCATCTGAGGGTGTCCCATATTGCCAAGAGCACGAATATAAGTCTGGATCTTAGGACTGTCGGCTTGCTCAATGGCGTTCTTCAGTTGCTTGGCGATATACGGTATCCATTCCTTAGTCACGGCTTGATTATTTTTTGGTGACAATCTGCCAAAGCTGTCAACGGGATAGTGACTCTCAGCGGTATTGTTATTGATTTGAGCCTTGCGTACAAGGTTAGTAAATGCCAAAATTGCTGTGGTATTCAAGTATGCCTGTTTGGTGACTTCTGGCTTTGTTGCGATTGAAAAGAAAGCCTTCAAGTATTCTGCAGTGGGGTGTCTAGCTGTGCTGGGAAGAACTGCTAGGAGTTCGGCAGCTTCCTCACCCTGGACCTTCTTGCTTGCTATCCAGGATTTTATGTTCACCAGAGCTGGACCTGTTCCAGCTTGAGCTACTGCATCTCTGAATGCAATCCAGGATGAAGCCTTTGCAGATTGACTTGAGCTGCTGCTGGAGCTCTGAGACACGGGTGCGTAAAGTGCCTGTGCAGCCTGTTCGATTTCTTTAGCGTTCATTGTCCTGATCAGCGAAGCCAACATAGAGAACTTGTCCAGAGTTAGCTCCTTAGGGATGGCACTTGGTTTCTGAAGTTCCTGGCCAATTTGTGCAGCTATTTTCTGCGAGGCTTGGACTGGATTTTTTTCATTTGACTGCCATATGGAACTGCCACGGTTGCCGATGAACATGGGAAGCAAGGGGTTCTCAGGAGCATCTTCTAAAGTTGGGCTTGGTTGGTGATAGTCTTCTTCGCTACTCGAGCTGCTTGAGCTACTGCTAGAACTGGAGTCGGCGTTGTGTTTACTGCGGTCATTGGCAGATCTGGGTTTTCTACCATGAGAATGAGTCTGCTCCTCGGAGGAGGAAGAAGAGGAAGAGGACGAAGAAGATGAGCTTGAGGAACTTGAACTGGAACTATCTTCGTGCGGACGTCTTTCGCGGTTACTTTCAAAAGGGTTGTTGTATCCATAAACCAAGTTACCAGTGCGTTCAGGATTCGACAAGGATGGTGGACTTCCGGAAGCTGGTGAAACGGATTCCAAGGTAATGTTTGTCAAGCTCACAACCATTCCTTTCTGACTCTCCTGGAGAGAAGGGCTGACGATAATCTTGTTGGTGGTTACAGATGACTGGATCGTGAATTGCTTTAGACTACCAGAAATAACAGCACGAGTCATGGATGATCTCTGAAATACGAAGCAACATAATAAATATACGATCCGAGCATTGTGGTAATATCCATAATTAAGTATCAATCAACCTACAGATAGGAAACGGCCCATGTCATTGGAGCCAGGTTCCATGTCGGATTCTCCAGTTATACCAAAATGGTATCCCATCTTTTGATGACAGTGACTGAAATTGGTGGCCTTAACGACGTCATAAAAGGTTCCGTCGCCCTTCAATTTTGGCAGTGGAGCCAGTTCTGGTGCGTCCTGAAGTACGTATTCGGGTAGTGGACTGATATCATATAACATCTCACATTTTCCAGTAACAGTGTCTTCCATTGTCTTGAAGACTGCGGTTTGTTGGCCTTCTTCAGGTTCCTGGTTGAACTTGGATTTCACGGCGTTCTCTCCCTGAATGTCAATCTGAAGCAAACTGACTATGGCTTTCACAGCATTAATTTCCCAGGTGGGTAGAGACTTTTCGACAATGAGATCATCAATGACTCCATTCTTGAATTTAATCTCAAATGGTTTGTCGCTCATTGAACTTCTCTCGTAGTTCAATTCCTTTTGAGGAATCGGCGAATCCCATCCACCAGGAAGCTTTGCGTGAATCTTTGCAACCTGGGCGTTCTGAACGCGACAGGTTAACGTGTCCTGATTCTTCAATTGACATTTCAATTGAGACTTGGCGTCCAATCCCGAGTACTGATCCGCAACCTGGTGCAAGCCAGCGAGTACTCTTGTACTCGTGCGGTACGTGTACTCGGTACCACTCTTGAATGCATTCTGATTGGCGATAGAAACTCCCGCTGCAATAATATTGCCAAGTATTTTTCTTTATACCCATTTTCATGGAACGACGCTTTATTTATAATAATACCTTATATGTAAGATTTTAAGTAGTTCTTACCGAGACAGAAGAGCAGTAGAAATGAGGTCCACATTGTTCCTGACATCTTGGCAGAGTGTAGATCATAGCTCCTTCAGAGCCTTTATATATTTCAAGCTTCCGTAGCATCTGTCTATTCAGCTTTGACCTATGCTCCCCGATACATTGCATCTTATATTTGCTACAATGTACCAATGTATAACGATATCAATAAACACGTGGAGATTTTTACAGAGTAAATCACTTGCCATGATAACGTTCCAGGTCATCTCTGCGGATTCATCTGACGATCGCGGCACACTTCCTGTCCAATTTTTCAGGCACCCCGATATCCTCATTTATCACATCGTGGGTTCAAGGTTATTTCAAAAGCTTAACCCGGGAATGGTCGCGCGATTTTGTTTCCCATTTGAAAAGCATTGACTCGGGGTACCTCAGATACCTCAGGTACTCACGGGTTAATGACGTTCAGTCATCTAGGTAAAAAAAATCTTTTCGCACCACTTGACTCTTTTTTTTTATTTTGCCTTTTCTTTGCAAAAACGTAACGTATCAATGATCATCAATCAGTGGCCAAAAGTGAAGTCACTTTTTCCAATATTAACGCGCAGATCAATAGCCAACTAGAGATTCGCCGATTTATCCAAAAGTCGTTAATCATCCATGTTACGGTGAGTACTTTCACAAAGGCCAGAACCGACGCCTGGCGTCACAACGGACCTCATGACGCTGTACGCGAACCGCGTCTAAACCGTTTAAATCCTATGCAAAGTTTGACGTAACGAGACGACGTCATTCACGGCAATTTTCCCGAAGATGACTGAGCACCTAGCAGGCTGGTAAACACGTCATCGATCGCCATACGAAAATCCATAATAGTTTAATTCAGCAAACTATTCCAAGGTCTTCCACCTTGGTTATTCTATTTATTCTTCTAGTATATATATATGCATGCTTATTGTTCTGACTCCAGGCCTTTCATTTATTCCTACCTGACATTAGTCATGCAAAATAATGTCGTAAGATTTTCGCAGACTATTCTCTTGATACCGGTTTTAGGAAAATTGCTCAACGGGTTTTGAAGATGAACCTTGGAAGCTTCTAGAACGCTGATCATTGGAATTTGCGGGATGTAACTTATGAAGATTCCATGGAATTTTAACGGTTTACTAAATAAAGATTATGATGAAGATGACGACGGGGCCATTCCCAAGCTGCAGATTAATTCAAAATAATTGCTCATTAGGGTACCGTGACCTAATACTGATCAAAGTATCTTCCAACCAAATGGCTGGGTGTTCTAAGAGATAAAAACATACCCCATTGTTCAATTTACCTTTGCGTTTAATTTATCTTATCAACCTATTGTTACACGCTTCAATAATTCCATGAGATGGTACCTTGATGATTTTTCTTTGAACGATGATTCTTAGTCATCGATTTTTCTTTTTCTTCATAATACCTTGACCATCCCATATTTATATTATTTGTATCATTGACAATGCAGGAAAATTATTCCTTTTTTTTTCGTTACACTGAATTCTAAAGTACGTATTTATTTAAATTTGACACTGTGACTCAAACATTAAAATAATTCATTTATTCGAAGCGGGAAAAAAATAAATAAAGGGTAGCGCAAACCACGTACATTTATCGCTTGTGTCGACTCTTGCACAAGCTCTTCTTTTTCCTGATACAATACAGCAACTGTCGCCGAAACTTGCAAAACAATCCTTGAGAGAAAAAAAATGAAGATTGAAGACCTACTAAAGTTATACAAGAATCCTTCATCTAACGTTATGCTCTCATATTGACCTGGATATTAAAGATAAGTATTGGCTTAAATAGAAAAAAAATTCTACTCTGCTCGTGTATCAATGATTATTGTGCAATATACTATCGGGATAAAAAGTGCATTCAGTTTCAGAACGTCATTTCCTACTGCGGAATACGATAAGGCGACAGGATGTTTACGACATTCTTGACCAAAAGCAATGCCAGGACACGTGCTGAAATGAAGAAAGTACCAAGCATTGGTATCGGAGCAAAGTTGAATTACATTGGAGTGAATTTCAAGATTTAAAAATGTCTCTATCTATATCCAAAGTGCAAAGTGTCAACAAGTGTGAAGATAAGAGAATGCGTCTATCGCATGGATTTCCGTTTAACTCTGATGCCATTCAGATCATTCGCGATCGTAGAATAGTTCGGGTCAATGCTGCCTAAAGAGAATAGAGTATGATTGCACAAAATGATAGGGAATCAATAAGATAATAATCATAGTTAAGGTGGCACTGTGATTTGGTTCAAAAAATAAATTAGTGAAAATTTAAGATAACCTCAGCATTTAAGTACAAAATTATTACATTCTACCGTACGAAAATCGAGATATTTAATTTCAAGTTTATTCTTTTTTGTAGGTCTAGTATTATGCTAAAGTATTAAAATTGACACTTATTGTTAGATTTTTTATATATCAGAAACTATACGAAAAATTACGTTCGAAGTTTACATACACGAATATTTAGTTATTTTCTAATATATAAAAAAAAGTTCGGAATTTTATCCTTGATTGAGTGGCATCGTCGAACCTCCTTAAATAATCAAATAAAGGATACGCTACACAACATGTGAATCATTTTTTTCCGCAATACCACAACCATACGTATAAACATTGTGGTTAATAGGCCTGGTTTCTCTTAGTGTTTACTTCATTTTTTTCTTTTTATTTTTATCAAGAATTTTTATAATGACAATTTTACTGAAAAGGTTAAAACAATATACTTATATTTATTTACGATTATTACGTTATACATAAATAATATTAAAATATGCGATTATCTACTAATTTAACTACGGTAGTAAAAATTTGAAAAACTAATAAAATTTTTAAGATAATGAAAATACCAAATCTTTAAGTTAGTGGTACGTTGTTTGGGGCTAAAGAGGAAGCAGGAATATCTAATTATAATTATATTCAATTTGCATAAGTGTAATTATACACATGTATAACCTCTAATTTAATGGCATTATTATTTTCATAATCCATTACATTTTTTCAGGGGTTTTTTAAACAGTCATCAATTTCAGAGCAACGTTTATATTGTGCTATAGCCTCGTTCCAATATGTGGAGCTGCCTCTGTACCCGCATATGAAAGTAATGATGTAACTGGAAATTACAGAATAAGCGCGTGCTCGAAATACTCATGAGAAATTAAAAAGAATTCATGGAAGTCGTCATCGTGAATCTAACCGTGAGTAGAAGAATGAATTGGAGAGTATTATCGCAAATTGTAAAGTCCCTATTCCGACGTAAAACACGCCTCAGTCTTTGTGAGTGGGGAGAACGCCGATTTAAATAGACAGGAATCTCTCATGGTACAAGCACAACAAGTTGAACCGGTGATACGAGTGGATCCGATATAATCCATAGTACATTTTCCTGTCCTTGAATATCATCAAGTGTAAAAAGAAAGAAAAAAAAGAAAAAACTAATTACACAATCAATCATGGTAATTAAGCTGTTTTCAATATAAAAATTATTGGTGAAGTTTTACATTGGAGTCGAGTCGATAAGTGAAATACGTACGTTGTATATCTATAGATTCATAAACTATAGGTATACAAACCATGTATTTCAACTCTCGTTAGACTTGGACGAAAACGTAGCCGTTAACAGTTTTCTTTTAGAATATTTATTTTGTTTGTTGATATAATGCCCTTTTTTCTCGCAGATGAGGTATCTCTTTGTTCTGGCAATGATTGTTTTTCTGGGAGAGGCCCAGAGATCTCCATACGCTGGTACTCCTGATCGCTATCCCGTTGTACTGCCACAATATATTAAAGAGCGTCAAGATGCTGCCGTCGCTTCTGGTATATCTTTGGGCAGTCGTCTTGGCAACAATGCATCTACGAGCACGACGTCGACGACGACGACTGTTCCACCAAATCTACCAGTGGATGCTCGTGGGGATGTGGATCTAGTAAACAGGATCAAAACGTGGCCCAGGGAAAAGCAACCTTTTTGGTATTTGAACTGGCAACAGATACAAGAGCATCGAGGTGGAAATCCTGCGGATAAAGTGCAGACTCAAGTGAATTCACGATCGTTCTTTGCTGCTAATAGAAGTCTCTAAAATCAAATATCGTCTGGCATGAAGTATTTTTGCGAGAAAAAGAATGAGACTCGTTAAACCGTCGCTGCTCGGATTGAAAATCGCTTCAAGGCGAATGCCACTGTGTATTGAGAATAATACTATTCTGCAGACGTGGCATTTTAATACAGTTATCGTAGCGGCGTTTCTAGTTTTTCTTTTTCACCTGAAACAAGCAATATTTGGTGACACGCCGTTGACCTTTCTTATGTGACAGCATGCGTGCCGATACCGTTATGCATTAATTTTCGAAAGATTATGTTTAATTAGTATAACGACTCTTCTTAATCATTTGATCATATATTATTGAGACTAATTAATTCAGTATTATCAATGATTGAAAACGTAAACAAACTGGACATCTTATGGTATATGATGTCACGAGATCCTGGGGGGTCACGGACACCTAGAAATGTACTTTACCCATTGAAAAGCTATATATAGATATGTTACATATTTGAATCTCAAGGCACGGAATACACTGGAATGTCTAGTCTTTATTCAATCGAACATTATAGTATTATTACTTGGATAATGAATTGTAATTTATCCAAAGAGAATTCTACCTGTCGACAGTCAATAAATAAATCTCAGTCGGTATCACTTTTCTGTGTATTTCTAATTTATCGTCTCATTTTATCACAACGAAATTGATGTTACCCTTTGAAAAAAATGTTTGCTACATAATTTCCAAGTATTCTGAACAATGTCACTAGTATAGCAACGTTCATCAATAGTGTTCATATCCTTGATGTCAGATACGCAAATTTCTACGCTTTTAAGAAAGAGAGATGATTCAGAGAACTTTTAGTGTCTACACAATCTCATCCTGACTTTCCCAATTTATATTGTTTCCAACAGTCCTGTTTCTTCGACATATTTTTTAAGCAAATAAAAAGCTCATAATAAAGCTTCAGTCGCCATATTATATTGTTTGTCATCCAATAGAAATCGAAGGGAATGGAAGTGAAGTCTTGTGTGCACCTTTTCCATTCGAGATTAGCCTATATATTCAGTGTCTATATGTGTACATACATATATGTAGATGCACATAGAGACAAGCCCTGTACGCAAGCGGGTAAGATTTCATTGAATCCATTGGCGACAGGGAGAGAAAGACTGGGATTCGTAAGGATAGAAAGGAAGGAAGAAGAGAGATACATAAAGAGAGAGAGAGAGAGAGAGAGAGAGAGAGAGAGAGAGAGAGAGAGAGAAAGAAAGGAAGTCAAGTTGAAAAGGAAGGGAGGGGTGGAGCATTAGAAAGATGTTCGAATGCCAGGATGCTGAATAAGAGGATTCGTGCACTAGGGCGGTACCGTCGTCGCTGCTAAACATTGTAAAAAACGTGCTAAGCATGAGCCAGGGCGTCCGTACGTGAGCGTCGGTTTAATATCCTCGTGGCCCAAGGGAAAAAAAGACGCCAGCCGCGTTCTAGGACGCATCACCACGCACCATTCGTTCACGAGCGAGCGCCCTGGCAATGTCGGGAAGTGACAGCCCAACGTTCTTCCACGGACAGCCCTGGTCCAGCTGGATCGAACGCATTGGACGGGATAAGCCCTTGAGTAAGTCGCGAACACTTATCAATGTTCGAAATATCCGGGAGACTTGCCCTTCGTTTCTTATGCCTTTAGCTTAGATGTGGATGAGCGACAACCTCGATGCACATAACCTACCTAATGCCAAATTATTCTTTGTTATATGTAAAAAAAGAGACAGACAGCTAAGGAATACGTCCAACTCTTATAGGATCCATGAATGATATTTTTTTTTAATTATGCACATGAAACTCTTGTTTCTTCTTGTGCTTTCTTCTACGTGCTTATAGAAATATTTAAAAATATTTTTTATATTTGTAAGATTTTTGTCTTAATAATAAAACTGTACAAATTCATTTTGGTTTAGTGCGTTGTGCTTTATTTATTTTACCATGTATACGAAGAGGTATATAACTACTGCGATTACTTTTTGCCTGGATAACAATCTTCCACATACATAAATTGTTTTGCATATTTTTAAGGGATCTTTAATTTGGTTCGTTACAACTTTTATAGGTGATGATGAACCCGAAGGTGAACCTTCCAGCTCTGTCACACGTCTGTCCTCTGATGGTACAGATTCCATTTATTAAATAATCTAAAGTATAAGACTTTTAGATTAAGACTTTGGAATAATAGGTTTGATATTTCCTAGATATCGACCTTTATGGCTTCTGCCCAGAACGTGATGCATTTTATGGAGTTGTGTGTGAGATTTGCAATGCCATAGTAAAACCACAAGCTCTCATACAGCATATGGGTAGGTGTCCAAAATAAATATTTTATGTAATAACATTATAATTAAATGTCTCTATCGTTTCTAGAAAGTAGACATCCGTCAGGCACAGTGAATCTACCTCCACCAGCAAATCCAGTTGTGAAGCCACCAGTAAAAACGCCATACTGTAAAGTTTCTAAGTTAAAGAAAGCACAAACGACACCTCAGCTACCATCAAGCAGCAAAACAAATCATTCGTCCGTAAAACGCACAGCAGACCAAGCAAATTTACAGACGACACTTTCGATCTCTTCACCATGTTCACCCATGGAGGCAATTCCCGTTCAGGCTGCAGTGATGTCCTCGAGTCCTGTCAAAAGTCCAGGAACAAGTGGACAGCCGCGGAGGAAGAGGCTCAAAACGGATCGCTCTCTTCTCAAAGATCGGGAATACGATCCAGACAGACACTGCGGAGTCTGGAACGACGAAACAGGGAAGCCCTGTACAAGGTCCCTCACCTGCAAGGCACACACGGTCTCGTTGCGGAGGACGGTCTCCGGTAGGAGTAAAACCTTCGACAAGCTCCTCGCGGAACACCGGGCCGCGAAGGAGCTCCCGAGTAGGCCGGCGAAAGTCACGGTTACTGGAACAGTAACCCTCTCATCAGGAAACATTAATCCTCTTGGTCCGAATACTCCTCTGTCGAACAACGAATCGGATGCGCCCAGTTCGCCTCCAGTTCTATCATTACCTGACACTTACCCACTGCCAAAGGTGAGGATCCTTATCGTTTTGATTGTTTCAATATATTCAAAGCACTGCAAGCTGTAATGCAAATCCTAGTACGGGCTTTCTACAGTGCATATTCAGTATAATGGAATTTGTACATTAGTCTTTGTAACAAAGAAGCTTACGGACCATTGTCAATTCATTGCACATTTAAATATTATATTATATTTCTTGTTAGGGAATATTAACGAGACATCTCAGTTTTAAAAGAAATTATCGTCTGTTGTAATGAATTGTTATCCTTAGACTGCCGGCAAAGCCCTTCTTAGGGCTGAGAACAAACTTGAAAATCCTATGCAATATGTATATTTTATATATGTATAAATTTTTGGCCAAAGAGGACCACTATCTTAATGAAAAAATGCCAATAGTCTAAAGGTTTAAGTGTACACAATTTTTAATTAATCTTTCAAGTTAATTGCTTTATTTTATTCTTTTGTCTTTATCACTGAGACCAGAGAATTTACGTGGAGCCAGAGTGGGGTAATCGCGCGTCATAAATATTGTCCTGGGGGTTGATACCTGTTTTTTTGTTTTATTATTCCAGGCAGTTGATTTACTTTATCGGTGTCTGGCCCCGCATGGCTCCGCTAAACCTGTAAGGCATGCTTTCATTTGGGTTCTGAAGCTACCCTTCCTGAGCAGGCAGACACTCACTGCGAAGGTGTGCGTCTTCTCTTTTTTTTTTAGACGAAACTGGAGGACGATTTCGCTGATGAGGAACTCTCTCTAGAGACAAGTCTGGCAAATGCAGCAGCAGCAGCAGCTGTAGCAGCATCATCCGCAAGTTCTATAACGACTCCAATATCAGTGGTACTGCCATCATTGTCGCCAATACCAGGCAGTGCTGAAGGTTCACCAGTGGCTACCTTGATACCGGCCGCTGTTTCACCGGTAATTCCAGTAGTAGCTGCACCCTTACCGACTAAGCAGCCAGTGATCACGACTGTCCTCGAAGGAGAGACACCTATAGAAATTGACCCGGAAACCATGAACATATACTCTCCTGTCTCGGTCTATAAGGATGCCAAGTCACAGATCGTCGTGCAGCTTCCACGTGGTGCAAATTCCCTGCAGTCACCAAGCGCGACCAGAAGCTTTCAGGCATCCTCCATGCCAAGTCTAGCCATCTTTGATTCGGATCAGTTGGAACAAACAGCCGGACAGCTATCAAATGGCAAGAGGATCCAGAATCACTCGAGTCCTCATCGTCAGAGCAAGAGGAACAAGCATGATTACCAACAGGAATACTCAACGACAGCGATTCAAGTCGAAGCCACCACTACTTCTACTCCATATCCTCACTTCAGCGACATCTCCTGGTCGAACTGCCATCCTGAACCGCTCGCTGTCACTCGCTGGCTGCGCATCACATCCAGCCGTAAGCAATATAATTTTAATATTCACTGACACAAGATCCTACCCACTCCGGGCTAAGGGCTTAGTCGCCATCACTGATATCTACCTCTGATTAATCTAACTCTTCTTCCACTGATTGTTAACTGGTTTGTCTTGTTCTTTTATTCTTTATTTTATTTTTATTTTTATTTAAAAATTTCTTTATTTTTTAAACATACGATTTCGTACGGGTCATTGTCTCCTTTACTGATAAACGTATCATTCGAATTCTTTTTTTCCTCTTCCCGTTTCTCGTAATTATTCAAATACATTCCGTCGGTCCAGCTTATATTTAATTTATCACTCGATACGCATCAGAATGTTATTTTATTTTAATTTTATTTTTTAAAATACCGGCGATATCCTCGTAAGCAATACGAAATTTTGCTTAGGAGTTGTGGATCCTGCGTTGAACCTGTTATACGCTTCGTTTTTATATATTACGTAATACTAGATACATAGTCGTATACATTGTAATACCTAATGTAATTTCCTTTAGATATAATTGTACATGGTTCACATGCTACGCCGACGAGTCCGGTACAAAAATTCAAGGAGCGAGTCTTTCTCGTGGACTAGACTATTAATTAGAATACCAGAGAATGAGAAAAAGAGAGAAAGACAACAAAAAAGATGTATATAAATCTAGTATCAATTACAACTTATAATGTTCGATTCGCATACTATGCAATTGATTGATCAAACGCCTGATTGATTGATTGATTGATTGATTGTTCATTCGTCACATTGTAGATAATTTACTTGTAGCTTTAACGCGATAGAACATGTCGCCACCTTTCTCTTTTAAATGTACATAATTAATTTAGATAATCAAACAGTTGGCTATTAATTACTAGATCTTTGCTTTTTAGAACACTTATCAAGAAACACCGATCCGGATTGGTGGATTTTTGTGTACATATATTTTAATTGAACAATTAATATCCCTCTATGTGGCAATCACACAAATGAATTAGGAGAGTTCAGGGAAAAGGAGAAAAATCGCTCTCAATGTAATGATGATCCCAGATATAAATTCTGATACATTGTTTAATTACCTTCATCATTGAAAATTTTCATGGGAATTTAATCTTTTTTGTTTTTCTCGATTCTCTTAATATCCTACAAGATATTTTCGACCTATCTCCATCAATAGGACTTACATGGGTACTCATTCTTAATCATTTCATATAATTACTCATAGGAGAGTAATGAATTGATTCGCAAAATATTTTTTATTGCATTATCTGATAAGTACGACTTGAAAGCTTTTAATTGTGTTCACTAGCTTTGTACTGACTGCCTCGTTGAATTTTAAGGTCGTACCCCAATGTCACTAACTATTACTGACCACGTGTATCACGTGCTGATACCCCACCACGTGCTACTACTTCACTAGCCAGCAGTGCAGACAGTTAAGAGCTCGTTGGCATCATTAACTTTCGAGCATTAATAGCGATAAGAGAACGATCTACCCAAATCGAGAGTCCGACTCGTCGGCTACTTAATCAACACTCAAGCGTAATTAAAGCTTAATTACTCGTATAAAATGATCTGGGGTAGAAGAAATGATTAAGGGTAAAAAAGAAATTGTACAATATCGGAAGCTATAATTGAGTCTTGGTTGAATATTTCTTGTTACAAGTGATGTTCCGTTCCTTGCATGGATGTGTTTATTCGTCAAGGCGGATATGCACAATGGATTGTGAAAATGAAATGAAAACAAAAAAAGAGAATTATTTCTATTTCGAGTTCACAATCGGCATGCAACGTAGAATGTTTTATTATAATCAAACTTTATCGAAGACTGCTACGTATATAATGAGTTATTAGTGTCGAGCGAATGATAATTCTGAGAACGAGTGATAAAGAGAGAGCAAGAAAATTAAGACATTGCGTGTGATTAGAAAACGCGTGTACGTAAATTCGTACGGTAGATATATTCGAAGCGATTATCGTGCTTTCGAAGTAAAGCGAAAGAAAATAAAAGAAAGATGTGTAAAAATGTCTGAACTCGTGTACGCCAGTCACATTTATGATGGCTGGCTTATAGACACTTATATCATAGATATTGTGATATTTAACTGGTAATAAAGTACCTAGGTACTCGTCGGGCCCCGTGTGTGGTTTAGGCTCGGCGAGAAAGAGCGTAAAGCGAAAACAAAAGAGAGAGGAAAGGGTAAAAAGAAAGAGTGAATGGAAGTCTGGTGAAAGAAAAAAGAAAGAAAGAAAGAAAAATAATACGGCAGCTTACCTCTGGCCGCTTCATTACTTAAATATTACTTTCATTCGTTGATTCATACAGTTTTTTTCCATTCGCTTCTTAACTATTCATTCTTCAAGAGACCGGCAGAAAATATACTCCGGTGTAGCTGAATGAATGATCGTTCCATTTGGCAGCTTTCTTCTTTTGACTCGTTATGTGTTTCTACGTGTATGATGTACGAAACGTTGTGTACTTGGTATGTGTGTACATAGGTGTTTCATCAGGTACCTTAACGATCGAATTTTGAATTTTTATTTCATCTTGATCATTTAAGAAAAATTATTTGTCAATGTCTTTACAGTAACGTGGAACGCTCCGTGTTCTTGTTTTAATCTTTTCTTTTCTCTTTTTAATTGTGTTCTTTAAACAAACAAAAAATAATGGATAACGAAGAAAGAATACAGAAATGGTCCCGCGCCTCTAGCACGATTAGATTTTATTATTTTATACGCTTATTTATTGCATCCTCTTTTATTTTTATACTTACCTTTTATTATTTATAACGTCGATGGCGCGTGTTCCTCATTTCTCGTCTCACTTGGCCGCCACTTTGCTACCGGAACATTGCTTCGTTGTACTTTCTAACTGTAAATTATCTGTACACCAAATAGTATGTATACTACTTAAGAGTAATTTGCTCAGAGAGCGCGAACAGACTCAACACTACTTGTGTTGTTGTTGTTGTTGTGTCATTGTTGAAGCTCGCGTTTACGAATAATTTGTGTGGGTTACCAGAATGTATGAAAGAGAGATTAAACGAGAGAATGACAAGACAAATAATAAAAAGAATACGTACGTGAGATTAAATAAAAGAAATTGAAGTATTACTCGCTGGATGATTTGTGGTGAATTATATTAAAAAAAAAAAAAAAAAAAGTTAAACAACCACTGTTGACTTAAAAGGCACTAAATAACAATAATCTAATACATCCGACAAGGATAATGAGTGAATAGCGTGTCTTGAATTTTAGTTACCATCAATCTAATTAGTACGAGTGCATTTTTTTTGGAGTCGGCGCTATACGAAAAATGAAAATTATTCTGCAAAGCGATTCTCTCACAAAGATTCGTGCTGACGCTGAGCTGAATCTTCTTTTGACTTTAAAATTCAACATACTATGTCATGATTAATCCTTGTATGCCAAGAAAGGAATTATTGTCCTTCTATGAGACTTACTTTCTGATCTGAGTACTAGCTGTTACCTATAATCCTAAGTATTAATGTTGAGTAGGGCGATACATTGATTGGCCGCTGCTTTGTTTAATTAAACATTACATTAATACTTGAGAGAGGGTTAACCCCATTAGGTGGGCAAAGGTATACTGATAGTATTAGTATAATGAACTATGAATAAACGGCCGCGTTGCACCATCGAACTTCCTCCCGAAGATTTGTTGCGCTACCTTGAGTATAGTCGGATGCGAATTTGAGAAAATAAAAACGCTATATTCCCCAGGATATACATTTTTGAGTTTCTCAAGGAAGCTTGAACTTATCCTATGCGAATGTCTGTTGCGTAACGTTGTTATAAACAAAGATCATTGTTATTCGCACATAATGAGGTGCAATAGAAAATCAGAGAGAGAATCAGAGACACGTGCACCATCATATGTACACATATAGGCAAAAGGACAGATGGCGAATTATGTATCAATATGACGGCGTAAAAACACGTTTTTCTCAGGTAATCTAGCGTCGTGTATTTAGTCAAAACTTTTCTGCCAGGTTCTTTAATGTAACATGATCGTAAGAGGTCTCGCACACAAAAACTTTAGTAAGCATGATGCGTAAGGTCTGGATCAATGCACGCTCGTCTATCGCTTGGTATGGACTTGTAAAATGTGCGTTCATTGACTTAGATCTTAAGTAAAGCTTGTGAAACTTTGTTTGGGAGGCCCCTAAGTGCACGCTTTTGTGCATTTGACTTCTTTCTTGGGCCGCCTCGAGGGAGAATCCTGTTCTTGACTAATCACTGCTATACGATGCACTACGCTATTCTGCTTCTGTTCTTGCCGGTGGAATAAGAGACGCGGATCCAATTAACGAAGAATCCATTATTCGTTAATGTTCCATCGAGGCGAGCCTTTATTGTATATTGTGTATGTATATTACGATGTTACTTGTTTAAAATGGTAAACCAAAATAATAACTTTAATTGCAACCGAGTCCAACGTGTAAAATGAAAGGACACTCTTCATGAAAATCACGGTTTGCGATTATATGTATATAATATATACATATAAGTGAAAGCTTTGAGACGAATAAAAACAAAGGTCGATGACAAAAAGATAATAAAACGTAAGATATACGAGTAACAATTAATACACAAAAATATGGAATTATTCAAGAAGCGAGAAGCTAAAGAGAAAAGATAAGAAAATACAGAGAGCCTCGAGGCGTCAAGTGGTTTGTTTCGCGATAATTCATAGTACCTTCGGGTGCCTCCCTTTTTTTGCTTCCAGGTGGTTATTCTTGGCGCGAACCTTTAATACGGCCCTGCTATGGCGATGAGGACCAGTCGAACCATCCAGGTCCGTATCTTCCCAGAAGAGAACGGGTCCACCCACCAGGAATTCCTTTATACTGACCCGAGCCGTTAACTGGTACAGAGGACAGCATTTGAATTTGCCTAGGATGCCTAGAACGTCTGAAGATCTTTGAAGGAAAAGGAAAAATCTGTTCTTTAGAATCCTAATGCATTAGACGATGCGGAACCTTTACCAATCACCCTACTTTTACTAAGGCTATTATCCTAAAGGGAAAGAAAAAGGAACGCTATCTAATAATATTTTTTAATTTTCCAGAAAACTTACCGAGATTAATATATAATGCTAGGACCAAGACCAAGTATGCTAGGAACAAAACGGTAAATAAAGATCGATTCATTTATTAATACTCCTTTATACTGATATTTTCTCAGTAATAAATTTCTTCCAGACTCCTTCCTCAAAGTTTATGGTGAACAGCAGGACACTGGGACTCTCCTGGAATTTTACTTGGGTCCCATTCGCCGCTGCCCGCTTCCCTGATGATTGCACTGGCGAACTGCTCTGCCAGGATCAGGTAACAGGGTAAGTATATTGTGGCAGGTAGATGAGAGCATGGTTCTTTCTACCTGAGCATCGCAGCCTTCCGTACAGGCTCCTGCTGTCTCCTGTCCCTTCCATGTTCTTCTTGTCCTGCCATATAGTAACCGCGTCTCCTCTCACCAGGACTCCTCGGATTCGATGCAGCATCCGAATCCTCTCTCTCTCTCTCTCTCTCTCTTTTCATCTCCGAGGGAGAGAGCGAGTGTCAGGCGAAACGGAGAGAGTCAGAGAAGTGAGCAGCCCTGTAGCAGAGTGGGGCCACTACTGGCTGAGTCGAGAGAAGGAGAGTCGTCGCGGTACTACACATACTCCCGGCTACTTCAGAATCCGCCGTCTCCTTCGTGAGAACGGCTGAGTCTCTTGTGCTTTTTTTCATCTTACAAGGTGCTTGTGATTTTACCTCGAGACGTGGAGACGAGACGTCATCTGTAAAATTGAACTGTGTTGGATTACCTAAGGAGAGATGGCGAAAGTCCTGATACCAGGCAATGGATTAAACCATAGGTGAGTACAAATTTTGAGAATCATTATTGTGTAACAATCAACCAGCAAAAAAGTTCGTTGCATTGTTTTGCCACAATAAATAGATTGTTTTTGTACGTTCAAAGGCGGTATTACGCTTAATCATTTAGAAGCGTGTAAAATACTAGATCACTAAGTATTAAACCTGCATTGTGGTCTTACTCAATTATTGGAATATCAATAATGAATTTAGTTGATTTCGCGAAAAAGTGTGTTTACTGGAAAACTTGAGCGTTGATACTAAGCTGTTTGGTAACAACGCTGTAAACTAAGCATCGAATTCGTAGTGAGGCAATGTGATTCTGTTTACCAGTTACGTACTACTCGTTTAATTTCCACGCACGTAGCGGGCCAACTGGGCCGTCTGCATAATATCCATTTCGCGATAAGCCATTCGCTATCGGTAAACTCATTACGATTCTCGGTACACTGTGCTTTTTCACGTAGACGCCTCTCACGATATCTTCATTCATTTTCTGCATAGGAACGAAATCAATCAGTGTAATAATAGTAAATATTGATCAGACGACTTTATTAAATTAGCAGTCACGTTCTTCACGGTCGTTAGTTAAAATAAAAAGAGTAACACTGTGCTTGAATCATTTGCGTGGGTGATTCGCGAATTCTCTCAAGTGACGCAGGACTCAAACACATTATAATACGACACTCTTTGTGTGGCAGTAAAACTATGTGTGCAGGGTTATTCGGAGAACACTTGATCGTAAAAACTCGATCGTTCAGAACTATGTATGTAGTTTGACGTTAATAACTTTGTTTTGTAAAAATTCTTTTGTCAATACATATATAACCATGTCTTTCCGAGTTTAATGGCTACCTGTCGCACGTGATTCTCATGAAATTAAATTCACAATGGTTCTGTACTATTCCAGACGTCCTGAAGATATGCTTGAACCACGTAGCAACGTAACGAGACAGTTCTTTCCTTTACGGTACACATGTGTACGCACGTGCGCGATTGCGCAATGTCTTGCAACGTCATCTACTTTTGCTCTTAACTCAAAGGTAACAAAAGAGAACGGCGCTCCGATATACATATATAATTTTTAATGTTGAACGAGACAACATGAAAAATTGTTCAATTGCTCCTATCGTATCTTTTAGTCGTCATTAAGACTGTCCAGTATGTTAAATCGAAGGAAGCGGAAAACAGATATAACTCTACGATTGAAACATTTGCGAACATCGCGACGACAGAAGAATGTCTTTCCGGGTCATGGATACTGTACGTTTCTAGAATATTGCTTCAAAGTTTCAATTTCATATGAACCCTATCAAAGATTGCAGACTATGTTCGGTGACGCTATGCTTTATAGATACGTGCCTTTGGCTATGTTCTCTTTATCTCTTTTTGTATTCAGCTGATCTAATGGCACAGAAAATTTTGTGCACGGAATTCCAACAGCATGTGTACTGCGTGTAGCCTAGGCGCTTATGATTTGGATGACGACATACGGTGACGACTCCTGCTGATGAAGATTCTGACGTTTCTCTTCATTACTATTTTTCTCTTTATCTGCGCCAATAGGAGTGGTCATAAGCCTTGAAAATAATCTTAAGATATGATTGCGAGTCCATTGAAGCAAATGGGCCTCTCTCTCTCTCTCCCTCCTATTAGTTTATTTTTCTTGTACGGTATTCTTTATATAGTAGTGTTACTCGTGAACCGATGATGGCATATTATGCTAAACTTACATATCGTTTAATGATGTTTACTCGCTGTCATGAAGAAGTCAAATATTATTCAGGAAGGACCTATAGAATTCCTTAGATAAGAGAATGCGTAATTGGCTCCACGAATTGTATTAAAGAACTATGGCAGTGCTCTGTTGTGTATTTTCGTAAGGTCTTTCGGATCTAACGGAATGTCATAGGCTCGTGAATCACGAGAAGAATGTAATAATAATAGACCTAACGACACTACTGGTAGTATCGTACCTTAGCTCTGCTAGTAATAAGGCGGCACTTTCTCAGACCTTTCTGGCCGCCATAAGTGATTTACTGTAACAACCCGGAAACTTAGTTTCTCTCTCCCGCACTTGCTTCTTCACTTTTCCGTCTTCGACACGAGTGCCTTTAGATCTTAAGTTGAGGAAGCATGCTAAAAAATCGTAGACACTGTACGGGAGGAGCACGTGTGTAGCACACACCCGTCATGAGTATACAACTGGCAGCCAGTAAATCGTCTGAAAAGTTATGTGTCGTTCGGATAGAAGTTTGACTGAGAGAGATGACTTCTCTTTGCATTAGTTAATAAAAAAAAAGAATTTCTTACAGCTGAAGACAGTTTAGTTGTACTCTTACAAGTTCAATAATTATATAATGGGTCATTCGTCAACTAACATAAGCATTGTCAATGTGTTCTATTTTGGTTAGGGCCATGCGTTTATGGAAATAGCTTCAACGTTTGTAGGACTATTAAAATTGTATATACAGTAAATACTAGGTACTGACCGACAACGATTATTAACTGAGTTGTGAATGAAGTGGAACGAAAGAAAATTGATGTTATTGATTGAGAAATATTATTCATTGAATTTAACCTGAGTCTCTAGAGTCCAGTGGTTCGAACTGACTACGTACGTGTGCCGAGAAAGGCTCTGTATGAGAATACATGCCCACACGCTAACGCACCGTAGTCCTTAACGCCCACGCGAGTAACGCCTCCGGGGCCCAGTTGCATCAGTCCCCAGAAGACTAAAGGTCCTCTCACACAGAAGACAGGAATTCTTGAATTCCAAAACCTGGTCGGCACAAGTCAAAGGAGCAATTTCGGAGTGGGAAGGGAAGTAAAGATTCGTGGATGAGATGCTGCTCTAAGTCTCCTAGTGAAATGACAAAAATACGTGAGATTTTTTATCGCCATCCGGTGGAAGCCCTACTATTTTTGGCTTCATTCAGAAAAACTTAATGGACAAGTGTGCATCCGTACACAGCCGGTGTGGCCGAGTACACTGTATTACGGCACTAGGTACTATGCACTAAAAAATTACCAATGTCAATGCTGTTGGTTAATAGTACGGTTAACTTTTACCAGTAACAAATACTCGTTGGGTTAATGTTGATACGGGGCCGACAAATAAAAAGGAAAGGGTAAAACGAAGGTTTAGGATAAAGAAGTAAGGGAAAAATACTTGTTGGCTTTCTACGACGTGTGGCAAACGTGAACTTTGTTGTTTCATGAATATTTTTCTTATTTCTTCCATCCTCGTTCTTCCTCTCTGTTTTTTCACCTCTTTCCTCCATCCTTTTTCGGGACATCCGCCACTTTGACTGGCAGCTTTTCTTATTCTTCTTTTGACTCATTGCCACGAGCTCCTCGTTAAAGTCTCAGGACCCATTAACCGCTCTTGACTTCTTCCCTCAAATTCTACGTGGAGATGTACATTCTGAAGAGTGTAGGCGAAATATTGAGAATAATATTTTTGTTTACTTTATCTTTTAAATTATCTTTATTCGACTTTCGTCGTGAGCTTTTGCAAATTGTGCCACCTTATTCTTTGAACGGTAAAGAGGAAATGCAGTATTTAAAATTTATCGTCCCTTGGGCACTTTGATTTTCTTGGATTTTCAAAACAATACACCTTCAACTAGAGAAACCTTTGATATCGATGACTCTCTCGTCTTTTTCAGGAACTTCTCTTATCACTCGTTATCTCTATACGCATTTTATCCGATGCTCGTAACTATGCTACGCAAGTTTATCAGCGCTCAGTGGTAACTCAACGATAAAACTGAACGAAAGCGTACAATTACCTGATCGATTTTATTGGATTCAACTGTGTAAAAATAAAAGTTTCTATAATTCAATAAAATAGTGCAAAATTAATTCTAGTTCCACTGATATCAGTTATCAGTACAAAGGGAAGTGTCTTTTGATACGGATAATTATTTACTTTTGGTATGAAAAAAAACAGAAGACACAGCCTGATAGACAGGTTTATTTCCAGCGTAGGCTAATGTCAAGGAGTACGTAATAGCTACAGAATAGTGGCAGTTGTTAGTGAGTATAGGATAAAAATGAAGCCGTATAGTTTATGGAATCAGGCCATGGTTTCCGAATGCCGGTGGTAGGCTGACGTTTACTTTCCATTGAACCGCTTCCATATACGACGAAGACTCCCTGCAAAACCGGCCAGCCAACCAAGCAACGAGTCAGCTAGCCATCGAGACCACTCATGGAAGGAACTTGAAGAACCAGAAGGAAGAGTCGCAAGAGTATTACGCTATAGACTCCTGAGAAAATCTTGACATCTGTTTTGTCATCATACTCTCTGACGAGGTGCACTGTAGATGGGTTCGAGACAAAAACAAAAGTTCTGAATTGCACTGAAAGTAAGGATGGAAGAGAGAATTTCTTTTTGAATGAAATCGAGCAAGCCGAAGAGGACCGAGGAGTCAGTCAGTCGTCAGACCTGAAATCCGGCCTACGAATTTAGATCAGCTCGAAACGGTCGTAGAAAATACTTCTTGTGACTCGGGGACGAAATAGAAAGGAAAGAAGAAGAAGAGGAGAAGGAGAATAAGAATAAAACCTTAAAGTTAGGGTTACTGGGTACTCTTCGTCTGGCAATTAAGGGCTAATTTCGTTTGACTTCTAGTACATTCTTTTTCTTTTGCTTACACGCTAATTAGAGCACCGTTCAGTGAACATTTTGAAAAAAAAATTCTTAAATTATTTTCCCTACTTTCGCACAGTGTACATTTGTGATTCAACTTTTTACCACTTTACTTCAATGTTTCAGGATGGAATGACCATTGACCAATGAAGAAATGGCGCTCATCGTGGAATCCTCAGGACGCGTTTTCAACGGAAACGGTAACTATCTTCATGCGATATCTTCCAAGATATAATAAGAGATCCGCTTGCTTCCAAATGCTGAAGATCCGCGAATTCCGGCTAATGAACTTGCAGATTATTATTACCGGGCCGATTGGACAGATGCCAAGGGTTACGGCATGTTGCCTCAAGCACCGAAGCGCAAGTTCGTTAAACCAGAGAAACATCCAAGGAAACTTATCGAGTCATCTTCTTGAGTCATGCAACAGTCATTGAATCAAGCAATGAACTGCTTTATTGATATCTAACAAAATACAGTCATAACAGAATCAATATCAATAGGCACATAAGTATGATTGACGATTCCTCAAACTGATAGAAAATTATTGTTATCGAATCCCGTTAAGAGTCTGATGCAGTATAAGTAGAATTAGTAAATTTTCCAAAAAGTATTGCATCTCATTGTTTATACTGCTGTATTATTCTTATTAGCTACGTGACTCATTAGATATTTCTTTTCAGTGTCTAACCAGGGTTTCCTGGACAACAGCTCATCCGGCTCCAAATGTCTATGCTGTCCCTATGGATACCACATCGATTTGGATTTTGTTCGATATTGCGAAGCTGTCGCGGCAGGAAGTAGCGATCGATCCATAAGCGAAAGACGCAAGAAACGAGAACGCAGACGACAATGTCAGTCAATGGAAGTTCTTCTGGGCCTGGTAAGAAAAATCATTCCGTTAGAATTACGTTGAAGTAATTGTGATAGATTCTTAAAAATTTTCAACAGTTGTAAGAACTATCATAGAGAAGCGTAGCAGTCTTAGATCATAAAAAGTTGTTATTTAAGTTCCTTAAGAGCTGCAAAGCCTATTCCATCGTATTTATATTATCTGGCAATTGATTAAATTACCATATAAAAATCATTTCGATATTAATACCAAGCATTTTACAGGTAAGCCCAGCCCTGGCCAGTATAGAAGCCCAACTGCCGAAAATTCCTCAAGAAAATTTAACAGTAAATTGTGTGACGACCTTGCCCAGATGTGGACACGCGAGGCCTTCAAATATTCATCAGGTAACAACAAATCTGGACCTGAGCGATGTAGTGGGGGACTTCGAAGCTACTCTGAAACGCTCCTCGAAACCCGGTAAGTTTGAATTTGCGAACGAGTCAAAGAAGTTTATTTAATGTTAATACCGCAAAGATAAAAACGAAACCTTTTTTTGAAAACGGATAGCTACCTGAACGGAGTTTCAAGGAAATGTACAGTTAATTTCATATTCCCCTTTGCCAGGTATGTACTTTCCCATTCCCTCTCTGCTCTCTGTTTACTGTCGACGTCAATGCTGCTAGTACCACACTAGTCAGTAGTAGTCCTTAGTTTCCAAAACAAAGTTCAGTATGTAACATGGTCTTTTCTTCGGAGACATTTTACATACACATTATCCATGAATAATTCGATATTTCATGATAAATTCAATTGGATTCTATATATGTATGTCATATAATAATATGATAAATTACTAGTTTTTTTTTTCTTTTTAAACCTTACTGTTATGTAAATGATCGGTATACAATGTGACGCAATTTCAATAGTATTTTCTATGAAATAATTGTTGTAGAAGTCAGTAGAATTCTCAATGATTCTATTGCATACGATTTGCAATGTGCTACTGAACTCAAAATTGTGTCTAGTCAGTGCCGCGTGGAATGTGTATGAATATCTGAAGATGTGTCCTGTGTTCTCATTTATCAATATTAACATTTACAAGGGTCTGAAAGTCGATACAGCAGCGTCATCTGGTGAGTGCAGAACTGTAATTCCGTATAAATCATACGGTGAAACTTTTTTCCTTTTATCGTTATTGGAGTATAAAAAATTGAGGACGTGCCATCCGGATCTATAGGGGCACAAGTAGCTAACGGACAATCTCGTTTATTGGCTACCGTTTCTAATGGATTATTAATTCTAAAAATTTGCCACGAATCGTCTTCACGGCTGTTCGATTTCCTCGTGCTAAATTCTCTGGCGTCTCGAGATAGAACGACACGATCCTCTTCATGCTAGAGCAATCTTTTCACCGTAGAGAAATGGCATTTCGTTAACCAGTCAATACTGTCTGTACAATTAGTCTGTTTACTAATCCGTTCATTTCTCATGGTCGACCCACATTGTGTCATTACAATTCTCCCCTTACAGCTTATACTGACCAACACCCATTGCCTCCATCTCTTGAAGATTTGTCAGCATTCTCTTATTGTTGCTTCTTATTTCATTAATCTCTTTTCTTTAGCGTCCACCTTATCGGATACACTCTCAGCGCCCATCTTTATTTCTTCAATTTCATCTTGGCATCTTGTTGCAAGTTGCTCGATAACAAGATAGAAGCTTCCCTGAAACCGTCTCAGTGAGACTTATGAGAATTTTCATAGGAATAGGACTCCTTGAGAAAGTTTTGTCTTGTAGTAAAATAATAGGACATGAAATTAGTTACAGGACGTTCTGAATCTTTTATTTTGTTTTATGCGGCCAGATATCAGGAGATGATCTTATCGAAATTCTTTAAAGATAATCCATCGATGAATTTATCAATAGAGATAAAACCGTACGAGAGAGTTCCCGTAAATCAATTTCACTTGGCATTTGTACAGCTGTGTAGCAATCTAAAGAGGTTGGGTGAGTATTTTAAAAATGCTGTAACATTTATCTTGATTTTGAAATTGCCAAATTTTAATAATCAGCCTCCAACTATTTGCGCGCCTGGAGTTCTATCTGTATGCACGCTAGTCCGCGTTCGGATGCTAATTTATACCAAAACCGGCTACTCTCTTCCAGGACACGAAGGTCGAACGACCTGAGTGACGCTGAATATAGGATGATTTTTCTATCTTTAGCGATGTCTCAGATATTCGCTCATTCTCACTCTCTCTCTCTCTCTCTCTCTCTCTCTCTATATATATATATATAATATATATATCTCAATTTCATTATCTGACAAATTTGCTCGAAATTTTATATTCTCACGGATCTCTCTCGTATTCACTCGAAAAAATTCCCAGCCGAGAGACGTTCAATTAATTTTTTTTTCTTCCCATTCTTTCACGACACCATTATACGCAATCTTCAAAGAAAGATCTTCTCACTCTTCTCTTTCACTGAAAATTCCTTATCCCCGGCACATACATTGTTATGTAAAAGGAAAAAAGCAAATTGTCACGTATCACCTTAGAAACGTGTTATCCGCAATACACGTATAAGGAAAGCTGCGAACCTACGAACTCGTGAACCCTGAAACTCGGCAGTGCGTAGCCGAAACCACCTGCTTCCGGTAACCGTAATGCCTGCCGAGCAGCAACCACGCAATAACCGTTTCTTATTAGATCTTGAGGAATAAGAAAATCCGTAGTGGAACTGTGAACTCTTGACTTTATTTTTACTTCGACGAATACCTATGGTACGTTATTTACGCTTGTCTTCCTTCTCACTTGTTCTGTCTGAACAACCGTTGTTCTTGTTTCAGTCCCACGTCCATAATTCTATCCGAGTCCCAGACCTCCTAGCTGAGCAACAAGTGGCCACTGACGGGTGATCCTAACAGAACGAAAATTAGTGATGTTGCATTCGTTGGGGCAATCTCAGGTGTTGAAAAAAGATGAAATTAGAGCAGCTGTGGCTTGGATTGCATCGATGCAGCCTTGCATAGAGCGCATATGGCATTGCACCTGCCGAGCAAGGACTAAAAGAAATGACTAACCAACCGACAGTTTGGATGAGCCATATTTGAATCAAATTTTCTATTTAAAATAAGGACAATATTAACGAAAAGAAGTTCAGTTACCCTTAATCACGTGGTGTCGTTCTACAAGAAACTGTATAACTTATTTAGTGAAAAAATTTATTAAATCATATATAGCAATAATGAATTCTTCAAAGTTTAAAAGATACATTTCTTGTTTACAAGTCTCTTAATTTGTTGACAAGGACAATCTGATCATCGCACGAAACGTGGTTGTTCTCTCCTATCTCAAGCATTGTAATTGAATGTACATTTGACAAGTACAACTTTCCTGATTAATAGTGAAGTGTATCAGATCCGTTGATTCTCCCTACTCCTGAACTTCTTTCCTGGCGAAGTGGAATCCGAAGTAGCAATGTTCCGGCAGTCGAACGCGAGCTACAAGCCAGGGCGAAAGGCTCTCGGCTTCGAATGCTCTCCTAACAATAGCCGTGTGATAGATAAAAATAAATAATAATAATAATAATAGTAATAATAGTACCCAATGAGGAATAACGAGTGAAAGAAAAAGTGAGAGTAACTGCAAGATGTGACGACTATACGGGAACTAAATCGTGCGCGATTACCGTGCGATTCGCTCTGAAATTAAAGTCTAATAATAGTTCCAATATTAGTCTTGTAAAATTAGCCTGAATTCATGAGTGAGAAGCTATATGCGCTAACCGATTGTCGTTCAGCTTAAGATTCAATAATCGCTTGCAATGGCAATCATTATTTTTAAATTTAGCATCACTTTTCTTTGCATCTCTCTCGGCTTCAATCCCAAGAGCCACTCGCGACTCCAATATACTTGCGTACAGTAATGCTAATGAAAAGGTCAAGATAACTACATGTTATCTTGACGCTATACTATTATTTAAATTATTTGATACCTACGGATAAGAGTGTACAAGGTTGTTCAGGGGGGGAAGATGGGTGTGAAAAACTTCATCAGAAAGCGATTGCCTTTCTGCAAACTCAAGATTAAACGCAAGAGTCGTAAGTTGATGGATCTTTGTTTTATTTTCTGGACCAAGTGAAACTGTGGGATCTTCCGTATCCTCAAGATTAATTGCAATCATTGTACATTGGAAATGCTTCAACATTCGATGCGTATTTATCCATTGCGGAGTTGCACACTGTCAAGCGTCAAGCTATATTTCTTGTTTGTCCCTCTGCATCATCAGGCGATAGTTGTTTTCTCAGCAAACAGGATCCTCGAGATGCATCTTCTTCCTATTATCCACGAGAAAATGTTCTAGTGAGAATTTTTGGCTGGATAAAGCATGCGTTTCCTAGCATTTAGTGTTTTCACATCAAACAGACTACTAAGTAGTTACAAATCGTATTTTATTGGGGGCAGAACAGTAATGCGAGACTGACAGACATTAACTACGTCAGCTATTAAACGTATAACGTGCTTTGGCAACTGTTATTGCGTTTACAAGAGGATAAAGTTAATTAAAAGTGTCTTCTTATCTTGGTCCAAACAAGCCAGACGCCTTATCACGATTTCAGCTCATGCTAGTTAAACATACATCAGGACTGATTCTTGACCCTAAACCATTCGAGGATTGCTGTTATCATTAAGTAAATTCGTGCATACTGTAATAGGTGATTTTTCAGTATAGTTGATTAAGAACCGTTGATCCGAACTGTCGTAAAGTGATTTTAAAAATGTCAAGAAGCTCGCAAAGGTGCAGCACTCGTTAGAAAGGAATATTACTTTCTTGATAATGTTTATAAATTATTCATATACCCAGCTAGACACTTCACTGCACTTTAAGGTCAAACGCAAATGCATTGTACAATTCTTTCAATATTTTCTTCTTTTTCCTTTGACTCGGTGCATCGGTTCCTGACACGCACCTTTACGTAACATCAGTCGCAAGGCATCAATGCGAGTACTTCCAGTCCTTGGATTCGCTCGAAAGAGAAAAATACAATGTTGTCATATGTTTCTTTACTCATTCACTTGAAACCATTATGTTCTAGTAACGAAGAGATTCACTTAAAATTAGCATAATACTTGTATGACTAATATTGATTTCTTGTCATTCTGTTTAGATGGAACCATCACTGCCTCTCATATGCAAAATTCGAGCAACGTCGAATCCATCGTGGATTTCGACAATGCGAGCATCGGCAGTGGAAACTCCAATCTCAGCACCGGTGCTCTTCAGGTATGTACACCCAACTTGCATGCAGGATGCACGCGCTGCATTTCCAATGGGCGTACTTAATTTGCTTTATGCCTTTCATTTCTGGTTAATTGACAGAACATCAGAGAACAGATGGCCGCATCGCTGGAAAGGATGAAAGAACTGGAAGAGCAAATTAAAGTTATTCCCATGCTACAGGTAGGTAGTTAATTACAGAGCAAGTGGTGTTAATAGAATTCCCAATAACGAATATAAGCATCAAGCTTTTGGTAACTGGTTGAGAGAATCGTTTAAGATTTATTTGGCGACCTATTGATTTCTATTTGAATGCAATGACGCGATGTCAAATCCAGTTAATGAAAAGTCGAGGGTTCAGCTTATGAAGAAATATGGATTTCATGATCGAACGATGACTGAATTCCCCTAGTTGAATCAGTCGTGTTCTTTACAGTGCCGACCGGTTGCCTTTCTACGTTAATTGCTATGGCACTTTCTAGCAACTCCACCCGAGGCACAGGACGAACAATGCCTCCTCTTATCCACGTCCCAATCTTCCTTCAGGTACAGGTGTCAGTGCTCAAAGAAGAGAAGCGAAATCTTTTGCACCAGGTAGACGAGCTCGCCAAGTCTAGGACTAGGAGCAACAATGATACCAATCTGCAACGGTATCGTAGTCAATCCTTTTCCGAAGAACATAGTCTTCTTGAACCATTTAGAACCATGAGGATGCCTACCAGGGACATGGGAACTATGTGCGGAGTCATGACGAGGGACGTCGGTGTTTCTTATCAGCAGGTAAATAAGAAGGAATAGAAGTTTCAACTAGTAGGTATGATTTGTATATTTTTTTTACTTTTGGTTTTGTTTCGTTTTTACAATAGGTAAGAACTCGAGACGTAGGAATGGTGACCAGTACTCCCATTCAGAGGATTCTGGAACGTAGTCTTCTCCAGGTCGAGGAGATCCTACCTTCCGACAAGCTCGACAGATATTCTTCATCTAGGGAGAGTCTTAAGAAACTAGAACGTAGCAAACTACAGATCGAGAATATACTCCCAGAGAGTAATGATTCCGCTTTATTAAGGTTGACCAGGAGTGACCTATTTCTCGAGAATATCAAACCGGAGGAGAAATTGAAAAAATCTTTAAACAGAAGTCCCCTGAGAATTGAAAATATTCTTCCGGACTTGTCAAGTAAAGTTGCACCCAGTCACGCGAAGGACAGGAAGCTCAGAGAATTCGGCACAAATACCGAGAGAATATTGCGTAAAAATTTAGTATGTAGCGAATTAAGAGTTGAAGAAATTGCACCAGAAATTAGGAAGGTTCCTGAAGTTCAAAAGAAATCCTGTGGAACGGGTACAGATATCAGTTTCAAGGAGATAGTCACTGCTAGCGAAATGGATGTCATTGTCGAAAACGCTCTCAGGGTTTATAAATTGGAGAATATTCCACCTAAGAAGGAGACAGTCTCGCGAGAGACACAATGTCAAGCACGGTCTAAAGTCACGAGCGATAAAAACATTCAGGTAGCAGAACCGATAAAAATGAAATCTAATGTTGGCGTCACTGTGAAACCAAGGACTCTGGATGCTAGCGTGGACGTCAAAATTGGCCCAGGAAGTCGTTCCATAGGTGTTGGTCCAGATCAAGTATCGACGATACCAGTATCCTTGAATTCCTTGAACTCTCTGAACTCCAGAAGTCATTCGTTTAATTATGGCGACACGCAGCCCAAACGAAAAACTACCAAATCCGTTGGAGTACTTGTAGAGGGACTGATCAAGACTTCCGTAAGGTCAACAGACACATCCGGCTTGACACCGAAAAAGAGGGAGTTTGGAACTTCTACTCTGAAGAAGAAATTCATTGACGTATCGGTCGGCGAGTCTGTCAAGCCACACATCACAATTTCCTGCGCTGCCAATTACTGTGACAACTGTAAAGAAACCATCAAGACGCTGGCTAAACAGATAACCAACAATAGCGAAAACAGCATGAATCATCAGATCTCAAATACCATATCCAGGATACCCAGACCTTCCCACATTTCCTTGAACACTCCAGATTACCGACGACAGTTCAAAAGGCAGGATACCTACACGAAAATCCCTCCTGCTGGAGTTATCAGATATGATTCAGATAATAAGGAGCAATACGAGACTCACAACCGGTAAGTAGTGCTAAAATCAATTACTATTAATTGGTCTTATTAATTCACACCTTCTTGAGAAATATGTACAACTGTCATACTTTTACTGTACTGACTAGAGACTTCCTGCTAATTGAGTACACTGAGTAGAGGTTATTCCTGTCAAAAGAAATAGCCTATTGCCTCTGCTATTATGTATGCAATTCAAAAGACGAGTTTGCGCATTACAGTACAATTGACGGGTGAGGGGGGAACGCTCTGGGCTTTAGGATTGGCGAGATCATGACGCATATTGCCATATGTCCCTGACTAGGAGTCTACTAGCCGTCCTGGTAAAGTTGTAGCTCAGTAGAAGGTAGCATGTCGTGCACGATGCTTTTTCGTGGGGTAGTAATTTTCCGGCTATTATTATTTTGCAAGCCACCCTCGAAAAGCCGAAGGTGACCCGCTTCCCAGGGGTTGAGAATCAAACGAATAGTAACGCCGCCTGGGACGCGGTTTTTTTTATTTAGTCCTTGTCAATCTCTACGTACCAAAATCATATTTATCCGAAAAGCAGCAACGCCTTAGTTTGGATTTGGATGTGATGGATTTGTCTGCTTAATTTCGATCTCGGCTGATCGATGCTGCAGCGGCAGCAAGTTCGTCATTTGTTTCGCGAGTGTAACCTGCACGAATTGTCTTCTGACGAGAACACTGGGTAAATCAATCTCAGAATTAGCTAATTATTCTCTCAATGATTTGACAATCTGATATTAGAACGTTTGTGGCAGGAGAGTATTGAGGGATGACATTTTTTAAGTATATTTATTAGCAATTGAGTTTTTCTTAAGTTCCTTCAAACTTATGATGTTACGTTTCAAGCGAACATTTTAATTCTTTCATTTGGTTTTATTCATTTTCAATGTATATGTGATATATCTACGTTTAAAGACACGCAAAAACAATTACGTTACTATGGGAATGTATATTCTGTTTTAGGCTTCAACAATTGGATACGGAAAAGATCGGTGGCGAAAAGATCGTCCCAGAAGAGTCACCACGTTCAGAGAAAGAGTCGGTCCCAGATGAGAAGCATGAATTGCAAGAATCCGCACTGTTCCAGCCAATTCAAGAGAAGCCAAGAAAAAAGGTTGAACCAAGTAAAGAAATGCGAGCCGCCATGAAGGTCTTGAATGACAATCTGCGAAAGTCGCCCAGTAGAAATATTTCACATCAGATTAAGAACGCGACAAATGTAATACAACAAGAATGGTTCAAGATCTCGAGCACGGCGGAGGCTAATCCTCTGGACGTCGAGGACTATCTGGATTGCTTCGAGGAGAGTTCCGGATCTCTATTGGAGTACATAGTCAATATGACTGATTCCAGCGGAAACACGGCAATGCACTATGCAGTGTCTCATGGTAATTTTGACGTGGTTTCCATCCTCCTGGACTCAAAGGTCTGCGACATCAACAAGGCGAATGTCGCCGGTTACACAGCTGTTATGTTGGCAGCCCTTGCCGACGTGAGGAACTCCACACACGCTTCGGTAGCCAACAGATTGTTCCAGCTGGCTGACGTTAACGTACGCGCTAAGCTCGTAAGTATAAGAAAACAGTAGTGAATCGTCTACAGGGATTGACGTTAATCACCAGTAGGATTCTTGCTAACGCGTTTATTTTAATCTGCACCTAGCACGGACAGACTGCGCTGATGCTTGCTGTATCTCATGGGAGAAAAGACATGACCCAGCTTCTCCTGGACGCTGGTGCAGCTGTGAATATCCAGGACGAAGATGGCAGTACTGCTCTAATGTGCGCAGCCGAGCATGGACATACCGATATAGTGCGTCTTCTATTGGCACATCCTGATTGTGATCCCTCTATCGTCGACGTGGATGGCAGTTCTGCCCTGAAGATCGCCTTGGAGGCTGGCAACAGGGATATCGGTGTACTCTTATACGCACATGAGCACGTTAACCGAGGAACCAGCCCTTACTCGTCAATGAGAAGATCTCGCCGAGGATCTAAGCCCACAACACCTACAGGAGCTTCGCCGTCTGCTCCCGTGAGTCCTGCACCGTCGAGACGCTTTCATTCCTCGAATATTTCTTTAAATTCCTCGAAGTACTCCTCGTCGAAGTAGTTTCATAATCGTGTTAAGGTTCACCAGAAGTCCTGGTTCAGTGCTTTGACATTTGCTAGTTGTTAGGCGAGGACAAGATCCTGTAATTCTTAAGAGATGACGAGCGATAGGATCATTTTCTGTTTTATCTTGAAAAGGATCCACTGTAAATGGAGGCCATTTCTGGCATTTATTTATCTGTCTCTTTCTGTATCTTTATACCACCACTCTCCGACCTCTACCTCTCTTTGTCTCTGATTCATTTAAAAGAAAAAAAAAATGTGCAAATTTGTTAAAATTCTGTTTTCCACGTCACAGAATGGTATAGATCTGATTTTGCTTAGAATTTTTCTATCGTTGATAAAAGTTGATTTTGATCCAAAAGAAAATGTACTGGTCATAATTATCTTTGAACTGCTAATGAGTATGCAATTTTTATTAATTCCGGTTTATCTTCTCCTATCTTTCTTGAGGTACCTGATCGCGCGAAGTCAAGTACGGATTGTACTTTTTAAAAAGGTTTTTATCAAATTACTATTAAAATATTCTTGCGCTTCTCTTATACGCAACACTAATTTGTCTCTCATTACTATTGTTCTATATTTTTAATAGCACTAAATCAAATATAATTATCTTTGATTTTTAATTTACTGTTATCGAAACTACTATTACAAGCTAAAGGCTGTCTTTTGTAAATAAGTTTTTTCATTCCAAGTATCGCTCTTTGCGGACTATATTTCTATCTTTCTCCTTGTGTCTCTCATTTTCTCGCGCAATTCGCAAGCGAATTGAAGCCCCGTTTACAGGTGCTGCATGTAATGAACGTACATTAACGGTGCTCGTGGTCATAATTATTATCGATGAAGAAGGTTATAAAAAAGAAATATATAAAGAAGAAAAGATTAAAGAAATGATTATCAACTGTTCGTATGTCGGGGAGGAGCATGCAAGAATAGACAATTAATGAAGAAACTATGGAATATTGAAAAATGTATGTCAAATGTGTAGAGAAACGTATGGACTCTTTCTTGACCATAGGGTGAAGGAAGAGAACGTCATTTTCTAAGCTGTTATGTACTTCAAATTATATCTTAGAGAGATGGCCGTGCGCTTTTTCCTCGGCTCTAGATTTTATATATCGCGTATATAACGTAAATGATTTTCTCATTGAAATCGTCGTGGCGCAACCTTCTGAATGAACATATTAATGAATCACTGACTGAATGAACGAATGAACGAATGACTGTCGATTCACAATGAAAAGTAAAAGTAAATAGTACGAAAACTATAAAAAGAGAAACTAATAACACAAATATACAATTAAGAGCGACGCGGAGATGTGTGAGAATTTTCGAAGTTGTTTTGAAAGGTATACATAAAAATATTTATATATATTATACACGTTGGGTTATTCTTTAAAATTTTTTTAAGAGTCTCAGGCAGCAGACAGCCGTGTTTTAAATGCAAATATAATGAAATGCGTGGGAATAATGTCTTCCAGGAAACTAAAGAACAGAAGAAAAATATAGAACGATGAACAAAGTCTGTGGAGGCAAAACATTCCACATTAATTGCAAATCCTATCCTTTGTAAATTCAGTCCTCCTACCGGAGGGCTGACAGACTGATTAAAAGTACTTGGCCTAAAATATCCTGTCGAACTTTATGTCGGGAACAAGTAACGCAAAAAGCGAACAAAGGTATACAATAGTAAAATGAAATATGAATGAGATACACTGATTTAGATAGCCGTCAATACAATTAGATTAATGTAAACTGAAATAAAAAAATAAACTATTATTAGCTTCAACAATTTGATACTGACTAACGTAGTCCTTCAGTCGTGTGATCGACTTTTGAGGCAGGAAAACAAAATAACGGTTAATACGCATGAGATCCAATAATATTTCAACGTATTACTCTGTGTCCTATGAAGTATTTTCACGTGCTAGTAGCGCGCTGAGATCCTTTAACAAATATAACATTTATTTATTCTTCTGGTTGAATATGTCGCGACGCTGCCGTCGACTCCGCGCGAGAATTTCTACCTTCCTTCACGTGAATTCATTTTCCTTTCTCTTTGATCTTTTCTCTTTTTTTTACATCCTCCCTTTTAACCTGAAACTAGATATGGGAGGTCCTGTCGTTGCACGAGGGATACTCGGCGTGGGAGAAATTTTTTTTCTAGGGTTGTGAATAGTGCGTTAAGTTATTTTAACGTGTTGAAGAAAGCGCAATTTAAGTTCAGCACGTCCCGACACGATCGACGACGCTATTTTCAAAGCGACGTTAAACGACGAATGGCGATTATCATTGACGATAGTGATTATTAAGTGATGATGATGTTTAGAGATCTAGATGATAGATCATAGAGACATGTTTTTCATTGTTTGTGCCTTTCTATGTAACATATTACGACTAGTAATAAATATTTAAATAATTCCAAACTTCTCCTTAATATTAATACGTGTATTGCTTATTGTGTTGTCCTGTTCTTCAGTTATATTAATACCAATAACGCTTTTTTTATCATCTATAATTTATCACAATTATCTTTGGAAGCTATATTCGCTAATACAAGCCTAGACTACAGGAGATCCATGTTTCTATAAAGAGAATAAAACTCAACAAAGAGAGAAGAAAAGGAGTGTGTTTGCAATAATCTTCTGTAAGACATCCAAAAGGTGCAAGTATTTAATAGGCAGAGTGAAAATTATATGCACAAAAACTCATAACTCATTCGTTGGTCTGAAACCATTGACATGTGATAATGGAGTAATATAACTTCGAAAGTGGCTGCAGTATTGAATACATTTACGCGAGGGGCCTATTCCGGCGTGAATTGTACTGATCTAAAGGAATTAACAAATCACAGTCACTTATACTTCTAAGGAATATTTATGATTGATTGATTGCCTTAGAACAGTACTAATTAAACCGGAATGGAAATACCGTGTAAACATAATCACTATGAAAAGGTGGAGAGACTAATCTTGGTGGAAATACATATGTTCCTATCAGCCTCCCCTAATTATTCACTTTTCTTTCTCTTCATATAAATTAGTCACTCTCTAGGGTATGCTCAGACTAAAGTTATATCTATGTAAGTGGTTGGGGATGTCACTCTATGTAAGAACAGTGAAGTATATTGAAGTATATTAAGAAATGAAACACATAAAATTCCCTATCGTCAAACGGTATTCAAATAGTCAAACGAGTATTGCCATGTAATGAGCTCAGTTTCAGTACATGTTAGAATAATGGTTCTATTTAAATACAAAGGAGTGTTGAGAAATCACAACTTTAATACAGTTGGGTTCAACTTGAACTCATTTGCTATCTAAGATGCATCTGCTTAGAAACATCAATAAATCAAGGAATTGTTATGGATACAAATATGTATAACTATAGAAGGAACTTGATTTAATGTTCTCCTAATTAAACTTGCAAAGCTCATTAGTCTTCTAATCAAATCTCGATTGGCATTGAACCCTTTTTTGGGGTTTCCATCACCAGCTTTATTATAGTGTGCAAAGAATGGACGTAACAGGAGTTACATTGCTATGTAACAAACACCAAGTAAGGTAGATATTAACAAGCTAAATATGGAAAATCTTAAAATTCTCTGTTACTTCCAATAGTAAAACCTCTTTCATACATTTTCTAGACTTTAATTGGCAAACCGAGGTTGATTAACTCATATAAATCTAATGCTTGTGTTCAACAGTTCAACAGAGCAAGAGTGTGTGACTGGTCATTTGATAGTAAATCTTGCAACATTAGTATAACTTCACGAATCAAATATATTTATTTCTTAAGCTTGTTTCTACTGAAGACAATCATAGGATATGCAACAGGCATCTATGAAGCATCTGTATACCTCCAATAGCTTACAGTTAAGCATTGCACGTGTATCAGTTATGAAAATCTAGTGCATGTGATTCTAGACATCTTTATGAAACAGTAGCACAGTAATTGCTTCAGGACAAGGATAATAAATGTATTATTTTTATGAAATTACCCTACTGAAAGTTGTTAACTTATGAGACTAAATACGCGTTGCATTACTTAAGAGCATTGAAGAATGTAGTTGTGCTTTCAGTGGGGCGACAGTGTATTATGCCAATTTATAAAATAAATGATTTATTTACTAAAATAATAGTACATTATGTTCCTATCATTCCGTATATGTACTAGCGCATTTTGATTAATGGAAGAGCAAACTTTAACTTAATTAATTTTTCCCTATCGCCAGGCTGTTCCGTATGTCTTATCCAAAAGACACACACATTAGACATAATGTAATTACAAATTAGATTACAAATTCCATAACAATAAAAGAAAAATATATCAAAACAGAATTAACCAAATGACTCACGTTATATTATATAAATTGAGAAGAAAAGCTTAGAGTTTTACATTTAATGGCCATTCTTTTATATATTATTATATTCTCGAAGGAAAGCGTAGCGTTACGAGAATCAATCAACATCATTCATAAATGATCCAGCCTATCTTGACAATTTTCGTATTCGCTGCACTCACCTTTTTCAATTCACATTCAATAAATGAATCTCCGTGCTCATGATATTAATATAAAACATTTATGAGGATCTGCTTCTGGGCTTGCACTATCAGACAAGACATTGATCCGAACAAATTTATAGTACAATACTCCAAGCACCATGACACAACATTGATAAAATTTCTCTAGCTCATCGACAACAGATACGCATATTCTGTTATTGGATAAAGTTTTTCTATTATAATATTACATGATAATTTATAAGATGAATTATCGCATACGATATCTCGCACTTTAGTGCCTATTTGTAGGAACGACATTCATTCTGGGCAACTTCGCTGGAAGTTGGAGATCTACTCGAGTAATCGAGCATCTTGCTGCAAGAAAGGATGACAAAATAAAGATTAACCCTTTGCGCTTCAATGATGACTCCCAGACACTGATTTTTTTGTCGATGCTACCTACCAATATTGTTATACTGGATAACAGTTTACAGTTTTTCGAATTCGTAAAAGCAAGTCCAATATTAAGATTATAAGATTTTACAGTAAACATTCGGCAAAATAAAAATAGTTTTAGAACGATTGTACGATAATTATTTCTGTATTATATTCGCGTGTTAAAATTCTGTATTTAATATGCACAACATAAGGCGAAAATAAGTTAGTATTGTTGGTAGACTCTCGAGTAGAACTGTTGGAGCGCAAAGGACTAAAAATCGAAAGAAGCAAACTACGTGCAGAAGAGGCCCAGATATCTAATATGCTTGAATAGACAAATAATTGAAACTCTAAACCACACTAAGAAAATATTGTTATTCAGCGATTGCAATTGACACAATTCTATCAAGAGCGATCCTTCAGGATCGCTCCTGAGTTTTTCTGCAAACTTCTTGTTTTCATTTCGTTAGACCAGTCTAAAAAAACATAGATTTATGTATAATATACATATATCATAAAATGTAATATAATATATTCTTATATATACCCTGGCTAACAAATGTCATTCTAAACCAGGTCTCATAGAGTAATTTAGAAAGAAGCCATTTTCACAAGGTTTACACGATGAAAGACGACGTGATTCTTCAAAGAGAAGAAAAAATTAAGAATATAAAATGTAGCACGTACTATACGTCAGATATTAGTACAGTGTGAATGTATACGAGGATAAAAAAATGGAATTATGTATTAGACAAATCCTTAGGAAGAAAGCCATTCGATTGGCGTTGAAATTCGTCGACATACTTTTTTGTCTTGATCATAGTGAAACGTCCTGTATAAATTGCAAAATTGTATAATTAAATATATGTATATAGTATATAATTTAGGTGTACGTGTCTCCTTGTCTATCCGTATGTTCTGCTTCGTATATTCGATAAACACTTCTCAAGATATGACATATTGAAAGTGAACTAAATACCATGGATTCATATCTTTATCGCATCACCAAATTAAGGATCAGCATTCGTCGCCATCGTCGTAATTACCGTCGTACTTCCCCTCTTCGTCATCCACATCATCATCGTTACAGCAAAGTTAGATCTAATGGTCCCCCTGTTGATTATTTTGCGCCGGAGTAGCTGGCGTCGGGTCGTCATGAAACAGTGGATTCTTCACCTCCATCTCACCAGTCTTTAAAAAGGTACAACAATGTCCTTGGGTTAAAACGAAGACCCTAGCTGAGGCAATAGTCTGCTAATACTTTTCCCATATAAACGGAAGACTCTAGCAAGAACAGTTTAGATAGTAAACACAGCTTCAGGCTACAAGAACAGAAAATTAAAGGCAAATAAAAATACAGCAAAAGTACAGCATCCTACATCGCAAAAAGGAGAAACTCGAAAGGGACGACAAAAGGTTAAATAAAAAAAAAAGAAAAACATGAAAAGTCAATCTGTGAGATTCTCGTATTTTATATGATGCAAGATAATAAACTTACCGGTGCAAGTCCTGGACACTCGTAAACTGTGTAATCGCCTTCCTCATTTTCCTCCTCGCTCTCGGCTTCAGATACCGATCCAGGATCTCGAGATGCAGCCGTACGGCTAAAGAAATAAGTGACTTAATTATAGATTCACTTGAGCTTGCGTCGATCTAAGTTTTTCATCCACGTACTTTTCCATGGCTATTATTTGTTGCTTCTGATGTTGGAAGTGATACATCTGCGCAGATTGGGCCAGCCTCTGGTCGCCTGATGGAGATATGTCTTTGTTTGGTCCTGTGACACCGTATGCTGGATATTCAATATCAGCTGCCGCTTTAGCACCTCGTTGAAGTCTGGGAAGAATGAGCCTTTAAAGATCAATTATCTGTGGTAAGAATAATACTTTGTGAAATTTTTCATTCCCTTCCAGAAATCATTAACCGTCTTTAATCCATTTAATATTTATTCCAGCCAGCATGATTCCTAGGAAGGCAATTCGACATTAAATAACGTCGCACCTGCACCATGTTAAGCTGATTAAAACGAGAGCAAACATCGCAGCAGCTGAGCATCCCGCTACGGTAGCTGAAACAGAAGAAGGTAAGGTATAATAATTAAGGAAGGTAAATAGATTATTCTTTCTATTTGACAACATACCAATGATAAAGATGTCACTATTAATCTGATGATCAACTGGTAATACTAAAGGGTCATGTTCAGCTCTTCTCTGTGGTTCTGGCATCATTCCTGAGTTTATATCTTGGAATTTATTACCGTAAGCATTTTGTTCTGGTACCAATTCTTTAGTTTTCGGCGAATTCTCATTGGCTTCCTCATGACTTTCTATCACTTTGACGGGATCATTTGTACTTCGATCTACTACTAAATAATAAAATAAATGTTAAATTAATTGTTTAACAGTATTTGCAATAATTATTAGACTGTCAATTCTTACCAGTTGAAAAAGGATTATCCTGATAATAACGAGGATCATTTGGTTTCACAGCAATCGGATCCTTATCAGCCAAATTAGAATCATCAAACTTAAAAGTAAATTGAACTATAGGTTCTGTTGTTTCTCTATTAACAATAGAGTCGTCAACATTATCCCCAGATAAGTCCTTATGAAACTGTACATGCCTTCCAGGAAATATGGAAAAAGGTTCCTCTTTCATTCCACGATTAAGATAACGTTCCTGTTTATGAGAGACGGGAGCGATAGGAACGTTGACAACAGGATAATTCCGTTCAGTATTTTCAAAATTAAGTCCATTTTCAGATGGTTTCTCCAAAATTGGAATCCTAAAGTTGCCATAGTTGTTAGGAAATTGCCTGGGAATGGATTCCAATTCGTAGAAAGCACGTTGACGTTCGTTCCTGGGTGCTAAGTCATTGAAAAAATTATTCTTCTGAATCTGCTGTTGATAATCAAGTTCCTTCAATTGATTTTGAAGAACGTCAATTATATGCGACTTCTCGGTCAGATCATCCAATATATTCTTTTCCTTCTCCCGCAGTAATTCGAGCAGATGTTCCTTATGATTTCGCGACTTAAAATGCGTCGGTAGACGTGGGTAATAATGCTGCTGATGACTCTGAGCCTCGAGATACCTGGCCACCTGTTTCAATGTAATATCCTTTGGTGACTCTGGTAGCACGTCTGTACAGAAACAATAGACAATTATACAGTAGTTTTATTACTCTATGATACTATCGATACTATTCTCATGAGTAACGATCAGGTGTAACGAGGCTCAGTAGAATAAAATTAAAAATAAAAATGCAAGGGAAACAAGACACAGCCAAGTATGTATTCTTATCAGCTGGTGTTCCGTTGGTGGTTTCACACACACGTTTCCTGTAGAATAGCGATAAGTTAACATGTAGCTGACCACTTGCCGTAATGTCAGCGAGAAAAAAGAAAAGAAGGTCATATAAAAAATATGATCAGTGAAACTGTCAAAACGTTAACCAGATAAATGACAGAAAATATTTTAACAGCTTTCAGATAGACTTACCTGGATAATATTCTATTTCTCCTATGGTGAGAGTCACCAGTAAAAGGAATATCGTACCAGGCAACAGTCGACACCTCATACTGCTTAGTGATGGCTGGTGATGGCGCACCAGGTAGTCACGACAGTACACAGTCACTCCGTTCAGATCTTCTTTCTGTTCTCGTGTTTATCGTAGCTGGACCGTCGTTTCCATATGTACTACCGTCATTCATGAGGACGGTCGGGACTTGCGCTCTATACGGACTTTTATTTCAATCAATAATCTAGCCGGCATACGACCTACCTCTATACGTTATACCACTAAAATCTATCTACTCGTATATGTATACCAGAGTTCGTCGTCCGGCGCGCGATATTACGAATGTAACAGGAATCCCGACACTGATTCAGCGAGTCGAATTACAGTTGTTCCCCGCAAAGATCCGCACTTTTGTATCGTTATACTTTGCGTGATCAACTGCTTCGAAAGAGCATATTAGCTGCCCGAGCGACATCTGCTATCAAACGCTTATTATAGAAGCAACTAACTAAATAGTTGGATTACAGTGTGTAAGAAGATCCTGATACTCTAATAAACCAACGTTTAGTCCTTCTTCTTCTCTTAACATTTATTATATCCTCTAGTGATTGTATCTGTAACACACTTAGAATTATATATTCATAGTTCCTATGATAATTATCGTGCCATACTAAGTGTATGGAAAATAAACAATGGATAACTCTGTTTAGGTCGATTTTAGTTGTCGAAGTCGTCGGTGATAGACTCGCCTTCCAAAAGGAGTCTACTAGGTTTACTCTTGGTCTTCTCTTTCTGTTTTCTTCTGCGATTCACCACGCCATCCGGTGCATCCATCATCCTCAGGATCTGCGTCTGATCCGAACAATCCACCGGAGCGACTGAGATGTCACGCACTGCACGAAATTTGCCGCAGTTGTTTAAGTGCTCGTTTTCCAACCGAAAGAAATTCCAGATGAATCTCCTGATTATCATGAAATTCGACAATTATACTTAATGTTATTTTAGAAAGAATTAATTACTGTTATGGTAAATAAACAAGAACGCATGCTCCTACTGACAACTGCAAGTTGCGACATGCTGCGAAAATTCCTGTATGGTTGGAAATCCAAAGCTCGCAAGCAGGTCTTATGTTACATGGTTGATATTCACTATGACATCAGAATACATGATACTGGTTCTTCCAAACACCGTGATCCTTGACGTCGTCATCGTCGTCGTCGTCGTCGTCGTCCTCGTCTTTGTCTTCATCCTCTTGATAATCCATAAGACCAATCACGACTTTAGGATCTTCTCTTCTTATGGGTCCTATGGAGATGTCCCGCACGGCACGGAATTTCCCAACATTGTTCAAATGTTCGTTTTCCAGGCGCAAATAATTCCACATGTACCTTCTACTAAGTTTTTTTTAAAAGGATTATATGAATTAGCATACAAAATGCCAACCATACAATGTGCTTATAGAAAAAAAAATAATATTGAAAGCGCTATGTGATTCATAAAAAAAATTACAGATACAAGATTAATCGGAAAGCACATTCATATACTATCATGCACCTTCCCACTTTGACAGGAATACAACACTGTGCAAAATACAAAATCATTCCTTGTATATTAAATTGTTAACATCGATTGTATAAAAAGTAAAACATAGCTTCTTCTATGAAGAAGTAAAACGTGAAAAATGTGCATTTCTTTTGCATTTTTGTTTTATCTGAATTATAAAGTTTCAGACTATTACGTTGTATTTCATATGGTATTTCGTGACTTACCTAAAAACCTCCAACGGTGCTATTATAGAAACCATAAGATCCGCATGTACATATCCCATTTCAGTTAAAGACAGTGAAAACGCCCATCCGAATCTCAAAATAAAATCTTCCACAATTGCAAAATAATAATAATGCTGTGATATAAGAAATAAAGATAATTATTTTTAAAATTCCTTTCTATCGTTGTATCCAGTAAGTGTCTAATTACCGGTGACGAGTAAACGATCTCTTCACGCAGAAATCTATTTTCACCAGCCTTAGTATCAAACAAACCCCAATCCAATTTCACGTCCCACGTATAAGCAAAACATGAACTTACAATACTTGCAGTAAGCCAGAGATAAAAGTAGGGATTTTCAGTATCCATCACGTAATTCTCTACATGTTAAAAAAGAATGTTCAAGACGAATTCTTACGAGTGGTCGAACTTTAGTATACTTACTGGTGTAAGTAAGGTGTAAATAAGAAAATACAACTACGAAGAAGCTTGTAGCATATTTTCCAGCATTGACCAAATGTGGAAAAGCTTCCTTAGTGTCTCTGTAGCGCCTCAAACATTGAGCAAAGCGAAACCAGGCTGGTAGACATGCAACGAATGGTCGCATTGAGTGTTCATGAATTATACATGTCTCTGCGTCTACATAAAAATATGTTGTAATTGTTAATCTAAACGTTGTAGTAAAGGAAGTAGTAAATTAATGTACCGGTCACTTCCTTCCAGGATGAGTTCTTTATGTAGAAGCAGATAAAATATTGAAAATCCAGAAAAACCGTGTGAAGGGAATTCAATTGATCAGCCAACCAAAAATCTGCGAAACCAACGTAAAAGAATGGCGCGCAAAAAATGCGACCTAGAACACCGAGCGCCCAGAACCTAGCCTCATGCTTGAGGGTTTTTGTTGGATTGAATAAAAACAAGGCCAACAAGAAATAGAGGAATATCTGAAAAAATAGGTAATAGAATACCATATTTCTATTTCTACTCTATAAATAAAAGATAATTAAAATGTGGTTAAAATACCGGATGAACAAACGGTGGTATTCCTAATGTTTCACTGTATAGAAATCCCAAAACAGAGAGTGACCAAACCAGTCCAAATATGCTGGCCATCTCTATAATATGCTGTAATCAAAATATATTTATGAATGAATTGCATAGATGACATAGATGACATTACTAAATGATTTATAACCTGTTCAGAAAGATGATTCCTTGGATCTAATTCGAATATAAGTACATGATTGACCCCTGATGATCTCCATCCGTAAACATTTATTCCCATGAGAAATAAGAATTGGATCATCAGTAATGGGCCGCGATACAGGCGACATAATACACGCCAATCATTTCTATTTCTATAGTAAGCACCTAATTGAAGGCAAAAATCATTATCATATTGAAATTTATGAAGATTTTGTTTGTCAAGACTTACCAGAAAGCACGACAGCTATCAGAAGCACCACAAAGGCTCCTGAGAATAATCCCACTTTAAATGTGATCCATGGAGAGAGTTGTTCCCCTAAAGGTGGAACACGCAATCTCTTCATAGCACGTTGACGATCTCCATGCTCCAGATCTCTGGTGACAACAGCTTCCGTCTCAACTATCAGTCTATCGATATCTTTGTGAGTATGAAACAAAGCTGTCTCCACATGTTCAGCTCTCCATTTCACTCCTATATCCACATTTAAAAGCTACAGAAAAAATACCATTTGTTATGTTTAATTGCAAGGGAACCATATTAAAAAATCAATTCCAATATTAACAAACTTTATCATGCTTCTTGAGAATCTTGCGAAATCCAGTAAAATTGAGATTCTGATAATTTTGCAGTAGAATAAGAGACAGATAGAATTCGGAGAAAGCAAGTTTAAGTTCCTGGAGCTTGCGAGCTGAAACTGGTTTCTTATTTAAGATACGTCCATGGTATCTGACTTTTCTTCCACCAAAGGAACTATCTTCAGAAACTGTATGAGCATCACTCAACTCATTGTTCAAGGAAGCAAATCTTCTTGTGGCCTCAGCCAGTTTCTCTATCGAGCAACATAGAATTGTGTCAACTATAACTAAATACATAAAAGTCTTACTTTCACTTACCAGAATAAAAGGTGTTTATTTTTGCTAGTTCCTTATCACAATAATGAAAGAATTTCTCATCGAATTTACTAAAGTATCTCTCTAAAACGTGAGGCTCAGTCGCGTCTACAGACGGTGCTTGCTCCACAGCTGCATATAATAGAGCTTTCATTTCCTGTTGTTGCAACAAAAATGAAATCGAAATGGTTAAAAGGGTCTTAAAACTGCGCGTCTTCTCGCGCCGAATTTTAATTGCTGAACCTAGAGACATCTATAATGGTGGCGTTTACGTCTCGCGTATGATATGCCTCTATGCTCTATACTGCTTTATTATTGTTCTTTTCTATGCGTAGTAGACGGTTCGTGCTTAATAAAGAGAGGTTAGATGTGCCGCAGAGTTATGTATATTTTAATATTGTAAATAATATAGGAAACAAAGCGCAGGATACTTATTGCAGTATTTTACCACGTAAAGTAAGTAATGCTAATTAATACTTATTTCTAATGAATAATACGTTATGTACTCTCACATAAGTTGTATTTTTTTTTAGCTTTAACATCTTATTTAAATTAACTGCATGAGCCGTTACCTCATAATTGATATATTGCTTTCTCCATTCCGGGGTAATGTGAGCGCTTAGATGCTCAGCAAATTTCATTTTGTCTTAGAACCAAGAATAACAATAACAACAACAAATGATGCAGAACCAGTCTGCTCTTAATTTATTTTCTCAATTCTTCATAACGATGTTTATTTCAAAATGTTTAAATTTAATGATAATTAAAAATCGCTACTATGCAAATAATTTAGTAGATCATTTTACATTGATAAGGCAAGCTTGTTTAGACTTTCATTAAAAGGTATATTGGATCTAATTAACTTTTCTTCATGAGATTTTTTATTTACGGTAATGATAAACGTTATACGTTAAACATTAACACGGATTCATAGAAGTTCTTTAACATTTATATTGTTTTTAGGTTACACTGAGAATTACTACATCTCTAGTAGATGGAAATCTCTCCATAAATAAGGCACGAAAAAAATAAAAGAACATTTTACCTCTAACGGAAAATGAATGAACTACGTAGAATTGTGTTGGGACGACTCAGAGTGCCACTGGTAACATCCCAACGGTGGGTAAGTTATTTTTTTTCCAAATTACGGAACAAACCGGGAAATTCAAAGATAATACGAAAATTGGTAAATTTTAATTTTGATAGAATTTATGATGTAAGCGTGTATTCACAGAAACGTTTTTTTTTCTCAATAGTTATCAAAAGTTAACGTGCGGTTAAACGAGACAGTTATATCTCAGATTGAGAATGAAGACTTGAAACCCAGAAAACATCCTGGTAGAATGTCTATAAACACAGTCGATTTGCCAAACTCGATTGTGAAGGCTATTGAAATTGCCATGGAAGGTATGTGATTTCTGCACATCTTACTCTCTTTGTCATATGGAATAACTTAACAAATTTGAGCTTTGCAGATCATCCAAAGAATGTATTGCTCGAGGATGGGCAAAAATTGGCAAGGTACCTATGGGAAAGGCACGCGCCCTTGGAGCAGGCAGATATTACGGCAAAATATGAGGAAATAGAAAAGGAAATATTAGATAAGCATTTGCAAAAGAATGGCATATCGGTGGACACAGAGACATTGAAACAGCGGTATAGACCACTTGTGATAAAACTTTGTAAACAGAAATTGACTAAATGGGAATTTATTTCATACGATGCATACAAGAGTTTGTCATATATGGCAGGCAGAAGTATACAAAACTATGCAGTAATGTGTAAGATCTTCAATGAAATCAGCATACGAGATAAGGAATTTCAACCACAGTCTCTGTTCGATTTTGGATCTGGAATTGGCAGTGTCATGTGGTAACTCTAAGAGAATTTATGAAGTTTGTCTTTTAAATCTTATCATGTCAAAAATATTTATTTTTTATTTCAGGGCTGCATCAAGATTTTGGTTAAAATCCATCAAAGAATATTTCTGTGTTGATATTTCCCTTCATATGAATGAATTGTCTGAACAGATTATACTGAAATCGAAACCAAAAATTAATAATATCTTCTACAGACAGTTTTTACCAGCTTCACCAAACGTGAGAACTTTATTGTCAATTGCATAATGTTCTCCATTTACTTGTTTAACTATCATTGGAACTACTTATAGCCTCCTTACGATATTGTAGTAAGCGCCTACTCTTTAATGGAATTGCCAAATACAGAATCACGATTACAAACAATTCTGAAATTGTGGAGAAAAACAAACAAGTATTTAGTTATTGTAGAACAGGGAACAAATGCTGGCTTTAAGGTATGTGATAATCGTTTCACTATAATATTTTATTATTAAATAATTTTTTGTATTAACAATTGTTTTTTTTTCATTTTAGCTGGTAAACGAGGCACGAGATTTCGTTTTACACGTATCAAAGAAGAACTCTCAAAAAATTTCTCAATCTGGATATACGTTTTCTCCAGTGAGTTGATTACCATAAAATAAAAACAATAAAACTGAATAAAACAACAGAATTCATAAAACCTTAATATTAAATTTTCAGTGTCCACAGGATTTAAAATGTCCCAGATACAAGGAACTCCAAACACCGTGTAATTTTGAAGTTTCATATATTTCTACACCTTTCATCAGTCCTAGGCATACAAATAAAGAGCGCTATTCTTACGTTATTATGCGGAAAGGTGAGACATGGTATTGAAGAAGATAACGTTAATTGGTATTTAAATCGACCAATTCTTTGATCAGGTGAAAGACCTAAGGACGATGAACAATGGCCCAGAATTGTCCGGCCAATTTTAATGCGTTCAAGGCACACGATTTGTCGTCTATGCACAAAAGAGGGAAACCTTCAGGAAATCATTTTGACAAAAAGCAAGCATGGAAAGTAAGGGCATACAAATGTTCAGAAATAGGCTACTTCTACTGTTAAATTCCTACTGCGAGGGAAATATCAATTTTTATTCCTTTACAGAGTCGCATACCGTTGCGCAAAGGGTAGTAATTGGGGCGATATGCTACCCTTAGAAATTGTGAATGAGAAGAAAGACAACAATAGTGATAACGATGCTACTGTGGAGGATGTCAAATTCAAGGAAAGTGAAGATCAATCAAATACAGATAATTCATGAACCAAAATTATACATTAAATAAACATAAAACGTTCTGTTAACAAGTCATGATATACTCTCACTTCCTGTTTTTAAACTCATCTCCTCTACTCTCGTTATGTCCCATAAACCCGTTATAAAAATTGCGCAATTATTTTTCCGCGCAAATTTCGTACAGGTCTTAAAGACTACAAGAAAAAATAATTCAATATAATATAGGGAAAAGAACTGAGAATGAAAAGAGGGGGCATTTAAAGACTTCGCGAACAGCCGGAACCTGAACAGTTCTGTCTACACGATGCATCGAGTCATTTCATTAGAGTACACCAGGTAAGTCGTAAGATTCTTATACAGTTAAGAAAACTAGTACGTTTAACACTTTTTTACCAGTTTCCGTAAACTAAATTTTAAAAAATCTCAAACAAAAAGAAAACGCACCGCTTACTATGTTTCTTAACTTTTATTTATTTATAAATAAAATGAGTTGAACCTTGATTATATTCAGAAAGTTTATAAGATAATGAAGGATAATAAGTAAACGTGTTATACCTATTTATTTATTTACACGTTTTACATCGATTCTAATTAAATTACGAATAGAGAATAAAAACCAAGCCGTGAAATTCCATTACATTAGTCGTTATGAGATATAGGGAAATGACAGTATGCTTACGGAGAATGCACATTCCGTATGCAACTTTCTCCAGTTTCACTTTCTTCCAGCAAGATGTTATGAACGATATTCTCCTTGTTCTATAATCTCGTTAAACTATATACATTAAGAGTTACTCCACATAATATTGTTCAGTATAAAAATTATAAATATGAGCGATTCCATCAGACTTCAGCCATCCGTATTTTATTTGCTGTGCTACGTGGATTCGGTCGTTTTTATTTTGAATATAGATATGCCGGAGACGGTGCATCGCATACAAAAATTATAAGATATGGAAGTTTTGTTTTTTTAGTATCTACAATAAAAGTATTGTTAAAAAAATTTGTTGAATTATCGATGTTACGGAATTTTTTTAATATTCTATAGACAGAATATGAATTTTGTGCAAAATTATAAATTGGGACATCCCGCCGTTTTTTAGTCACAAATTTTTTTTAATTTATAAGAACACTAATTTTTGTTAAAAATCTTAAACAAAAATAAATAAATTTTAATAAATTAAAAAAAAAGTAGTGCGGGCTGTAAGTTTATAACCCTAAACGCAGTCTCAACTCTGAAAAATACAAAGAGATAATTTAATTAGAAAAAACAAAAATTAGTGTTCTTATAAATTAAAAAAAAAAATTGTTACTAAAAAACTGCCGGATGTCCAAATTTGTAATTTTACATAAAATTCATATTCTGTCTACAGAATATTTAAAAAAAACTCCATAACACCGATATCTACTCTGTTTTATTACTCAAAAAAAATGTTTTATTTTTTTATTGTGGATACTAAGAAAAACAAAACTTTCATATCTTATAATTTTTTGATACGGTGCACCGTGTCCGGGATATCTGTGTTCAAAATAAAAACGACCGAATCCACGTAACACACCAAATAAAATACGGGTGGCTGAAATCTGATGGAATCGCTCATATATATCCACCTATTTAATCCATACTTCATCATTAATTACTCATTTAGGATGTTTCTGCCAGCTATATTATTCCTTATTATACTGATGTTATTCTTCTACTTGGGATCAAGAAAACCAAAAGGTCTTCCGCCAGGTATCACTTTACCTTTTCTCAAAATTTCTAAACTCATTATTGGTATCATTCCTCAAGTTTCTTTCTTCATTCAGGACCACGTTGGTGGCCTATTCTTGGCTCAACCCTAGAAGTAATTCGGCTTCGAAAACAGACCGGCTATTTATACAAGACTCTCTCGGTTCTCTCCAAAAAATATGGTCCAGTTTTCGCTGTAAAAATTGGCATTGATACTATTGTATTCTTGAACGATTATAATAGCATAAGATCAATGCTGACCAATGAGGATTGTGACGGGAGGCCTACTGGACACTTTTACAAAATGAGAACACAAGGAAAGTCACAGGGTAAAATTTGTTCATAGTTTATATTTACTCTTAAATAACTGTGCACACATTCATTTATAATTCTATGAATACTCTGACAGGTGTTTTGGTCACTGATGGTCGCTTATGGGTTGAACAACGTAGATTTGTTCTTCGGCATTTAAGAGAATTTGGCTTTGGCCGCACCACTATGGCCTCATTAATAGAAGAAGAAGCTCAGCACTTGGTCAATCACTTTAAAAGACTTTTGTTAAGTGCCAATAATCCGGTGTCGGAAAGCAGACAACAAATCAAATCTTGTTCAAATAACAATGGGCAGATTTATCAACTGATCTCTGATACGAATATTAATAATACAATGATGACACACGAAAAAGACAACATAGAATCGGACACTAAGAAGAGAAAAAATGAAGGAATGACTATTGAGGATGCTTATGTGAAAGCTGACGATTATGATGAAGTGAGAAAAATCTCACAGTCCTCCGGAATGATAATCAGCATGCATGATGCCTTTGGCATTCCTGTACTCAATACATTATGGCGAATGATGACTGGGAAAAGGTGGATGTTTTGATTTTAAATAAAAGTACGAAAAAGTTACATGTAACTAACTGCTTTCACACAATGATCCTAATTAATCTAGATATAATCCGGATGATGCTGAGCTGAAATATCTTCAAAAAATTGCAACTCAACTTTTAAAGGATGTGGATATGGTGGGCAGTACATTCAGTTACTTTCCGATACTGAGATACTTGGCGCCTGAAATGTCTGGTTACAAATCATTTGTTGCAACGCACGAGCGAATCTGGAGATTTCTTAAGGTACAGTAGTCATTGTAAAATATATAATTCACATAAAAATACGCATTGCTCTGATATTACTACCTCCCATACACAGAAAGAATTAGAAAATCACAAGACTAACATCAATCCTGAGAAGCCTAAAGATCTGATGGACGCCTATATAAATATTTTACAGACAGAATCTTACAGTAAGACGTTCTCAGGTATGCTTATTTCAAAAATTAATATTCCAATAAAAGATGCCATTACTAGTATAATATTTATTTCAGAACAACAATTACTAGCTATCTGCTTGGATCTCTTCATGGCTGGATCAGAAACAACTTCCAAAGCTCTCAGTTTTGGTTTTCTCTACATCGTACTCAATCCAGACGTCCAGAGAAAAGCTCAGGAGGAAATTGATTTGATAATTGGTCATAAACAGTTTCCACGCCTGAGTGATAGAGTAAGGTAAAAGTTGCAATTTTTTTAAATATTACTATTTGCTTTGGTTACTTTTCATTAAAACGAGCTGTGAAGATATCCTACCAGATGCTTTCTATTAACTTATGTACTTTCTCAGAATGCCCTATAACGACGCGATTGTTCTGGAATCGGTACGGATGTTCATGGGACGTACCATGGGTATACCACACAGAGCCTTAAGGGATACATATATCACAGGGTATCGGATACCAAAGGTAAATGAAGTATTTATCAAAAATTTCTAATAAAAAAGATAAAATAAAAATATACAATAAACAAAAAATATAAGGAACTGGCTAGATATTATGATTATCTGCTATATCAATTTCTCTTCTTCGTATTTCAGAATACCATGATAGTGCCTAATTTCAATGGGGTTCTTATGAATAACTTCTGGAAAGATCCAGAAGTATTTCGTCCAGAGAGATTTATCAACTCTGATGGAAAGATCTCAATACCCGATCAATATCTGCCATTTAGCTTTGGTAAGCATTCATACACTTGTTACAAAATCCAAAAAAGAAAAAGTATTATATTTGGTTGAGCAAAGGTAACGAGTAGTGTATCGAAAGATTCTACTTTTTTGTCTTCTTCTATATCACAGGTAAACACCGTTGCATGGGAGAAGGTCTGGCCAAGAGCAATATATTTGTAATAACAACGACCCTCTTGCAAACCTTTAGGTTTTCTGTTGTGCCAGGTGACAAGAAACCGAGCACAGAAATAGTGGACGGCGTCACAGCAGGACCAAAACCGTTTCGTGTCCTTGTTACACCACGTATATAATTGTGTTAATTATATAATATAATTCTTGTACGCATTTCCATTTTAGCAAAAGCAAAAAGTATCGCTTAAAAAATTAAACTTACATTTTGTAGAACGGGGTTGATGAATATTTCTATCCTATCCCACTGATTGAACAGTGGGATTTTATTTCGACTCTTCGTTATCGCCATTTTCTTTTTTCTCTTACAACCCTTCAATAATCGATTACTCATTAACAATATTATATTATAAAATACATATATATGCACATATATTATATATTGTTTAATTGCATACCTACAACGACAGCGTTCGCGCGAGGAACTAGCTGTAAAAAAAATCAGCTAAAGACGCGACGAATAAAATAAATACTCTTGACGAATACATATCGATCGTGTATTATTCAAGCTAACAGGTAATTATGGGCTGATAAAAATATCACGTTCAAAATTTATTTACTTCTTTAAGTCGAAACTCGATAAAATTCTATTGGAGATTGTTGGGTACGACCGCATGGAACATAAGGAAATACAGAAAAGTAGATACTTATATACGTATGGACATCCGTTTTATCAAAAATAAAAATACACGTGTTTAACTCTTAACGATCACACTTCAATAAAGTTTCCATAAGGATCACACGTTACGTTGAGGTGTCACTGAGACACCAGGTGACCGTTAAGGGTTGAAGATTTTTTATTTATTAGATCTAAATTTGGAGATTATCAGCTTCATAGTTTGAGATTATCAACCCTCAGCTGGGCGAGCTTACAGCTAAAATGCCGCGCTTTACTTCCCACTTTTTGCCGTTCTGTTCAGCCCCTTTTAAACTGGTTTTCCTTTTTTCAGACAATGTTAGCATTCGTAAAGATTGCCTCCCAGATAGCACAAATTACAAAGATGTCAATAAGACGTTTTCAGAAGGTCTTACCTACCGCTTTTTGATATCTTATTGATACCTACGTAATTTTTCTTGTTTGGGTTATTTATTAAAACTACTCACCAGCAGATATATTAATAAACTCTTTGTCACATCAGTCGTTAATAATCAGTGAAATATACCTCAGTACAAATGATTACTTATTTGATTAACAGCAAAACAACAAGTATCGTACATAACATTTTTGCTGAATATTTATTAACTCATAAAAATATGATTATGGTCACATTTCGTAAAACCAACCAATGTGACAAGAAATTTATTAAATGCTGAGAATATAAAGAGGCAGGCTTTATGAATGAATTAGGACTTCGTTTTAACTACAACACGTGAATGAGACGTTATTACATGGTTCAAGCGATCGTGTTAAAAGGCAAATCCATTTGCACTGATATTTTGATGATTCCCTTGTTTAAAGATTCATCGAGTCTATTGCTGAGATTCAAGTTTTTATCTTGGTTCCTTAATTTTTATGTACATTTTCTTTTGTAAAATCCTTCAGTAGCTCACAAAGTCCGGAGAAAATGGCGAAATAATACAAAGAAAATTAAGGTTAACGATACCATGATCCTTTAAGTTTTGAGTGCAGAACTCTGGCCAAGTGTATTATCGATGATTTCTATAACGAAACAGTTTTCTGCCTCCTTCTTCCTGTCAGCTTGGTTCATCTTCCACTATGTATATCTGCCAAAGAACAAAACTAATTGGTATCAGAAATCTCTCCTCTCCCACATTACACATACTACGTGATTCCTTGAGACTGTAAATTTACTTACTTCGGACAAAATAGCCCAATTGTCACTTTCGCTATGCACAGTTAAACGTAGTACAGAAATTTTGCCATATTTTCTGTCCACAGTTCCCTGAGCTATTCCCATGGCATCGAATCTTCCTGTAAAAATATAGAAAAAAATTGTTATTTTGAGATTTTAGGCTTTCGCGGCAAATATTATCATTAATACTCATGGTTTCCGGATAGAAATCGTTATTTCATATTATCATTTAATCTCAAAAGAACTGCGGACCTTGCATCGCCGTAAATGTAAACGAAAATCGTAAATTGAATGTTTAGATAGAAATTCTTTTCTTATGTTGACTTGATGGCAGATTAAGTAAGATTCACTAATTTTATTACCACTTTTACAAGAGTTACTCCCATGCTGAAGGAGACATCCGACTCGAAAATATTTACCTGCATCAAGTTCAATGTTCGAAGTCTCTAATTGAATGTTTTCTTCACTTTTGGATTAACCCTTGGAAAAATGATGTCAAAATTATTGTTAACTTGCAGAGTGTATTAACTCCAATTAGGCAAAAATCTCTGTCAAAATCATATTTACGATTATCGTTTATATCTCATGCACATGGTAATGCGAGATTACCATAGTTACCATAAATTAGAAAATAACCTCAGGATATTAAACAAATTTATAATTACTTGAAGAAGTTCCTATTTACCTATGATAACGTAACCGTCCTCCGTTACATTTACACTATTTTTGTTGACATAACGCTGATTTTCTGGCATAACCTCGACAGTTGTATTATAAAATCTATCTGAAGGATGTTCAGCGTTTCCACTCCTGAATAAGTACCTACAAGAACGAAATACCGTGTAGAATTAATTGTATTATTTAATAAGTAGTATCAGGAGAATATAAAATGTACCTCTTAATAAATATCGGTTGCGTAAACTTGAAACGTAGATGATCGCCTGGCTGCGGTAAAAGACCCCAAAAGAATGACTCCCCTTTATAAGCCTTTTGGAGCGTGTACTGTTTATATGGTTTTATATGCGTTTCTACTGTAGCATCAGGATTGTCATGCCCATAGTAAAGCGTTATTTTGCCAAATTGTTTATCCTACAAAATAATAAAAACGTCACATCGTAATCATAATCCTCATTGTATTGTAAAACAGTATGTTTTTACCAATACCTTGAGTTTTTGTACCTTTCCTTTTAGCGAGGAATGTGTACCGATATGCTGGAAAAGCGAAGGTTTGTAATGGAGCCATAACCTAGCTTTAGCCATCTTGCAATGTTTCTGCAATAAATATTAAATAATTAATTTAACAAAAGTATTAAATAGTATATAAGATGACGGATATTGTATTTATGCTTACGCTGTCCTTATCTAGGTTGCACATCTTTGTAGAAATCAAATGATCAAGTAGCCAGTCAACTGGTTTATCGTTGTAAAACATTAAAAAAAATTGTACAAGCCATGGAAGTTCAGAACACTTGAACATTTTTCCTAAAAATTGTAAACTATTAAGTTCATCAAAATTGATATACACATGTTAAAGATGTTTTATACAAAGGTAACATAAAAAAATCAGCTAAAGACGATATTTAGACAACAACCCAAATGCAAGGATACTAAACAAGATATTGCTAATATCTTACCAATGAATCCTAATTGGCAAAAATCTAAAACAAACCAGTGCTCCTTCATACTAATTTTTTGCAATGCAAAGGATTTCATTGTAGTTATAAAATTCTTTTTGGCCAATATATCATCCTCTAATTGTATATAAAAAGTTCCTTTAGTCTGTGCATAAGACATGAGAAAAGCAAAATCGAGGTTTTGTTTAGACCTCCAAACGACACGTTGATGATCATCGCCCAGAGTATCTCGGATTTTTGTGAGGTCTGGATAGTAAGAGGATGAGGGTGATATCACCTCAATGATTCCACTTTCGGACTCCTTAGGAAATCTAGAGAAGAGAACTCACAAGGTCATGATCTAAAGCACACAGACATTTGATTATATCGAAAGATGATACCCATACTGAAATAGCCATTCAAAAATGTTTAGAGAGAGAGGGTCTTTTAAGCTGATAAAATAACTGATAAGCTACTTGGGTGATAAATGTTTATCTGAATTGAGTGTAAACTTCCGGTTATTGCAATACTTATGAAAAAAACTTTAGATCAAATTATATAAATTTAGAAATTTCCTGATGGCAATCAAATATCACCTTAATGTAAGTATACTCCAAACCTTGCAGAAGATTCACAATGTTTTGCAAGATATACAGCATACATATGCTGAAGTGGTTCTTAATTTACCCAATTGCTACTATGGTTATATCTAAATATATGAAGTAAAATCTATCTAACGCGAATGTGAAATGAGTTTAAATGAAATGCAAAGGAGTACTTAAAGGCTCTTATACTTTTGACATGAAATCGTTTGATGATGTCTATTAGTGTCAGTTTGAAGGAAAGTTAAAGTTAATCAATATGAATGTTATAGAAACTCAAAAAAGGATTTATAAACTTACTGAACTTCAATCTGTTTTGCGACGTATGTTACATATTCCAAATCTGTTTCTGCTACCATAACTATAATAAGAGTATCAGTAGTCTCTGCAGGAGTCATGCGGTCCAGAAGATTTTTTAGTGTTGCCAACAAATAACTTTGCACTTCTCTTTTAACTGTAGGTACTCCCAAGACCATACTAACACCTGAACGACCTTTACTTTGGACAAATGCAGGTCGTAAACTGTTTGGATCATCCAGAAAATGAGGGAGAAAGTTATATATCGAAGGCAGCTTTATACTGGATATATTTGAAGTACCATTGCCAATCAAAAATTGCAAATCTGGTAGAATATGACTGTTTTCAGCAAGCTGATGCGATAGCAAGTTTATTTCTTCTTGACTACTTATGTACTTGGCATGTAGATGTTCTAATTTAGCTTGTAATTCAGCAATGCCATTTTGCAGATTGGTTTCTTCTCTCATGTCAGGAAATGATACAAAATTGAAAATGGTGCATGGTATCAGAATTGCCAGCAGTATTACAAAGCAGCGTTTTCTTGTTGATGTTAATGTTATAATATGTGGCATCATTATGACTGGTGCATCCTACATGAGGATGTATTAAATGGGTCCCATTGAATTTATAACGTCTTAAACCCAGTTTTTCAGAACTCCAGACAAACTTTCAGACTTAAGTGTCAAACTCTAATTACTCAATGCTCAAGCAAATACCTAAATAATTGTTGAAGATGAAGAATAGCTATTGCAACATGACAATCTTACAACTTTCCTTCAAAGAATCTTTGTACTTCCTCCATATCTATATACATTCTCAAAAAGATATAATTTTAGTACTGCACAGTATCTTTCAGATTAAAGGAACGAAGTCCGTTAGTTTGCAATAAAAAATCATCAACATTATTTTCTGAGCGTCCGAGTATTTTCTCAAAGCACTTTCTTTCGTTTAAAGGACTATTAAGAGTGACGCCGTTGATTATCTCATATTTTTACACTGCAAGAAATACTGTTTAACGTTTACAACAGTTTACAACCTCAAGGGTTTCCAACTCGTCAGTATGCGCATAAAGTTTTTCATTAGGTTCAGCATATCACAGCATTACACCACTTAGGATCATAGAGTTAACTCTATGCTTAGGATACGTTCCGAAATTTACTACCTGCGTGAAGTTGGCCGGCCAAATTTTATTTTTTAAACTTTTTTTATTCCAATCGTTTGATAGTCGTTTGATAGTGTTTGATAGTCTTGTAAAAACATTTGATAGTCAATAGTTTTTTTCAGAAAATCAAAATCAAAATCTGGTGTGAAGTTGGCCGGCACTTTTTTGTTTCTAGCCGGATTTTGTTTTTCTGGAGTTCAATCGATGCAAAATCGTTTGATAGTTGCGAATTAATTAATAAAAACGTTTGATAGTCCATCGTTTGCAAGAAAAATGAGAGAAACCATATGCGAATCAAGGATCCCAATCCATACAATACAATTGATTCCTCGATCGGTGTGTCCATTGACTTAGACAATATAACAAACTTTTTCTACTTTCAATCGTTTGATAGTCGTTCGATAGTGTTTGATAGTCTTGTAAAAACGTTTGATAGTCATTAGTCTTTTCAGAAAATCAAAGTCAAAATCTGGTGTGAAGTTGGCCGGCACTTTTTTGTTTCTAACCGGATTTTGTTTTTCTGGAGCTCAATCGATGCAAAATCGTTTGATAGTTGCGAATTAATTAATAAAAACGTTTGATAGTCCATCGTTTGCAAGAAAAATGAGAGAAACCATATGCGAATCAAGGATCCCAATCCATACAATACAATTGATTCCTCGATCGGTGTGTCCATTGACTTAGACAATATAACAAACTTTTTCTACTTTCAATCGTTTGATAGTCGTTCGATAGTGTTTGATAGTCTTGTAAAAACGTTTGATAGTCAATAGTTTCTTTCAGATATCAGTGTGGCGATCAAATGCATCCAATGAACAGAGAAACAACGATGCGCTCTCCGCTCTCGGCTCATTTTCGAACACACCTATAATGCTCTGGCGCACATGAAAAAGCTTCTACGAATGGACTTATAACCTTTTCAGGGCTCAATCGATGCAAAATCGTTTGATAGTTGCGAATTAATTAATAAAAACGTTTGATAGTCCATCGTTTGCAAGAAAAATGAGAAAAACTATATGCGTATCAAGGATCCCAATCGATACGATACAATCGATTCCTCGATCGGTGTATCCATTGACTTAGACAATATAACAAACTTTTTCTACTTTCAATCGTTTGATAGTCGTTCGATAGTGTTTGATAGTCTTGTAAAAACGTTTGATAGTCATTAGTCTTTTCAGAAAATCAAAGTCAAAATCTGGTGTGAAGTTGGCCGGCACTTTTTTGTTTCTAACCGGATTTTGTTTTTCTGGAGCTCAATCGATGCAAAATCGTTTGATAGTTGCGAATTAATTAATAAAAACGTTTGATAGTCCATCGTTTGCAAGAAAAATGAGAGAAACCATATGCGAATCAAGGATCCCAATCCATACAATACAATTGATTCCTCGATCGGTGTGTCCATTGACTTAGACAATATAACAAACTTTTTCTACTTTCAATCGTTTTACAAGCTATCAAACACTATCGAACGACTATCAAACGATTGAAAGTAAAAAAAGTTTGGAATATAGTCTAATTCAACGGTATCATAAAAAGTTAAAAAGTTAAAATTGCCACTTCACTGAGTTTCGGAATGCCATACAAAAAATGGCGTCCGATCTCCCCTCCACTTTGCCTCACAGCCAGCAAGCGAGCTAGCGGGTTAGTAGTATACATACATATGTATAGAAGTCTGTGGACACCGCCATATATTCACGGTGCTAGCTGTGAATTTTGAAATGTACCAATGTCAAAGCCGGAAGACGAATATATTGCACGAATTCGGCGTAGTCTTTAATAAGATGAAATAAATCACGATTTCTGTAATATATTCTCATTAAAAAATGATTGGTAATATTTATGCACTCTCTTACATTCTTATATTTAATCTTATTTTATTAAAATCGTGAGTTTTGCATGACATTCTTTCTGAAGATAAATTCTCGTTGCATAAGAAGAAATCACGCTGTTGACACGTGTTATCATTAAATCTCATACGCTAATTTATTTATATCCACTCTTACAAGTTACGATATTGGTATACAGCATCAGCGTAGAAATGCCACCGAGAAGGTATTGCTAAAGAGGGCCAGTCCGCTTATATTTTGTGTGTGAAACGAAATTTATTTTCTTTTCCAGAACTTCTATGCTGGTCCAACATCTTTTTCGTACCCACTGTATCCAATAATCATCAAACATAAAGTCCCATAAGGCTGGCGTTCGTTATTAGTATCTCCTTGGTGGAGATGCTTACTTCTGAAGAATAGAACGTTGGCTAGCACATCTCCTCATTGGAGGAGACAGCCAAAAAAAATGGAAGGAAGAATAGAACCCTGGCGAGTTCAGCGACGGCAGTTTTGTCCCAAAATTCCCTCGCGCAAACAGCTTTCCAAACTACTTGGTATATCGAGCATTCATATTTCGAGTTTTGAGCTCGTGGCTGCTTAGATGTTTGATTGAAAACGACCAGTTTAAAGCTCAAAATATGAACGCTCGATATATCAAGTGATTTGGAAGGTTGTTTTAGTACAGTTGTAGCACAAAACCACGTAGTGGTTTTCCGGATGGTTTAGCGGTGGCTTAACGAGATCGCTCGCCTTGTTAGGAAAGTTCACCAATTTGCCCATAGTATACAATAAACAAAATTATATGATTTTCTCATGACTTAGTATTTGGTAGAGACTTATCTTAAGGACAATCGACAATCATTGAAGTTCAGCAGCAACGGGTGTATGATATGCAATACTTGTACGTGTAACCGCTTTAAATTTACAGGAATGAATATACGAATCACAAGAAATGCATTTTTATTCGATTTTTTTTTAATTACAGCATTTTACGGCGTATTTTTGAGGTATCAAAGCATGTTAAATTACTTTTTTTTATAAATATTTATGTAAAAAAAAAGTTATAACAGTTACGGTATTTTCCCAATAGTATAGTCTGCCAAATTAGCGTTGGTGAATATTTACCTAATAGTTTTAAATCGTTTTTTCCCGTAAGGGATCCTTATTAATATGTCAAATATTAACGAAGAAATAGACATCAGTGTATATTATCACAATCGTAAAAACGCTTTCAGTTAATAACCGATTAATGTTTACAAAAGTTCAGAATCAAAGTGGAGTGATCAATTATGTAAGAATTTTATGGAAGATAGGTCACAAGTTTCATGATTGGATAAATATTTACTCCAATTTTTTGGCCTTAGACCTTTCAGACATTCAGATAATCGGAAGTTAAAATACAAAGAGAAAACATCCTCCTCGAATTAATATCAACCAGACTGTTGCCAATTTTATTTCAAGTACATTTAAATACACAGTCATTCGTGAAAATTAATACCTCAGCAAACACAAAATATCAGTTGCGTATCAGCAATTTTACAATTTTTTACGCAAGGGCATAATAGTTAATTTATCAGATATTTTAAAATTATTATGCTTTTAAGTGAGAAATTCTATTATTACCGATAGATAAGTGTTCGTATTTACTGCAGCATTACGCGCGTTTAATTTCCCATTAGGTTCATTAGCTAGCTATATATTACAATATATTAGATATTATTACAATATATATACAATATATTAGACTGTATTTTATAAATATAATTAACATTCATAAATAGAATACCTAGATTAATTAGTCAATTTTCTTAGGCTTTTGTGCCACGTTAGACCTGAAACAAATGTTAAAGTCATATCATAATCGTTAACGTATAATGATAAAAATTAAATATATAATAGGCACAATGATTAATTAAACTATTTGCTTATTCCACAATTATGTAGAAACTTACGTTTCACGATCTCTTTGATTAGCCTTATGTATTATAAACCTCTTCTCAATATTTTTAAATGGACCTTCCACGGTTATAGAAAGGATTAACGAAATGATCATCGTAAATAAAATATCAGGGACAAAATCCCAAATCTAGACGGAGTAAAAAAGAGCGTTGCATAAGACTTATTCATGTGAAATTGAACATTCATTTAATCCAATCTTTTACTTACAAGATTGTGAAATGTAAAAACTCTGCCTACTCTGGCAACACTGATTTCGTATATTTGATTAACATTGTGCACCAGGAAAGCTCCATAAGTCAGTCTACTCAACGGTTGAGCCCACGCGGGAGTCAAGAAATTGTAATGGAAATCTATCGGAAAAAAGGAATTCAAGTTAAGAGTGTTCTGCAAAAAATAAATATTTTTGTTCTTATTACAAGAATTACTTACCTAGACCCTGTCCAACTGTTATCAAAACAACAACTGAACACATGCTCATGGAAAATGCTGCTCTATGTAAACTCGCAAAGAGAGCGGTGATCAGTGGACCTTTCTCTGCATTGATATCAATAAACTTAAAACTGAAGGCTTGTATGTTGATGCTGAGTACCACTGCAAAGAGTGCGAAGAAAATCCTCGACCAAGCTTTTGTTAATTTCCATGTGGACTTTTTATGGTCATGAATAATGGCACCTGCTATTATTCCAATCAAATAGGACGAGGCTCTCATATGACTCTTTATGTAATAGTTTATGAAGTAAAAATCGTCCCTGACTTCCCTCATACTATTTCAGAGAAGGAACGTGAATGACGTGATGAAAAAAGAACAAGAAAAATTGTGTAATTTTTACCGACAATAATTATGAAGACTTACTATGGTAGACCCATGAAGATTGGTTGCATATTATAAAAGTAAGTATGAACAAACGGTATGACACAGCTTACAATTGTCAATACTACAAGGAGTGTGTAACCCAGTTTTCGTGGCCATTTCCAAAATACGTATACCACAAATATCCCTAAGATGTACATATGAAAGTCAACCGCCAGATACCATGCTTGGAACATGCACTGCAAGTGTGAAGAATAAACCTTGAATTTGACAGTAATTTAAGAGACAAGATCTTTATAAAAATATGTATATTCTCTTACGAAATTCTGTGGGTTGACATAATTATTCACATAGAGTAAATTCGTCCACCAGTTCGATCGGCATGACTGACTCTCTTTGCCTATTTTAACTTCCCAATAAGGTCCAGTGCCCAAGTGGGGGAGTATCAAGGCATTGAAGAAAACCACAAGCATGTACGAGGGGGTCAATCTAAAATAAAATTATAAAATAATTTCAATTGTTCAATTGTTCACCATAAAACTGCATTCTTCGTTTATCATTGAATCTTGTTTATTGTATTCTTTTTTTACTATCTCCTGTTTCCCTTTTAAACTAATTCTTAAAATTCTAGTATTCATTGAGAAATTCCATGCTGTTCCGTAATTATTGTATATGAACATCAAAGAATTTTGATGGTTTACCTTAAAAAACGCACTAGAATTAGACCTATGACACTGATTTTCTTCTTTTTGTCGAGTTCTTGGAGTATACCATACGCCACGAGAAGTCCGCCAATTCCAAAGTATGCATCTACTATTACAGTACCATTGTGGACCATCATCGCACTGGGGAACGTATACGTCTAAAATAACATTACATTGAGTTATGTTTTCTCTAGAGTTCATCTTTCTTTATCCATCCGAACGGTCAATGTCAAAAAATGTGTACCCATTCCAAATAGTTTGCATTGATAACTGGATTCGTATAGTATTGCATGGTTCTATGTCCAAAGATCACCAAACTCATGAAAAAGATTCGGATCATATGGATACAGTCAAGGCCAGGATGATTATAAGTAGCCGTAAAAATGGTCTTCAGGTTGCGACGTGGTGAGAAACAAAGAATGAGATCCTTGATGGCGGATTTATCAGTGAGTTCGTTATTTTCCATACTGGAATCATACCAGTTGCCGACAACCACCAATGCAAGTAATGTCAGAAGAACGTAGCTGCAACGTAAAATTATGTTTAACAGTCTCTTTCATTTCTTACCTCTCTTCTTAATAAAAAGATCAGCACTTCGTGGGAATTGAGTCAAAATAAGCTATAAAGGAGAATGCGCTAACTCATCCTTCGACTTGATATTTTTGTTATTTCCCTACCAACCCATCATCAACGAAATGCGTATAACCTAATACTAATTTATATAGGCAAATATTAGATTATATTATTTATATAATTTTAGATATAATAGATACCAATAGATCCAGGAAGCCGTGGAAAACTCCAGAAGTTCATCTTTGGTTTGGCAATGTTCTTGCTTCACTGTGGTTTCAATGCGCATGTTCCGAGCAATACCAAATTTTTTGAAGGTCTCCGTGAGGGCTACTTCCACATCCTTAGCCGTGCAAGAAGCTGGAACGCAAAGAGCTAATTGCATCAGGTATCGTTTGACTCTACGGAAATCTCCACGCTCCTGTAACATTATTACGAAGGATTGAGCATCCTTAGGATCCATAAGAGCACAACGTAAATAAGAGATATATTACTTGAATAGCATCCCAGGCAGGACCATTCGGATCGAATTCCATAACATATGGTTTAGACACATGTGGCATAACGTGTGTTTTCTGGAATTTAAAATCGATCAAGCAATAGCGGCCAGCAATCCTATCCGAATCAGGATGATTCTCATTCACAGGTAGGATCGCTTCTAAGTTAAAACACTGATCAAAGTTTCCATAGTGTCTTGTGTTACCACTTATTATTCCTTCGAAACGTTTACTAGAAGAATCGTACACTGGAACAAGATAAATATTTGCCATGTTAGTCATGTATGTTTATTTTTTTCTTTTCTCACTCTTTTATTTTCAAAGTTATAGTCAAGCGGTCATACGAATATCGCATTATAATTAAACCGCACTATTACTTACTAGGATGTCAGTTAAAAAATATTAACTCGAAATTTTCCAACACCACTTTGTTAGCAAAGGAAGGAATGTTTAAGAAAATTTTCTGAACCGACTGTTCCAAGATAAAAACATTCAGAATCTTTTATTATTATAGAATGAATGATGTAGCACTGTCGTTCAATATTAATATATTCGCGAGTATCATAAAAGCTATTCATTCTCACATTTCTTACATGACAAAAACATTATTAAAAGTTTTACTGACGTCAACGTATCTCATGGACATAGTTGCAACGGTTGAAGAAATAAAAAACTCATTATTCAAACTAAATGGAATATGAATCAGACCGACGAATAAATTATAGGAATCTATTTTAACTGGGACAATGATTGGCTACAGCATCGCGGCTTTATAGTACATGTGGTGGTAAGACTTGATAAAGAAAAAAAATTTCATATAATAACTATGTTCTTAGTAAAAAATTGATTATCGTCTGAGATTGAGAATCAATCAGTTACATCAGTGAAGATTAAAATGTTTGAAATGCACATAAACTATGCGACACTTTGTGCGGAAATAATTCTCTGACGTATGTCAGATCATTCGCGTATCGTGTGTATCTGATCTTGTGACATCTGATCCTATGACACCTGTCTTACGCCACTAAATAGTAAATTTCAATATACATTCCCAAAGTAACGATTTATAAGTATTATTGTCAAGACAAAGTCTCAACTATTCCAACACACAAATAGTGAAATAATTAAGTTTTAAATTAAGCAGTTTATGATAGACAAAGTTTAGCCATTTTATATATTCAAGTACGGTACGGCTTACTTTGAAAAGCCCAGAGAGTTCCATTACGAAGTTCTTGCAAGTAGCGCAAAGTCTGACGCATGCATTCGCCATCCGGAAGTGAAGTAGAAGTGATGAACACATCCGGTAATGAAGGAAATTCAACGAACCAAGACGATTCGAATCGAGACGAGTGATTAGTGGCGTTATAAGTCGTTTGCAGGTCCTTCAGGATACTTTCTGTTTCCGAGGAAGAATTATTGCGTTTCTCAATAGGAGTTGACGAATTTTCAGTATTAGTTGAGTTTCCACGGTTTGGAAAATAAATATTGGTGTCCTGGGATAGAACGCAATTTACAGTAATCGAAAGAAGTACGAGGAATGACCCGACTTCATGTAACATTTTAGACACTGTTATCACATGAAATTCTTGCGGAACTGCTTGATATTATTTTTTACTATTCCTAACACCCGTCTTGAAGCAATACTGAGTTCTCGCGCTAGTAAAACTTGTTTTATGTAGGAGCTCACTTCCTCGAAAGGTGTCCGACTGATTTCCCCTTATTGGTCTTCACCACGTTCCGACCTCAACCTCTGATCTCAGCGCATCGTCTATTTGTCGTCCGAAGCTGCCCTTTACTTCCAAGCGTGTCGTCTCTCAGTGCGCGCTGAGTCTTCACCAGAGTAATACATACAAGCAATACTCTATTGAATCTCCTGATGTTTCATATCTCATATCTTTTTATAATGCATACCCGAAATCCACGCATAATTAATAGCGTCTGATAACTGACTTGAAGTTCTTTGACAGTTTTCATATCAATCAAATAATATTACTTCCTTGGTTTTCTGAAATATTTAGACTTTGCAGTCTTCTTTACTAAAGAAACAAAAAATAATTACGGGGCAAGATTACAGAATAGATACAAAATACTGGACAGAGATAGTAAGAAAGACAGTTAAGCAGATGAGAGGAAAATATGGCACAATATGCTTTACTGTACGATTCACTAAAGGAACTTACTAGTCTAGTCATCGTTCTAATATTCTAGTTCCTTGATTGGGATTCCCACTTTCCCTCTTATCTTATAATTCCCTAAATCGAAATGAATATGATTAGACGTTATATAACAAATTTTTATTTTATAAATTATTCTCACTTTCTCGCTCTAAGAAAGTCTTGTCTCTTATCAAGGATAACCAGATGACATAATAGTAGTGGCTGTATGATTATCAATGTCGCCATGCCATTTTTCGCTCTAATTTGCGCTGCTTTTTCTCGTCGATTTCTGGTTGAACTGGTGGTGCCGAGAAAAACCAGGGGGAAAGGAGTTTACTCCACAGCATCCAGGCACCCCTTAATGGTACCTAAAATATAAAGAGGACCAGAATTAATAAGAGATTAAGCAATGAAAAATTTTAGCAATTGATACTCACCAATAACCATAACAGCCAGAAGTAATTTGAAATAAGAGAGAGTATTTGAACTCCTGATGTTAGAATAATTAAATCTTTTACGTGCCTGTTATTATAAATCATTTATTATCAATTGGAGGATTTATCATAACCTTTCAATCCGAAATTATTATAATAAATACTTACTCCGCAACACCTCCTTCTAGATTAAGATCTACTCCAGAATCTAGTAACTGTCCAGATTCAGTATATTTTGCTTTTGCCATGTATCCCATAAATTGATAGCTTGCTACATATACAATACCTGATAATATCGTTAATGTCTAGAATTAAAATAGATACAAGAATTATGAATATTTGCAGCAATCACTGCAATTAACATTTTATGTTTATATTTATGTGATAGCAGAAACTCACAATAGTTAATGTGGTGAATTCAAAAAACACCATCATGGCTGTTAGATAAATTCCTGCGGCCCCAAAAACCATATTTCTATAAAAACTCAAGGTGGACACATTTTCTTCTACGATTTGTTTGGCCCCCTTTGTAGCAACTTTACTACTCTTTGTAGGAGGCTAGAACAGTAAACATACCCAAATGCATTAATAAAATGTTTAACACTGAAAAATAAAATATATATATGTATACATACATACAGTGCAATCTCTCACACACACACACACACACACGCACACGCACACGCACACACACACACACATCCACATGGATCCTGCTGATCCTAGTGTAAACATACCAGAGAAAGTGGAGTCCCTCACAGCTTACATTCTCTTAGCTCACGAAAGACCAGAAGGGAAATACTTGAACATTGTCACTGGTCACAGGTGTACGAGAAGGGGAACCACAGCAAGCATTCTAAGTACTAATTGATATTTCGCTTAGCTTACATGTCTCTGCATTAAGTAAGCTGTGCGGGGCACTACAGTATATAGTGTGTTTTGTAATTATTGTCATACAAGCTTAATTTTCAAAATACTCTCTATAACAGATAATACACTTTGGCTAAACTGCAGAATACAATGCTTTATTTAAATCCCCTGATGATTGTTATTTTTTTCTTGTAAAGTCCTTCAAGAAGGAGTCGCATCCTACAGTTTAACCTGCACTTTTTCATATGTAAAAAATGAAAAATCAACACTTATCCTATTTTCATTTTTAACGGAACTGCATTCTTCTTTAAATGTTGCAATCAACTTTATATCTGGCAAGAAATTTATATCTTTAATTCTCAAGAGCCTGTTTTGCTGGTACATTTTCAACAAGGAAGAATGATTCCACATGCAAGTGCAACTATAGATTTTGGAGTGCCTTGAAAACCTAAGACAAGCAGGTATCTATGTACACCATGTAATGATTATTGTCTTATGATTTTGCATTTGCCAAAGAATACAATAAATATTAACTTGCTGATCTATCTTGATTTTCTAGCTAAGTGAGTTGCTCCTTAGTTTCAAAAACCCAGACTTTGCTTTATAATTTTGTAGGTATATTATAGTCATAGTCACCTTTCGTCATCCATAATAATTAAAGCCACCCTCAATGTACAAAAACAATTATTGATAATTCAATGCAATGTTACTGCAGGGATGTTAAATCGTTCAATAACTTCTATATAATTTTTCTATCTTACTTAATTGCTTTTAAAATAGCAGTAACATTTTGCAAGGTAGTAACGTCTACTAGAGGTCCAGAATGAATAGTCATCAAGTTTAAAAATGTTTTGCTAAAACTGCAAGTATCACCATTTTATGATTTATAAGAAAGTATAATGTTCTCCAAATATTGAAAAGCCCTCTTGTTGAAACACTTTTCTGAAAGTTGTGATAGAAAGCATGAAAAGTTGTAATAGAAAATTACATGAGTCACATTTTGCAAATGATATCAGGCAATAATGTTTCAGGTATAATCTCAGGTATAATTATCCCAGTAATCTGAAAAGTTAACCACAAACTTTTCAATGTATACCTCAAAAGAGTATTCTATCAATTCATAGGGATTTTGCTACAGATTTCAGTAAAAGCATACGAAAATGATTATGGAACACTAGTGCCCGTTTCCTGGACGTGGTTTAAATCTGGCTCAATTTTTTTAATATAGTTTTAAGATAGGGTAACCAGAGTTTAAACTTCAATTAATGTCGGAGGAAACGAGCATATATACTATTAGTTTTGGAAAATGGGCAGATACGCAGAAAAAATATTGACAAACAATGTTATAATTACCGCCATGTTATCCTTCAGTCTTACGTATAAAAATTAAATTGCTTAGTCAACTAGCGACAAAAACACTCGATTTATTCAAACATATTGCTATTTTTGCATACTTATAAAGTTGTATCAATATACCCATGATACAAAACGAAGTATAGACTACTACACGACGGTCTTAAACCGGTTTAGTTAATACTGGCCTAAGGGAATTGACCAATCTCAAATATTCCTTACAAGTAGAAATATCTACGATTTGTCTATTCCTTTCTTATTTCCTGAAACATAGTCATAATAGGCTTGTATTCAGAGTCAGTTCTTCGTTTTAAGCACGATCTTAAGACATCTTCTCACATCGTGTTATTATTACTATATCTACGGCCTTCCCTTTTTCCTTTCCTTATGGCTATATCCCCAATGGAGGACATGTGCCAGTAACTGGCTCTAATAATCAAGAATTAGAGAAGTTCGGCACTAGATGGCGATGTACCTTGCGAGACGGCCTTATTCAACTGAGCGTGAGGACCTAAGAGTTTATACACCGACTCCCAACAATATTGGGCGAAATCCGTATAAATACTCACTTAAGTTTTCATATAAAAACCCATTTGGTAAATGCCGCTAGGAACTGGGCGCGAACTCTCAACCTTTCGGTCGTGAATTCGCTACCTTAACCAATGTGCTACGGCCGCCCCCTATTTAAGGTCTTAAGACTGTGCTTCGTCCACTGAATTCTAATCATACTGGAATACGTACGGCAGTGATGGGAGCTAGCAGAGAAAGGTAGCAAGGACACAGGCGAATGTAGCAACCTGTCTGTATCACAGACTGTACAGTCTCTGAAAAAGTTTAAGCTAGGCTAAAGAAAAGAGACTAAGCTAGGCACGGGGAGGACTAAAGGTAATATTTCATGCATGCGACCGCCACAATTGTTGCGCGACAAAATTACGCTGACATGAAGAATTCCGTCGCGTCTATGAAATATGGCGACGCTCTGCGAGTTGTCGCATCAGTCGCATGATAATCATAATTACATGTAATTGCCATTAGCTTGCTAGGATTGAAAATTTATATGAGAAATCTAATACAAATTTACTAACTTCCTCCACATACGTCTTCCGCGGTTTGCAGGCTTCGTCGCATATGGTCGCAACATAGAATTCTGTCACACAAAGTTCATTTCGGCTCTACTTTCGTGCAACGAAAGTACACCCACATCCCATAAATTTTTAACCAATCAGCGTGATTTCGTCGCGCGACAGTGTCGCGGTCGCATCATGAAATATTACCTTAAGCCAACATAACATAACCTGAAATAGTGTCTGTTGGGTCTCGTGGGAATGATATTACGAAAATCTTTAGTTTATCAATGAATTGCGATGTTTTATTTCCAAAATGTTTATGACGAAATTTGTACGACTTCTATTATTCCAAAACGGTTACGATACGATTGTTTCAAAACGTGCCCTAACCCCAGACTAGTGATATTAGAAAATCCCTAGGATGTATGGTCGACTAGGGATATTAACGTCGGGTATCTTCTTCCTTTCCGGACTAGGGAATTCCGAACAGAGTCACGTATTTTATTTTGAAGACTGCTTAATATTTTTTGTCGTTTTTATTAGGCTCTACATTTATATCATGGAGCCTGGATAGGATTTATATGTCTTGTATTTCAGTGCTCTTTCCATAACACCACGGCTAGCACTGGCTGGCACTGATATGTCGGTGGGACCATGGGTGGGACAACATTTTTGCAGAGCTTGTACACCACATGCGCAGTTCAATTCGAAAAGGACAACCTCATCCACGAGATGAGTGAGACAGCTGCGCGCTCGCCGGGTTACTTCCAAATACAGGCGTATGGATTCTAGTATGATTAGAGTTCAGTGGTGTGTTAGTATTGCTGTGCGTCTATCGACGAGTGAAAATCGAAACAACACGTTAGTACTTATTGTACTAAATAATGGTTTCGGCCATGCATTATGTGCAAATTTGACTACCGTTTCAAAAAAGGATATACTAGATCAACAAATTTGCACAAGTTTCTCTTCAAAGATAGAACAGAGTGTGTTATAAAAGAGAGCTAACCTGTGCTTGGAAAGTGCTGTGGATATGGCGGTCGGAACGACTAAGGTTGTCCAGGTGACGAATATCGCACCTCAGGCAACGAAGGATCAAATGCAAACGCTTTTTGGTTATCTGGGAAAAATTGAAGATATTCGACTCTATCCCACTATACGCGATGTGGCTGTACCCGTTCAATCGCGTATTTGTTACATCAAGTTCCATGATCAGGGTTGTGTTTCTGTTGCACAGCATATGACTAATACAGTTTTCATTGACCGTGCTCTTATTGTTATTCCATATCAGAATGGAGACATTCCTGATGAGCAAAGGGCACTTGAATTAACAAACAATGGCACTGTGGTGCCTGGTAAGTATTTCATAAAGAATGAAATTGAAATATTTTTTTGTACGATCAATTGATTATATTGCTCTTCTGTTTACACAGGCCTTTATCCATCAGAACCAAAGCTTCCTCCAAATGTGGTGAATGCGATTGAGGGAATTCCTCCTAATCATGTTATCACTACAATGGATCCCAAGCTAGAAGCAAATGGACTACCAGCATACCCACATTTACCAGGCCATCTTGATAGCAGAAGGATAGAAGAGATTCGCAGAACATTAGTTATTGCCAATTTGGAAGCTTCTGTCTCGGCAGAGCAATTATTAGACTTCTTCTCCAGTAATGGAGTGGAGATAAAGTATATTAGGCTCTGTACCAGAGATTCGGATACCGATCATTATGCTCTGGTTGAATTATCTGAACAAGGATCAGTGGTTCCTGCTTTGCAAGTCAATGGAAAAGTTCTTGCTGAAAAGCCTATAAAAATATACCATTCAACCCAAGCAATTGCAAAACCTGAAGCAAAGAGTAACGAGGCAGCCCAAAAAGAAATTGAAGAAGCAATGTCTAGAGTAAAAGAAGCTCAAAATTTAATATCAGCTACAATAGACCCTATGATTGGTATTTTATCCAAGGATAAGCGCAGCAGAAGTGGTTCGAGAGGTAGAAGATCGAGATCCCGTTCGAGAGGACGAAGCAGGCGTTCGAGGTCTAGAAAAAGATCACGCTCGCGACACAGACGCTCACGATCTCGTCACAGACGTAGATCACGCTCAAGGTCGAAACGCTCCAGGTCTAAGGAACGTAAAAGAAAATCTCCGTCACGTAGGCGAAGTAGCTCTCGAGGTCGACATCGTTCTAGATCACGTTCTAGACGATCTAGATCACGTAGATCAAGGTCCAGATCGAAGGATAGAAAAAAGAGGTCGCCTAGAAGAAGAAGTCGCTCCCGCTCTCGAAGCAAACGCTCCAAATCAAAGTCCAGGAGATCACGATCTAAATCAAAGTCCAGGTCATCTAAATCAAAATATTCTGAGAAAACCAAGGACAAAGATAAGGAAAAGGATAGACGTAGCAAGGACAAGTCTGACAGTAACGGCAGGAAAAGCGACGATAAGAGCGAAAGAGGTGATAAAGAAAAGAGTGAGAAGTCCGAGAGAAGTGAGAAGAGTGATAAATCCGAGAAGAGCGAAAAGAAATCAAGCAAGGAGAAAAGAGCGATTGAGAAAGAATCGAAATCCGAGGAGAAGAGCAACAGAAGTGCTTCGGAGCACGAGAGTAAAGAAAAACAGGATTCAGAGAACTGAACGGTTCCTCGTATATTACGTTCAATACTCTCTGACTTCACCTATATTCTCGCTCTGCCAATCTGCTGTCAATATACAAATCCATAGCATGTAATTACATACTTATTGGCATAACAAAAATATACAGTCTCCTTCAGAATTTAGTTATCTGGAATGTATTTCAACCGCCTCCCGAAAGTGATTGGAGCCTTGGTCATTTCCTTGCTTTTATATTATTATATTTATTGAGTACTCATTAGTTTCAATTAGTTCCAAATATCCTTAGTATAGCTTATAGGATTACTGCATCGTTTATTTACTTTCGATTCTTCTTTTTTAACGGCTTTTGTGGAAGCGGTGGCGAAACCAATTTTTCAGTACTACGATAGCGTTCGTTGTACGCTTGTGATGGCCTAATCAAATATAAAAGAACGAATTCGAAAAGTAAAATTTATTGAGCGGTCATTTTTTATATAGTATATCTAAAGCTACTTACCCCGGGAGGACTTGATTCGCGTAAATCGGATCTTCATTTGGATATTGTTCTATTCGTACTGGCAACGGAGCACGCAAAAGTGTTTTCTTCTGCGCCTTTGTCAACGTTGAACGTCTCTTCATTACAACCTAAATTAAAAGATGAAAATTCGGAAAGGATACAATAACAAGATGTCATTATTCCTAATGTATTTTTCAATATAATGCAATAGATTCCTACCACATTAGCATCCTTTATTTGCTTTATTGTTTCCGTTTTTGATGCCTCCTCCATTTCCAGTACGTTATCCATTTTATGTGTTTTTTGCGTTGCATTGTTAAGATCTGATTGTTCTGGTATCGATACATAGGAATGGATTTACTCGTATTAATTATCTTAATGAATATTTAACTTACTTATTATACATTCATCATATTGATTAAGCGGATCTATCCCAAGAAATGCTGAAAGCGCGTCAGGATATCTAAGGTCCATAAAGATCATTACTAACGCCAGAATCAGACAGAGTGTTCCTATGACAAAAATAAGTATAATAAAGAAATCAGTAAATTGCTTAGGCATATATAAGTTTTTACCGCTAGAACAGGTCAACCAAAAATCGGGACCATAATGCAATTGTATTACTCCATCTGCAAAAGGAATTCTCAATGGCAATGGGTTTCTGACCAAGAACCACACGCTGCAAGATAACAGCTGTAAGGAACCAGTTATTCCAATAAAATACGCTGCATAACGTCCGACTAATTGTAAAAATATATTAGCCATTATCCAAGTAGGTAAGGCAAGCCTGAAGTAAATACAAACTCCATTAAGGATTCATCTGACTTTCACAATTACTTAAAAGGTAAGACAGTAAAAATTCTCTAATCACCATAAAAGAATATGTGTGTACCATCCTGCAGTTCTATAAAATCTACCAAATCGAATTCCTTCTCCATCCAGTGTAAAATATTCTGCTATCCAAAGAATTGGTAAAGGTAGTCCTTTCCTTTGAGACTCTCTAAAAGTCCGCTGTACGAGGCCCGCTTGAAAATTAAGAATTTTTCAGTTAAGTTCTGATCAATAATTATTCAATTAACCAATTATGATATATATGATTAATGATTACCATAAGGCCCAAAACCTATTCTCCCCTGATCCCAAGTCCAAGCGAATCTTTCGTTGTAATTGATTTGTTCTTTCTCAAGAGGAGTATTGCGCTCACCCATTCCTAACAAATTGAAATAACTTTAGCTTTATGATATTTATAAAAATTTGCGTGCTAGGCCACACAAACCTTTTAGAGTTATATTTACTGAACGCAGTCCGATTTTTATTCCCATTATTGCCCGAATTTCACTCTTTTCACCGGCGCGATAAGGTGTCGTACTATTTAGGTACCCAACTTCCCATTCTTGACCAAAATTTCCTACTGTTGGGCAATTGAGAAATTCTTATTACACATGTTACAGCATGCCAATAGAGATACAAATGACTTGATGTACTTACACATTATCAGGCAACCTATGAGAATACTAAAAGTCGCTTTTAGAACAACATAAATGCTCTAAAAGTAAAAGTGAATAACAGATAAATATAATAATAGAATGAAGCAGAAGAACAGTAAAATGATATAAAATAAATAGTCGCATACCCGTTTCTGACTGTAGCCAGGAGTAATGATATAATACGCTGTAGCAATTATAACAAACGCCAACATAAATCCAGTTTCTAACACATCAACAGTCACCGCAGTTTTGTTTTCTGGATATTGAGTCGGAAATCCTTCCGATCTACCAAAATCGAAGTATCCCTTTTTCAACATAATTTTAATGTACTAAAGATTAAACACTGAAGTATACATAGACTAAGAAGACTATCTGAATTGTAAAATGTGAATCATGATACGGTCTCCTCGCAGCTCACATATTCTCTTATCACACATCCTTTTCCGCTCTAACAATAGGCTTTATTATAATTTGTGTGATATATTCCGCAAAATATAATCTATAGTGGAGCATGTAGTAAAAGTGTTAATATCACAAAGTCAATAATAAAATAATGGTTATTATCTATACATATATGAATGATTTATACATATATGAATTATCTATACGGATGATGAATGTTTTTGAAAAAATAATGAAGTACATCCTATATATCCTCGTATAAATATAATAATTTTATTCAGTTTACTACATATCTAATATATGTATATATATAATATATATAACAATGTCATTCTTCGTTGATACTACTCTAGTGATTGATAGTACAGCTGGCATTTGTTGATGTCTATCAGACATTTCCATTGAGCGATGGCGGCGGTTTATTATCTTTATTTCGTTTAGCGTTATGATAAAGGTACGAATGGACCCGAAGACTGTTGCTGTTTTTATATTTATTCCCGCACAATTTACACGTGAGACTTTCAAGTGGTCCATGAATATAGCGGACGTGTAGTTTAAGGTTTTCTTTCCTGGTAAAATGTCGTAGACACCATGGACAAGAGTACATTCGTATTACCTTGCCGCGTTCCATACGTAGCGTAGGACTCAATTCTGAGACCACCCTAAGCGTCGTCTCCAGAGGCAGACTACTTCCAGGAATTCCTTTGACAGTTCGCCGACCTTTGGATAAGCTCGGGTCATAAGGAAAGTCTCCTCGAAGGGCTGCCTCGATATTAGTGTAACCTGAGCCGAAGATTTACTGGAGTTTCGTTATTCTTTCTAGGAATAATATATTTTTCTACTTTTATTCATACTCTGTCTATAATTATATTTACCTAGGGATTCTTCTTGGCAGTTGGAATTGTATGGTGTTAGCTTAGAGTTTGGCACAAAGTCTGCAATGAAATAGTCTGCATGAAACTTTTATCCAGTATAATACAAATTTGGATCAATGGTATTTATATTTGGTTTAATTGTTTTGATGTACCTTGGGGATAATAGGAATCATCAGTTGGTCTCTGTAAAGTGTCTTCTCGGCGTTGGATCAATGGTTCATGGATAGGATAATTTCTGTAACTGGGATCCCCGTCGACGTCTGACGTATAGTCTAGGGGCTCGTGTTTCGTTCTGGATGTCCTTCCTATGTCTGACGTATAATCTAAAGGTTCTTCTCTGATGTTAGATAAATCCTCAACATTTTCACATCGTTCATTAAATATATGAAGTTCATTCATAACATTTTCGGGTTCCATATCACTGCCTGGATGGTTTGGTTGATTTGAAGTGATCCTGTCATCTTCTGAAAAAGCTGCCTTTGCGTTGTGCGAACTATTTGGCTCTGGTGATCGTTGTGACTTGTCAGGTGGTCTGAATTGCTTCTCGATGGACATATGAGATATACTGCGCCTTGTGGACATATCTCCTACAGGTTCATCGCGTAAAAGATTCTCCAAATCATCAGTATCATGTGCCAGTTTATCCTAAAAAATCATCAATTAGAAATAGTGGGAAGTTCTGTGAAGGTATTATCAATCTCTGCTTGCATACTTTATCAATGTCCTTTGTAAGGCCTTTGATTTGAAGGGTTTCGGCAACTTTTAAAAAGCTTGCTATATCTTCCTGCTTTATACTAACTTCACCTTGATACATAAAATGTAGCATTGCTGATAAATCACGATAGTTTACATCCTTTAGAATGACAATGGGATGTTTACAAGAATTACCCTGTAACAAACAAAAAATATAGATCCATAATAGAAGTCTGCTATGATATAAATTAAAGATAAGAAAAAAATAAAATTAGCGACAAGCTCATGGTAGGATACAGTTCCACTTTATATTAATACTGCCTCCATTCCATTCCATTATGTGAGAATAATACTTGGCAATACCTTAAAAAGTTCTCTGAAGTACGTACTGCAAACTGATAATATTAATTTATGTGCCCTTAATATTTGGCCCTCAGCTGCAAGAGTCACATCGACGAGATGCTCATCTGTTAAAAGCGTGTAAAGTCCAGATGATAAATTCCTGGGAAAGCTGTTCCAAACCAGAGAAAACTGTTCTCCAGCCATGCTTGCACTTGATGTCCTTAACACAAAACTCAATCAAGTCACTTGATGTCTACATGACAGAATAAAAGTATGCATTAGAAGAAATTAATAATAAATAAATTATACTCTACACTTAAAAACTGAATCACCAAGCTCATAGAAAAAAAGTTACAGTATACCTGGATATGGAAGAACCCTGGGGGGCAGATAGATTTAACTAGTAAGAACTGTCAAAAATGATAATAAGTTAACAAGAAGGTTTGTTTATCTCGTTATATTAATGAGAACATAATTCCAACTTCCTGACAATCCATCATAAGCTCAATTTCAGGATTTGGCCCTTTTTTCAGTACTTCGCGTCTTTTTTATTTGTGTTTTCTACTGAATAACAAAACCATGAATCATAAGCGCGCTTGTGACGAAACGACTTCTTCAGTTTATAATAGAGTTTTCTCTTAAGGCGCGTTCTGTGTGCAAGAAATCTATATTTGTCACGAGAAGGCCCTCAAAGTGTTTTTCCTTTTAACACATATTGCATCTAATCATCTATATCACAGGATCATTTATAAAAACCAAAGTGTTGAATTTTTTTGAAATTATTGATTATATAGCATGATTAATTCAAATACTGTACAGATGAAACAAATCATTTGGTAAGTTTTGTGAGTTTGAAACTCCTGTACGATGCAACTGCACAATTGCATAATACCTTATGAATAACACTTTAGTGTACTAAAAAAAACTTAATCAGTGACCCATCTATGTAATGTAAAGTTTGTAAAAAAGAAATGCAAATCCAGCTATGTATAAAAATGAGTCTATTATTAAGTACGAACCAAATTATTAGAGATATTTTCATAATTGTGGATACTTCTCATATTCTTTGACGTCTCCTTTGCAATAAATGAATTTTAATTGTATTTGGAGGTAAAAAATTGATTCTACAATATCGCAAGAGTAATCAGTAGTCAACCCTGCACTTCTCAGTATTCTTTCATAGAGCGCCTGTAAAATGCAACTAAAAGTGCATAAATCCTTATGAATGCTGCTTAAAATATTGCAGCAGAGTTGTAGCTAAGTGTACATACAGTAATTTTGTACATACAAAAGGATCTCAGCACTACTCCCTATATCTGCACAAGCTGTCAGATCACATTTGAAAATACTTTGAAGAACAGTAATGGAATTTTATTATAAAATCTAATGAAACACTTTCTAAAAGACAAAATGTTCAAGAAAACGCCCTTGTATTTTGTCTATCTGTAATAGTCCTGAACTCCTGGTTAATTTATTTAAAGACTTTTTCATAACATTTCTTAACATAGGAGTATATCCTAAAGAAATGTACTTTTACAGGTTTAGATAGTGCACTATGGCAGCAAATACTGTGGGAGAATTACATACGCTTAAATGGAATAATTTCTTGAACAGCCTAACAGATGGATTTGTTTCTCATCTAGCTGGAAATGATTTGGTGGATGTCACACTTCTAGTTGATGGTAAAATTCTTCAGGCACACAAACTTGTACTCTCTATATGCAGTCCATACTTCAAAACTGTTTTTAAGGTATTTTCTGTTATATTTGAAACTTTCAACAGATAGCTGTACAATCAACTAGATCTGTTACATGTAAATTATTCCAAATGAACCTCTTATTTTATTTTCACTTTTCAGACAAATCCTTGTCAACATCCAGTGATTATTCTAAAAGACATGTCATTTGCACATGTGAATGTCTTAGTAAATTTTATGTATCAAGGAGAAGTTGATATAAAAGTGGATGATCTTCCAGATATATTGAGAGCTGCACAAAATTTACAGATCACAGGACTCTGTGAACATGGTGATTTTAATGTTAGTATCTGTCTTATAATTTTAAACTTCTAAATAATCGCTGTACTGTATAGTTAATTTCACAGAATACAGATGAAAATTCATCCAATCAGGACTTAGATGAATCTAATGCAACGTGCCTTGTCATTAACGATGCTCATTCCAAGATTGGTGCAACAGAATCAAAAACTAAGTTAAGAAATGGCCAACAAATAACTGCATCGTTAGAAGATATAGGAATGTGCCTTGATCGTGATAAAACGTCCATGCCTTCAGATGAAAATGTGATTAAACCAAATGATTCTAAAAGTTCGAATACTAGTTATAAGCGTTTAATCAATTTGGAAGTTGAAATGTCTATGAAAAGAGGGAGAAGATCTCCACCACCATTAATAGGCATAGATGATCCACAGACACCATCTTTGAACTCAGTATTAGAAGTATTGCAGGACCAGCAGGGCAATTTTACCCCAATATCAATAGAAGACTCTATAAAAAATGAGAATGTAACTTATAACGAAGAAGGTGAAGATAGCAACGAAAAAGAAATCTGTAAACAACTCCATTACTTTATAGAATTTTTACTATTTTTCTTGTTATACAGCTGATTCAAAGAGGACAGTCCAGACGAACAACTCCGGCCTTCCATCATGTAGCAAATTCATACCACTGCAATCAGAACAGCTAACACGACAAGGTACAAAAAGTTCATTACCATTGGACCAGACGAAATCGCCCTTAATCACAACCATCGCTGAAAGATCATTCTCACTTTCCACTGAAATCTGAGACTCGATATTATTCGTGCACTCAATTTATTTCCTAATTGGAATGACGTCGTTCTTCATCAGCTGAACATCTCTCACACGCATGATAACATCATCGCTAGTCAATCGCAAAGGTAAAAACCTCTAAGTAGGGAACATTCTCAGATCAATAAAGGAACACATAAATAACTCATCTTCTTCATCCGAGGTTGTGTCAAAGAATCATATATCCAAAAAAAAACTGTCAGAAACATTCTTGGCCTCATAAATTTGCAGTTGTGGAGCCGGTCATATACAGACTGTCTGCCAGAGGTCGGCCCCAGCTCGTGCACGAGGGTTACGTTTACAATCTAACGTCCCGTTCGGAACACCTTAATCGTTCCCATTATCGTTGTGCAGAACAACATCGTGGATGTCGTGGCAAATGTGCTGTAATAGCTGAAAGGTTTATGCCGACTGGAGTCAACGAACATAATCATCCGCCTGGCTATCAATCAGAACATGATTATAGGAAAAAGAAGGGACTGGATACCGATACTATGTAAATGGATAACTAAATGTTCTATATTATCGTATCGATACTCTTTTTTCCTGCAAAATAACGTCTGTCGTTCATGTTATCAGTTTATTTAATCATTCTTAATGTAGCTTATTTTTCTTTCTAAATGATATATCATTTAAGTCATAGTGATATAGATCCAGACAACATATGTCTAATAGTCATCTTCAAGATATCTTAAAGACAGCTTCTGTGCCATTAGACGCCTTAAAGACGACTCTTGGACATTATGTGTTGTCAAGGCGAGATATTATACAGCATTGATTATATGTACTACTGATACATTCCAGAGCAATCAATTATTCAGAGATTTTTTATGATTTGTTAAATAATTTTATTGATGCTAGGCTCAAATACAATCGCCCAGTTGCTTTAACGTGATACTTGTTCAAGAAATCAAGAATAAATATATTTATTTTAATTGTTAAATCATTTATTAACATGTTGCTGATTGTTTGTATAGGCACATAAAGATATTCTTTTCATTGTATGAAGTTACGGGGAAAAAATGAAGCTTGTATCATCGACTATTTTACTAAATGCATTTCTTTTGTTAACTCGACAGATTTTTAAGAATAGTTGCTCTTTCCCACGGCTAGAAATAAAACAGCTAGCAGAAACAAAGGTATTTTCATTTTGTGATAACAAAAATTGACGATCTGGCGATTGACCCTCTGTCAGTGATGATGTCTTCATAATTCACGTGTATCAGTCAACGTAGACTAGTTCCCAATGGTTCCCACGAAAATCATATGAGACTGCAAAGTCCTAAAGTCCTTGGCAAAGACAGAAAAATATCTGGCTCTATCGTATAGGAATTATTTTGCAAAATTTTTTTGCTTGCCACAACGTTTCAATCGGATCAATGACGCGAGGCTCTCGCAACACATTCAAGAATTACGTAAAACTTATTTCGAAGATATTGATGTCTTAAATGACCCCAATAATGCTGCAGATGATGTTTTGCACAGAATTGTTCTCATTTTAAAAAGAACTTCAAGAGAACAACTATTGAAAGAAGGACCAACGCTTCTAGTACCTTGTTCTATAAAAGTCCTCTTCCATTATGAGTATGGTCTTCCTTATAAAGAAGGTCTCTGCGATTGGAAACAAAGAAGACACTTAAAATTGGCCAAAGAATCATATTACAATCTGTTAAGATCTTTTGTACCGGAGAAATCCAAGGAACTTGTGAAAGTCGTTATAAAAACAATTCACAAAGGAAAGTTGTGGTTAGTGGAAGATTTTGCCTATGACCTATTGTGGACTCTCCTAGAATTAAACGTTTCTGGTTTCACGGTGGTTCAAAGGATCTTAAATAAACTAGAGATGCTTGATAATGATATCCCAGACGCAAGAGCTATCGTGAGAGTGTTATACGAACTGCTGAACGTGTATCATTGGCCTGAAGATATGAAAACTATAGCGGTAGTCGAGAGGCTTTTGAAGCTTTTCCATAAGAGCATGGTAGCAGCAGATGGAAATGATCCTCCTTATGGATCCCTCAGGAAAGGATTGGAAGTGTGCGTTAGACATATTCTACAACGTCTTCCGAATGATCATCTCCTAGTGGCCATCAGACATATGTGTCTTTGGACAATGAAGAATGAGACTAATGATGAAACTATATTAGATTTTGGAAGCACTCTTGAATACGCTGCCTTTTTGCATAACAGCAGTTCATACGAGAAAACTTTGACTTCTGAAGTGTTTCCGATGCTAATGCACATGATAGGATCAACAAACAGATTAGCAAATCTATTAGGTAACAGAGTACTGCAATATCTTCTGGATAGAAACAACAATAAACATCAATTTGATACACCAAAGATCTTCTTCGAGAATACGCAGTTTGATCTATGCATTGGTAAGTATAATAGGAAGGATAAAATCTTCCTGAAAACGTACCGCGAAGAACTTCATGACTGTCTTGTCAAGAGTGTGATCAATCATTGCTCAACTAGATTGAATCTTGAAGCCACTTACTGCACAATATGTCTCCTGGCAGTGGAAGTACCTTGTGGATTTACAGCAGCATCTACAGTGTGTTTGGCTATGAACCTGCAGGAGTTGACCTTAGAAAGAAAGGATCTATCACGGGAAGTGTCCTTCCACGTTCATGCCACTGTTATGGCTATTATGTCTCTTCTATGCTGGGTTCATCATGCTAAAGTATTTTTTAATTATATTAATAAGATTATGATGGAACGAGCTCAGTGGGCACCGCACTTAAATCCACCGTTACAGTCGCGATACGATTTTGCTATCCATCACATTCTTTGGGACAAGCCTGAATTTTTCTTCGTTGATTGGGAAACGCGTTACGGCCTTTGGAAGTGTTTTAGACTAAAAGAAGAACGGCGTAGCGTCATCAGTTCCCACTAAGACTGTCCAGGAGATAACGACGATGATGATGATGATTCATGATAAATCAATATTCATTATTAAAAAACTCATTGTGTCAGACGATGTAAATTGTTAGGATGCGTTAGATACCAAGTTGTTAGGTTGCTAGGTACCACACCTTTAATTAGAACAGTTTCGGGCTTGTGTTCATTTCTGATACACAGTTCAGTATGTTACGCCAAATTTGATGGGGTGGATGTGACTTAGAATCAATCGGTAAATAGTGTTGAATTCATTTCTACAAAAATATGTCAGATAAATTGAATATGAGGTCAATGATATCATCGCCTTTAAGAGTTAAAGGAAGCTGTGCAGATTCAAGCGTTTTGGGAAATCATAATACCGTCAGGAAACCCGACAAGGATAATGCAGCTGAGTCTCTAAATTTTACCCTGGTCGGCTCGCCTGCTCCGAGATCACAAATACGCACTTTTATATCGACAAATACGTTGATTAGGAACAAAATAAAGCCCACAGTAGCATCTACAAGAATTCGTGATCTCGACAAGCATGAATCCTCGCTCGAGAAGCTGTACAGCTTTGCTGATAATCCAACGAAATATGTACAGTCTTCTAAGGATGAAAAGCTGACCCTCAACTTGGAGTTCTCGGACCGCTCTGATGAGTCTGATAATTACTATAATTCTCATAACATTGCCTTTGGACAGAATGGCGAGTATAGAATACCAGAATACGATCATATACGGTATTTGGAATTCAACAGAACTAATTCTCACGAATTAAACAATGATCCCACTAAGCTAGGGCATAAACAGAATCTAATAATACAAGGACAGAAGCAGAACGCAGAACGACAGTCCTCGCACTCAGGATGCTCAAGTAACAATGCAGTCGCAGGAGACGATAGAAAGAAATCGCAGAGAAATCGTATATCAGCATCTTCGGATTCCGAAAGTGGAAGCTCAGGAAGTAACCACCGTAAAGTCGTACTCGGGAGCCAACTTGTTAGAACACAGAAATTGAATGACAGTCTGACAGACGGCTCTAAGAACACGTCATTCGACTGCGCCATCAACTACAAGAACACTGTAAATCCAATGGTGGAGAAATTTATGTTAGATACAGAACAGCAAGAAGAAGGAACAATAAGCAATCGTTTATGTAATGGTAGCTTACTCAGTAAAAATTTCGTTCAAGCTGTCCAGTCACAGGTTGGTAATGATTCTGTTGAGAATTCCTCCAGGACTTCGCCTGAGACTTCCCGGACGATACTCAGTGGTACATCCTCAAACGATGGAACCTGGCATCAGCATAGTCTTAACAGTGCTTACTTCGCTTCGCCGGATACCGAGGTTGATGTTGATAAATTATCAAGTAATACATTCAAAAATGTCATGGGAGAGAACGAAGATGCCTTCAAGGAGGAGAAGGAACAATATTTAACTGTCATAAAGAATGAAGAATTCTGCCACGATAGATCGTCCATGAAAATATCCCATCCCTACATTTTTATAACTGATGAAGCCATCGATACGGAAGTCATGGAATGTTCTAGATCATTTTCAGTGAATTACTCTGAAAAACCAGAAAACAACTCCACACTGGAGATCAATAAACCGGATAACTCCTGTGCTAGTGATAACAATAGTGATTATGGAATTAATATGATATTCCCTGAGAATAATGAACGGCCCAAGGATAGAGTCAGAATACGTCCTTCTGATAATACACAGTTGCATGATGCAATAAGTGGCTACAATGGCACTAGAAAAAAGATAAATCACAATGAAGTTTTTCAATCTATTTCATCTAACGATAGTAGAACTTCGGTTTTTTACATGACTGCTGCTGAGATAACCCAGGCGGCAGAGTATAGTAAGAAACTGTCAGATTTATTTACAGTTATTCTCCAGAGACCTCCTGTACCTAGTCCAGGTGCAACTCCAATAAGATTGGCAAACTGCATAACTAAGAATCTTTTGCCTTCACAAACAACACCGAGAATCGTTCGCAGTAGTTTGGGATCACCGAATTTTCGTACAAATCATTCAACTAGTTAGAACTTAATGCTTGGATACTATTTGAGAATAAATATTTTGTCTACAAATAATGTAATTTGTATGTGCATCAGGATTTCAATAAATTATGCTTTATTATGAGAGCCAATGTCATTTATGACTTTCATTGAGAAATCTTACTTGTCCGTATCATAACTTTTAATTTTGGTATGTAATGTGTATTAATCATGATAAATGGCAGAGATTCACAAAAATGTTGGGCTATATTAAATAAATGATAATCGTGATAATAGAAAAGGTAATTAATTATATCATTCAAACAATTAAATAAGAGTTAGAAGAAATATTTTATTTTTATAATCAAACTCGTGATATGTATAATTCAATCAACAATTTGAACCAATACAGAAGAATTATTGGAGATGGATACCAGTATTGTTTTCGATCCAATCCAGGTAACTAGTGACACGCGTGAAAACACCAGGCCATCCTATTTCGCAACCAAGAGCAATACCGAAGGAGACAATACCAACCTGAGTGACCTCACCATCAGTATCGGTGATTACGAGAGGACCACCAGAGTCACCCTAATACGAGAGAAACCATACATTTTTATAATCTATTATTTTCTGTCCCATTATTAATAAATATCGATAAAATTAAACTTACACTGCAAGTAGACCGTCCACCAGATCCAGAAAGGCAGATGTTGCTGCTTTGGACGACTCCAATGTAGTAGATGTTACAAAGGAAGTTGGTCATAATATTATTCTGTACCCAACGAAGAACAGGGCTTATAGAGTTGGAGGCTGTAATACAATTAATATATCAATGACATTCGTAACTTTCCCATCTTTCATCGCTATAGATTAAATTTATAATATCAGTTCTCACAGTCACTATCAAGTCCCCATCCAGAAACGGTACCGGTCGCACTAGCGAAGGTAGACGAGACCTTACTCTTCTTGGGCAAACGAACAGGCTGGATCCTGTCTATAATAACATGCAAGTGAAAAAAATGCTTAAAAGTATAAAGAATTTTTAAAAATGCTATAAACAAGTAAAAGAATAACCATAGACTTAATATTCAAGTTATGAGAAACTCACCGTTAAATTCAATTTTTTCAGAAAGACGTACAACAGCAATATCGTTACGGATGAGACTAGAGTCCCAGTTCTTATGGATGATGATCTCTTCAGCAACGATGCGCTTCTGGGTATTCTCAACCGTGGAAACGTTATGAGCACCGAGGATGATGACAACGGTTCCAGGAAGATCAACACAATGAGCCGCAGTGAGGATCCATTCTTCGTTCAAGATAGAACCGCCGCAAAAGTAATTTCCGGCTGTAGTTTGTAGCTGGAGACCAATTTGGTACGGAAACTGTCCTGGTTCGGCTGGCAGCCCACCGACGATACGTGATTCAATCTTATCTATTAAAGTTTCATTAAGTTTAAAGTAGGATCTTTAAAAAAGAATCTGTCAGAATTGTATGAATAATGAGGATAACAACTTACCCCGTGGAAGATAGTCTCCAAATTCAGGTGGAATGATATGCCTAGGTATGAGCGTGTTCCATTCAACCTCAGTGGCCTATAAATATCATTAATACCATTAAATTATTGTACGAGAGAGTGCTTAGTATCTCGAAATAATATGCAAACCTGAACAGCCACAACGACGAAGCAAAGTGCTACAATGAATTTCATTCTGGAGACTTGAAGCTGCGAATGAATCCAAAGAGCCTCCTTATATACGACAACGATCAAAGAGATAATTTCATTAATTTATAATGAACAACTATAAATGAAAAGATATATGATAAGATAATCATTAATTGATTACCTGACATATCAAGAACTAAAAAGCGGAGATTTTTCAGACATCTTTGAAAAAGTAATGCTCACTTGAATGATATTAATAAGATTTGATTGACTGATAAATATTTCCATGTGCATAGAAATCTAGACGAAAATCAGCTCTTTTTTTCAATCGCAATTAGATGTAGTGATATACATCCTCGAATGTGATAGATATTCCTCCAGATTGTACAGTATCTCAACAATTTTCTATACATTTATTATAAAAGAGAAGAAACAATGTAGTAATCTTCCCGATGATGCAATCTACCTTTGACGCATACACGTAATATTCTTGTTTGATGCCCTAATATTATTTTTAATATTGTATGTACAGTTTGACTTATGTTACACAGAGTCCAATTAAAACCACAAATCACCACCGACGTCTTCTTCTTGCGGTAGTGTCTGCTGAATATCTTGCTTTTGTTGAGAATTATTCTCGGCTTCATCCTCACTTTCTGACACAGCCAAGTCGTCTTGAATTTTATCAACGCCCTTATCATTCCTTGCCGGAAGTCCAGCCAAAAGGAAATCCGAAGGATCATAATTTGGATCAACATCCATACTTTCATCTGAGATAGAAAATACATTTATACGTTGTTCATCGCCTGTGTCAATAATTAGTGGTATATTTATTGCTATTATTTACCTTGCTGAAGTAGCTGCTGTTCCCCAGTATAGAAACCTACATTTCCCAATTGAACCATCGCCTCAGCAGCTTGTTGACTGTCATCATCGGCGGGAACTTCACCAGATTCGCGCATCTCACCCACCTCCAGTGCCTCCATATCTGTTTGTTCTACTTGTTCATCACCACCAAAGGGAACTTCGTCGAACTCATCCTCGCTGGAGAATTGCAGATCTACAGAAAATTAAAGAGTCAATAGAATTTATTATATATGTATATGCACGCACGCGCGCACGCACTATCGGTATAGATTTCTCTTTTTATATCAATGAAGAATTTGAAACTTACCTTCTTCAAGGACATCCTTCTTCTTTCCATGTGTATTCCTGCCTATTTCTCCATCAGGATCGCCCTCAACATCGACAAAATCGAAATCATCCATATTCGACTTGCCAAAGGGATTGTCCGGTGAGCTGGTTTGGCTCTAGACAAAGGTACAATAGTAACAGAGGTTAGGGGGTATTCTTTTTTTATATACAGGTTTTCTTGATATTTTTTATCAACTTTATTCTCACCCCACGAAATTCTGGCTCCGCTATGGTATAATTCTCTTCATCAGGTCCAAGCCAAGATGAATCAATATCCGCTTGTTCCATTGCTCGTTGTTGAACAAGAGAAATATTACTCTCCAGTTGCGTTAGATGATCGTCATACTGAAAGAAAATGATATATCTTGTGCATAAAGAATTTAAAACTAGAACCTGGTAAATATGAAAGTACCTCATCGAGCAATTCTTTGCAGACTTTTATAACAGTCTCTGCTTTCTTGGTAAACGGCGATTCCTTTCCATTGTACACTGTACAATTTTCTAAAATTTGCTCTATGTCCCTCATGAAATCATGTCGACTGTGATATTTATGTGCGGCAACCTTTTTAGATATTGTATCCAGATCCATAGGTCTTTTGATCACGTTGTAATAATCTTTGACGAGTTTTTTGCTCACCGGCTTCGAGAATGGCCAGGCTTCTGGCATAGCCTTCAATTTATTGTTAACAACATTTTCGAGGATGAAGGTAAGGGCGACTTGATCATTGTCATCCAGAAGAGGATTGATCGCCTTTTCCAATCTCATTAAACGATCCTCTTTTTCGCCAAGTCTATTTACACAGGTATCCAGCATCCTTTTCGCAGCGACTGTTAATGAACTCTTTGGACCGTTGTAAAGATTTGAATTCTCGACGATCTGATTAACATCAGCCAGGAATTCTTCTCTACTCTGATATTTCTTCTGCCGCAAATTCTCACGAATGGTTTGTAAGTCCATAGGTCTTGACACGATTTTGTAATAGTCAGGTACAGCCTAGCTTGCACAATAAACAGTGGTTAATTATCAGTGTTACAGTAGCTTGAAAGTTCTATGGATCTAGATAGATTTACCTTAGCATTGACTGGAAATAAGAATGGTTGTACATCTGGAAGATCTCTCATTTCGTTAAGAATACTTTCCAGTATAGTAGACATAACAACGACAGGATCTGTCCTTCTTCTATTCGCTGGTCTCTGTTGTCTTTTTAAATAATCACAATGATCATCGCCAGTGGCTCTTCTACGTTTCTTTGAATTAACAGCCTCTTTTGGTACTTTCAGTAACAAAGTTCTTCTCTTCATCTCCTCGGCATGCTGAAAAATTGAAAATAATTGGGAATAACAATGAAATTATATAATATCAATAGAAGAATATATAAGGAATCGATAATATGTGATGATTGCCTTTATAAGCTTCGAGGACAGCTTGACTTTCGTTCCGTCAACGTTCACTAGGTCCTGGTCGTCAGTGTTTAATTGCCTTTCAATTTCTTCTTCTTGTTCCTCAGTCATGGCTACATTGACAGGGGCAGTTATCATACTGCTCTGATACAATGGACACGCTTTGTTTGTTCTCATATGACCCACGTTACCACATGCGCCACACTTCAGCTTGAGATCTGGTTTGAGTTTAGGTTTTTTACGTTTAGAAGGAGAGATATCTGGTTTCGAATGCTTTGAGGATAAAGAAGAAGAAGGAAAGTTACAGAAAGGAAGGATACTGGCAGAGGATTGCGTTGTAGGTGTATTATTGGTGCTGCGATCAAACATATTGTTGGAAGAGAAGTTACTAGATGGTCCACCTAGCATCCTCTCACGTTCCTGATTCCTCTTGATCCTACGAAGCTGTTCCTGAATTCTACGTTTCTCTCTCTTCATCTCCTCCTTCTGGGCTTCATCCAGGGTTGCGAATTGCTTTATAAACGTCTCATCCTTGGAATTACGGATTTTTATATAAGTGTCTATTACAGCTGGCTTTCGGACCAATTCCACTCTAGTGTATTCCTTGCCCTCAGGATTCCTAAAGGTCCTGTAAATCTTCAAGACACGTCCTTGTTGTGCATTGAAACTATTCACAGGACTCTCGTCCTCCTCATCCTTCTTCTTCTCTTTACTTTTCTTATCCTGTTCCTGTACTTCGCCCATTAACATCTTTCTCAGCTCCTGTCTCTGCTGCTCCTCGCGCTCCATCGATAGCTGAGTACTGGTTTTCTTGTTCGATAACATATTTTCTATGTTCTTACCCATTTCCTCAATATCGGAACTGTCTTCCTCAGAACTCTCACCCTCGTCCGTACTTAGAACTTCGTTAGAGGACAAAACACGGTTCTGCAAGTCAAAAATTCTTTGGCATTCCTCCTTGTACCTTTCTTGATGTTCTGCGATAGAAAATCGATTTCCTCTCGAGAATTTTGTCATTCCTTCTTCGCCAGCCTTGGCTTTCTCCGTGGATAGGGTTCTCACTACGTCAATTACTTCCCAACGTGATAGCTTCTTGATTTCCTCCTCAGGAACACCAAACTTTCTGAGCAATGCTTTAGCGTTGTTCAATGAAAGTCGCCTCAAGTCAGCATCCGTTCCAGTTACTGTTCTCTTTGGTTGGGCTTCTTGTTCTTCCTGAAAAGGAACAAAATATTAGGTTACATAACCTTCAGATCAAATAATTACAATGTTACACGAATTTCATATACCTTGCTGATGGTTGGTTTATTTGGAACTCTCACATAAGAAAATCCTTCACCGCAACCCGTTGGATCAGCGGGACCAGCCAATTGTAATAGACACTTTCCTCTCATAGCTTGTATGTAAGCTCTCGTTGTATTCCATGGAGCGACTTTGACCTCATCGTCCATTTTCAATTGCATCTCCTCATCATCGTCATCTTGCGGTGTAAAGAGGAATTTCTCACCATAGCCAGCATCTTTCAATCTCTGTTCAGCTGCTATCATACTGAAGTAGGCACAACACTGTTCCGGAGACACCATAGCTCTTATCTCTTCTTCAGTGGGGAGCCGAAAATCCGGTTTTATTACCCACCAATTAGAATCCATTCCTGTTCTTTTGAAATCCGCACATAGTTTCAAACGTTTTCTTATACTGCTTTCACTATGAGAGGGAAAGGCCTTCTTGATATCATCCATCTTTATTCTTCGTGGGGTGTCACGAGACTTCCAGAACAAACGATATATAAAAACCTGAAGGAAGTCTCTCACGAAATTATTGGCCCTCTTGGAATTCGGTCCAGGTACTTCGTAAAGTGGACATTCCTGACCAGCGACGAACAGGGCGTCGACCTCTCTGATGTAATACTGCTGTCGTGTCCTTATCACCAAAAAATCTGTTTCAGGAATCTTATGCTCATATATAGGTGCACGGTACATATTATTCTCGACGGCCTGTATACTCTGTCCAGGTGTCAGTATTCCCAAGAAGGGACTTGTGTGAGCATACGCTGTCTCTCCATACTTATACTTCTGAGGCCCCTGATCCTTGCCCGCTTTTCTTTTATAATAATTTTTCACCTTCGAACACATACCCACTTGATTCATCAACGGTGGATGTTCCTCAGAGAACTCGACGAGGACAATCTCGCCATCGCGTCCCGTTAGATCCTCAGCAGTTCTCATAAAAAAGACGTCTCCACCTCCTGATGCGATTCTCTCTTGTTCTCGCTGCTTGGATTTTTTCTTTATGTGTTTCAACAGTGGTAGAAAACTGTGCAGTCCAGGATTTGCTAGTGGGCCATGACTAAATCTTCTTAAGGGTGGCCTATGGAAGTTCCGTAGTCGCATAGGACCCATATGGGTTTGTACAAATGGCGCTCGCAGCTCCACAACCGGAGTACTGTGTTGAATCAAATTTCCACCGCCTACTTTGAGCCTCAAGGTGGTTTCCGACGATCTTGGCATGTAGTACGAGTCATTAGAAATATTAAAAGGATCTCGATCAGGTGATTTTGGTGGCGGTGGCGGTGTATCCTCCTCCAGAACGTTTATCACGCCTGCCTTTCCCAAGAGAAGCTTACTTTTCTTCACGTGAGGATGTGGTATCTTCACTTTCGGTTGACGCCCATTTTCCTTGTGCAAGAGTGCTGGGTCAATATCATCAGGAATTCCCAGAACGATATTTTCATCATTTGGGTCCAAGGTGAGTATCTTTGGTTTGGGTATTTTCTTCATATTCTCCGCATCCCAAATAACTTCCTCTTCCCAGAGACCATAAACAAGTTCCTCGTTCTCCACTGGAAATATCGAGTACCAAGTATCGTCATAATTTTCCTCACGTTGCTGTTGCTGACTTCCTTTTGGTACAGCCCTGCTTCAAAACATGACATTTTTTAAATGAAAGATTGGTAAGATGAAATGTTCTGTATACTGAAACGATATCATACAGTTTATTCTTCTGAGATTGCATGTGCAATGGAGTAGCAATTTGTGAAGTAGCTAAACGAACATTCGGAGCTACAGGAAGAGGATTTCCTTTTCCAGGTTGACTGAAAGCCTGTGCAGTACGATTACCACTCGAGGGAACCCAGCCTGCAGCGTTATTCTTACTGTTCAGTTTCTGCATAACCTACAAATTATTCAGAGGGAATTTCGTTATACCAGTACCCAGGGAACCTACGTAATTAAAATCTTAACGATCAGTACCTTGTGTTTTATGTCGTCTCCATTCCAGACAACATCATCCTCCCAGTGCAATTGTGACACCATGAGGAAAGCATCATCGGAGAACTCTTCATCAGCTTTCTGCTTTTCATCTTCCTCAGTTTTCTCGATTAATTTAAAGCCATAATTGAAACCATCACCAGTTTCTGGCACTTCTAACATGTCATACCAAATCTGTGCAGGTCCAAAACGCCAATCGGCAACTTTTGGACCCATATCACCATTCTCACCGGATTCTCCAGTCTTTCCAGTCTGCTCTTTATCTTCCACAGGGAGCAACAGCTTCTCCTCGTCATCGGTACGACACTGATCTGGCGTCGGATCCGGAGCGTACTGCATAACCCATCCTTTGAATTTCGACTTTCTTTCATCATGATCCGAACCAGAATCAGAATCCTTTACATCATGATGCCGTTTTTTCTTTCGTCGTTTGCGAACTCCTCTCCAGATCTGTGGTAAACTGCTAGGTTTCCCAGGACCGAATAATCTGGAAAATCTGAGGACCTTGTTCGCACGAAAATCAGGAAACAGTTCTGTCACGTCAATGTTCGCGTATTTTGATGGTAGCATAGAAGCCAAAGGTGTTTCTAATTTTCGTTGCCTGGCAGCTTCAGCTTCTTCTGGAGTAAGAATTTCTTTTTCATCAGGAATAGGTGGTGGAGGCATTAGCTGTGTATCTGATTTATTTATAACCTCCTCGTCGTCGGCATCATACCCTGTACTTTCCTTATCAGCTTTCTTTGATAATGTGTCATCTATTAAAGTAAGGAATCATTATTATTGCCTTGAGTTTAAAGGAATCAAGAAAAATATAAGTATTTCTATAGTGTTTACATACTAATCTCCTCAGCGGTGTCCTCTGCCAACTCATTTATGTCAGAAAAATCAAGAGCAGTAGGTGATTTTGCTAAATAATCCACATCATCCTTATCCTGAGGCTCGCTCTTAATTTGATCATTCTCATCTTTTACAGTTTCACCTTCTTTCTCATAATTTTTGGTTTCACTAGAAATCATTTCCTGGAGTAAGGAACTTAATCCTAGACGACTCAGCGAAGCCAAATGTTGTTTAGCTTCAGGATCCAAGATATCATCCTCCAGCTGACCATTATCATCGATATTGCCAAACAGAAAACCAGTCATATTGATCCCAGCGTCCATATCCTTATCGTTATCATCTTCGGAATCAGCCATTTTGCTTAATCTTGATTAAATTAAATAAAGCATACGAATTAGTACACTTCAAAAAATTGCGATATAGGTTATGTTTGCATAATAGTCACTTTACTGATTCCAACCACAAAACAAATTATTTATGTTATACAAGAATTCATACTTTCTTTTAAAAATTCTACATATACTGTATTTACCGATATTCTTTTGTATTAGTAAAGAAATTTCAAAACTGAAATACTATATCAATCTGGTGCTCTTCGCTATTTATGACTCCATCACTGTCTATCACTAAATTACACTAACGGCGTGTTCCGATATAAACTGGCAGTGCTGCCAGTACTGCAGATTTCATTCCGATATTGGAGTACAGTGCACTGCGGCAATGCCTAATAACTTTAATGACGTCATAAGTTTCTCCCATTTTTTCACTGTAAGCGCCTGAGCTCCCATGGTCAGGTACTTCCAGTGGTCCCCCACTCCCTACAATAATAGGCGGCAAAAATTGTGAAGATCAATTTAATTGACGGCGAAACAAACATTTTATATGAAATATGTGTAACACCTGATGAATCAGTATGTGCACAAAATGGTAAGTGATAGTTTTTGATCATCTTATTTTTTTCTCGTTTGTTTTGGTGCAAATAATCATATTTTTGGTATTGCCTCCCTTTGTTTCATTTCTGCAATTCACCAATTACTGAAAAACGTTCCGATATTATTCCCAACCAGTTATAAACACTGGCGCTAATGAAAATGGAAAGCTTCAACAGTATACTTCAATGAAGTCACATATTGCAGTGCTCACAGGGTATATCGGAACACGCCGTAAATGAAAACAACCTGAAGACACGCGGGAAGTTAGCGCGGGAAAATAAAAATTTGTATGTTTATAATGCTTAAAAAATTGCTCCTTAAATGCTCCATATGTTTCCGTAACTGCTCCACTGCTACTATGCAGTGATTAATAAATATTCATTAAAACAGAAAATTTTTATTTTTATTGAAATTCCAATTAACCAAACAGATTTACATACGAGTTTCTTGATGAATTAATTGCTCCCGATATGCTCCCAATTGCTCCACAATTAGATTTTTATTTAATTAAAGCATCTTTAAATAATAAGTAAAATTTGATTTTCACTTAGCTCGATTGCAAACGTGAACATTATGATTGGTTTGCGAACACACCTATGACAGGTGCGTTCTAAGATCAGCCGAGAGTGCGCGAACATCATTGCCTCGGTTAATTTTCGAACACACTTGGTCAATTCAGGATTGATCGATTCCTTTAGATCAGTATTAACTAAACCGGTTCAAGACCGCCGTGTAAACGTAGTTTAAGGCCTGTTATCTTCTGCGCGCTTCAATGTATAAACTACGTTTATTTTCAAAATACAAGTGTCTGATTGGCTAATAGCACAGTTAAGCCAAGTTTATGCATTGAACCGCGTCGAAGAAAACGGACATGAGAACTTCAAATATCCGATTAGTCCGAAAAATGTGTTACAGCTGCTGAATTTCAGTTAACTTTCAAATAGTACTTTGAATTTACATTATCGTCAAAGTTATCTAATTAAACTCTGTTTGTAAGATCTTCAGGTAAATATTATTAATCAGCAGTATTGGCAATATTATGAAAATAGATTTTATATTGGACGACTACAAGCGTGTCGTTCATTGTATTGTAAAAAGAACCTGTCACGAATCTTTCCTTAAATTGGTGGTCAAAATCTCGAATCTTCCGTCCGAAGAGCGCGTGTGCGCGGTGAAATTTGATGAAATGACAATCAAAACCTTCGAGGAATATTCTCAGAAGTTTGATTGCATCGAGGGTGTTGTCGACCTCGGTTCTCTCGGGCGCAAAGACGAACGTGCCCGATACGTCTTTCTAATTTGCGTTGACAGTTTAAATGCAAAAAATCCTTGGCGTCAGCCTTTAGCGTATTTTCTCCCGGGATCAGGAATGAAGGCACTCGAAATTCACGCCCTACTAAAAGAATGTTTGCGCAGATTATCCGATGCGGGAGCGGAAGTGATGCTCATCACATGCGACCAGGGTCCATCGAATCAAAGTCTTTTTAACTCGTACCTTAACGTATCCGAGGAAAAGCCTTTCTTCTCGATTGGAAATAAACAGCTCTCAGCTTCTTTCGATTTCCCGCACCTCATCAAGCGGCTCTTGAGCACGCTCCGCACACATAGGATGTTATATTGCAACGGAGAGGTAATCGTTGACTATCAGGACTTTCTTGACACGTGGGAGTATGACAATTGTAACGGCACCTCGAATCTGCTCTCCCACATCACCAAGGCGCACTTGCATCCTTCGTCCTTCTCGAGCAAGGACGAGTGTTGAAAACTCGTACGGCTCGAGACTGGGGTTGGGCATGAGGTACGTACTATATATTTTGCGAAATGAAAGGACGTTGTTTTTGTCATTCGCGGGCAATTACAAAACGTGCCATATTTAATGAAACGAAATCGAGAATCACTTACCGACACAGAGCGCGAGGCAAGGAGGAGAATTAAATGTTTACGTGTAATGGCTTACAAGGAAACCCCCCCAACCCGACCCCACCGATTTCAATAATTTTTTGATATGTTGTAGTACTCGACAAAATAAGAGACACGTATTTTTTTTTTGTGCTGACATCCACTTTAAAGGGGTGAAAACGACCCCTGAAATTCACCCCCGAAAATCGTTTTTTTATCATATCTCGACTTCTAATTAATATTTTTTAATAAAACCAAGTGAAAATATTTGTCATAAGAAGTCGAAGATATGAGGTGTGTTTATGAGCCAAGGGGTTGCAACCCTTATTTTATATTTTGAAACAACTATATTTTTTATGCTTTTTTTCTGCATAAAAACCGGGGTATGGGCTCAAAAAAATAAAGAAAAGCGTTTCCGTTAACTCCATCAAATATTTCAGTTGGGGTGTTTCAGGATTTTTCAAAGGGATAAAAACCACCCCTAAATTTTACCCCCGAAAATTGTTTTTTATCATATGTCAGATTCTAATTGATATTTTTTAATAAAACCAAGTGGAAAATATTTGTCATAAGAATTCGAAGATATGAGGTGTGTTTATGACCCAAGGGGTTGCAACCCTTATTTTATATTTTGAAACAACTATATTTTTTATGCTTTTTTTCTGCATAAAAACCGGGGTATGGGCTCAAAAAAATAAAGAAAAGCGTTTCCGTTAACTCCATCAAATATTTCAGTTGGGGTGTTTCAGGATTTTTCAAAGGGATAAAAACCACCCCTAAATTTTACCCCCGAAAATTGTTTTTTATCATATGTCAGATTCTAATTGATATTTTTTAATAAAACCAAGTGGAAAATATTTGTCATAAGAATTCGAAGATATGAGGTGTGTTTATGACCCAAGGGGTTGCAACCCTTATTTTATATTTTGAAAAAACTATATTTTTTATGCTTTTTTCTGCATAAAAACCGGGGTATGGGCTCAAAAAAATAAAGAATTGGGTCATAAACACACCTCATATCTTCGAATTCTTATGACAAATATTTTCCACTTGGTTTTATTAAAAAATATTAACTAGAAGTCGAGATATGATAAAAAAACGATTTTCGGGGGTGAATTTCAGGGGTCGTTTTCACCCCTTTAAAGTGGATGTCAGCACACAAAAAAAATACGTGTCTCTTATTTTGTCGAGTACTACAACATATCAAAAAATTATTGAAATCGGTGGGGTCGGGTTGGGGGGGTTTCCTTGTAAGTTACACCTTTACATACATAAGTTCCGACTCCGATCAGCGCGCTTCGCGCAGTAGCTTTGATAATATGATTGACAGATTGAAAAAGCTGGATAGAGTAATTGTTATATTTATAAAAATGCATGTGAACTATAGGTGTATATATGTAACAAAAATACGAGTGTGTGCGTTACGTATACCATTAGACCCCCCTATCTCAAATACAGTGTTGTCAATTCACCACAATTTTTTGGCGTTAGACACATTTTCAATCAAAATTCATTTACGCGGACCGATATTACTTTTTTAGAACGTAGGCAATCTCAGTAAAACTTTCTGTAAACCTTCCTTATATTGTTCACTACTTATTATCAATTTTATATATGACTCGAATTTGTTTGGAAAAAGATATGGGACGATATATCGATGTGTGGGTCTATAACGTTATAAGGCCTATGCATAAAACTGAATAGAACGGTCACTTTTGACTTCAAATATTTAAGTAACGAGGTAAGCGATTACTTTAAAACTTCGTAAGAGCTTGCACAGTGTGTTAACAAATATACTGAAAAATTTGGAATTTATGGTATTTCATGCCATTGTCCATAGAAGCACCCTAATTATGCTACCCAAAAATATATGAAACAAAATATTTCTAAGCAGATATATTTTGCGTTTTATATCACGATATAAAATAATTGTTTTTTTTAATATGCTCTTCAAATTGGATGTAAAAAAAATTGAACGTGCAGGCTTGTGACTTTTTAAGTTTTCGTGTTCGAGTCTCTGCTTGTAAACTTTTTTTTTTCATGAATTTTTTGCATTTTATTTCTAAATTTGTTTAATAGTATAATAATAATCACGCAAATATGTATTGTCATACATATCTGTGTGTCATACATGTCATACGTATCATACCTGATACGTTTATATTTATTTGCTGTTTACTTCGAAATGTAGAGCGAACTGCCACTTTCGAGACGCAAGAAACAAATGATGAAAACGCACGGGAGTCACAGTCACAGGACTTTTTGCAAAAAACAAAGCGGATCAATTTTATTATTGTTGCTATTAAATTATAACGAAAGTAATAAAATTTTGAAAACTTGTTCGCAATAACTACCGCTGTAAAATATTTATATGGAGTATAATATATAAAATATTGTGTATTGGGTAAAATTCATTTGCAGGTGGCTTTTTAATGCGGTTTTTAAGATTCATGAAAATTCCGAGTTCCTCCTTCTACTTATATTTTTTATATGCTGTTTTCTGTGGAACGTATCAACAGCATAAAAATAGACACGACTGTATAATATAATAAAATGTATATAGTATAATATAATCATGCATTTGCTACATTCCAAATTAATTAATAGGTTCATTAAGCATTGTTCATGAATAAAAAAAAATTAATAATAATCGGGTCTCGAACCCGAGACTCTCTCACGTTGACTCGTTACCATGCACGTATGATATTTAGTTGCCGTGACGTATAGATTAGGAAAGCTGTATTTCAGTTGTTATACACAGAATTGTATGCCCGGCAGGCTTCCGAGGGCAGTCCCCAACCTTCCGGTCATACCTGTCCCGCCGCTAGGGTCCTGGACCCCTTCGCAGCTAGCTTAATACCACAAGCGTGCTTGTTGTAAAACGTATACACAAACGTATACACGTTTGGAGTTTGCTTAGAGTAGTCTGATACATACGCTTGACCAATCAAAAACGTGGGTATGGTTCGAGGCATCTCCGTCCAGGTGACACGTCGACAATAGAAAACACACGCTTTACAGTGCCACCCGGTATATTCCATACGTCTCACGGAGCTCACGAATATCACGCGTAGTATATCTATATATACTCGACCAATCAAAAACGTGGGTATGGTTCGAGGCATCTCCGTCCAGGTGACACGTCGACAATAGAAAACACACGCTTTACAGTGCCACCCGGTATATTCCATACGTCTCACGGAGCTCACGAATATCACGCGTAGTATATCTATATATACTCGACCAATCAAAAACGTGGGTATGTTTCAACGGCCCTCCGCTCAGGTGGCGCGTTTACTCTAAAATAAAATTGGTTTCAAGAATATCGGCCCATTGGCAATCTCCCTACTCATCTCTGATAGCACAATGGCTTGGTAGCACACGTGCTTGGTGCTGGATTAACTTACGAGAGTCTCGAATTCGGAACTCACGTCTGATCCCTCTTTTTTTTCTTTTTTCTTAATTATCAACTATGCTTATTGGTTTACCTAGTTAACTGAAGATTCATTAAATATATGATTATATTAGTCTACAAATATTGTATTATATTACATCGTACACATGCAATAAATGGGTACATGAATCAGCAAGCGTTTCTTCTTCCCGAGAGCCTACCTGTAACAAACACCTATGTTACGCTGTTTCATGTTTTAATAGCATAAATAATATTCAAACGGATAAAGAAGGCATTACGGAAAATTACCAAAAACAAAAATGCACTTATGAATCTCGGGCATAAAAATAATGATGAGTATATAAAAATGAACCAATTATTTTCTATAGTGAGATGAAAAGAATAATGTATCTGGTTAGGGATTTTTTTTTCATTTAATTTGTACCATTCAAGGCTATGTAAAGGTAACATTTTTAATACATCGAATTATCAGAAAATTATGTCGAAGTATAATTTTAATTCTGAATTAGTTTTTACATCAGAATATACTGATAATTCGAGACATAAAAAATACAATTATCTTTCCGTAGGCTTGAATAAAAAAAATTTACTAAATTGAATCAGGTTACTCAAAAATATATGAAACAAAATTTCTAAGCAGATACACTATTTGTCTCATCTCACCATACATATGTATAAAATAATTGCGTGGGTTTTTTACGCTTTTTATTTTTTTTACCCGATATTAATAAGTGCAATTTTTTGGGACATTTTGCTTTCTCATAGAGGAAGCTATGTGAAGGTGGAAAATTGTCCTGTCGAGATTTTCATGTCACCATGTTCAGATTGTGCCAAAACGTCAAGAAGACACGTTTGGAGAAAATGTCCGGATGTTGTGTGTGTGTGTAATGGCCTCCCAAAATTCAAACGTGTATAACTCGAAAACGGTTTTAGCTACAGCCCCCGAATTTCGCAGGCATATGCAGCTCTATAATCCCTTCATTGACTATAATTATTATAGTTACTCTAATTATTATAGTCAATGAAGGGAAATTATTATAGTTACTATAATTCTCCTATTAGAGATGGGACTCCTCTACTCTAGTCTCTATGGATGTAACCATCCCGAAAAAAATAATGTGTTGGACACATCTAGACACATCTAAAAACGAATGGGTGCGCGGCTATGGAAATTGAAGAAGAGTGTGAAGGGACTTTGTAGAAAAGGCAAACTAACTGTCAAGCTAATTACTGAGTTCAGCGTTTATTATGGATTGGCCAATTGACGGCATAAAGATTCTGCTGAAGATATGAAAAAAGTTAGATAAGCTTTTCTCAACACTACTCCATACCTCGTTATAACAGTGTTATAAAATTTAGTGCATATACTCGAGAGTAATTAAAAAAATCACTAATTACTTCAGGTACCCGCGATTTCTACTAATGGTAAGAAACTCAAATGTACCACACCATTCAAATGAACCTTCTCAAATGTTTATTCTCCTGAAATGTTGTATTGAAAATACAATACAATTGAACATGCATTGAATATATATGTATATTGAGATTTGTACTGGCATAACGTAAGACTTACAATTAGTATAGTATGACATTGCTATTATAAATTATTCAGCTGTAAAGATAAAGTATTTGGATGGTGAAATCTATACTGTTTGTTAACTTTGCAATACAACAATGATTATACAGCTTAAAAATATTAGTGTCCCCTAAGTGTGGACAAAGCGTTTGTATACCATTTGAATTCTTTATTTTTATGACAATAAAGTTAATTAGTAATGTCAGTGATCTTTAAAGCTTTTAATAATAAAACAAGCAGGTAACAGTTATCAGTGAAGTATACAAGTTAAAGAGAGCTAGCCACGCTTTTGGTTAACTTCATTAAATGCTATATTGTGAAGACATATTCAATGATTTTTATGACTCAAATTAGCTATAATAAAAATAGGGGTGAATCATTCACTAAAGACAACTGTTGAACTACATGAGTGGAGACATTGCAACTGTCTTACCTCAATATTGTCATCAGTCCCAGTTTCTATATTGAAGCCTAATTGATTATTTATTTATCCTTAGCTTTCTTTCAGCTTGTTTTATTCATAAAAAAACATTCCAGTATGTACAGTGGATTTTGGAGTACAGCCATATTTAGTAAGAGTGCTTTAGAGCACTTAACAACTTAGAGACAAAGAAATCATTTGTTTGGACTATACAAGTCTCTACAAGTGATTAGTAGACAGTAGTTCAAATGATATAAAATTATTGGAAATTTGCTTACTTTTAATACAGCAAATTCAAATCGTCTCCTCCTGTAAAGAAGTACAGTTCAGATTAATATTAAACATGAGATATATGCTTTAATCAAAAGATGTAATATATTTAAATGGTAAAAATTATGTACCTCTAGATGGATTCTTAGACATTTGAAGGTTTTCTTTAATCACATCTGAACCGGGTGGTATTTCTTTTTTCAAAGATTCAGACACAACATAATCAACAGTTGGAATGTGTGGGTCGACCATTGACGCAGCGAATGGATCCGTTATCTCAGATCTATAATTTCATATAATGTATTGGAATCTATAAAATTAAGAAAGAATTTATTCTTCAGCATAAAAAATTGCATTATATACTTGGCAGTTGGTGGTGTTTCTGACTGTATATCATATAGTCTAGCTTGGGGCAAATGTCTTGCATAATATAAATATTGTCCATAATCCGATTGTTTTCTCTTCCTCTCATTGGGTGGTGAGGGCTTTGAAAGGGGTTTTACAATAGGCACTTCAGACCGTTTTCTTTGATAAGGTTCCCATTTGACATCAGGAATTGGACCCACTGTTGACAACTTTTTGAGGTACTCCTTATAGGGTTCCCTAGGTTGTCGTGGCTCAAGAGCTTTCTTTTTCTATAGTGTAAAAATTAAATTATACAAGATCCATAAACAAGCATAAAGTAATTGAAGAAAACAGGGTGACTACCTCTGTTTGTCTAACATCGTGAGCGATGTGAATAAGTAATGTGAGATTCAAAACCCAGATTATGATTAAACGTGAGAAAATTAATGTTGCGATTATCGAGGGACCCATTGTAATTGATCCAAAAATAGAAGAAGAATTATAAGCGCCCAATGTATCATCTATGTGATGAAGTCCTACAAATTCCAGAAGCTGCTGTAGATCCTACAACATATTCAGTTAAAAAGTTTGCATTTTACATAATATAAATTCTACAGATTAAAGAATTTCTAGATACCTCTGTAAAAGAAATGTCAACAGAGTAAACAATAGTGCCAGCAACATCCAATATTAGAAAGACAGCAGTGGTCACTAGCCAAGGTACTCGCAGTTTGACTCCCTCTGCTCCACGGGTTTCCGCCACCGTAACGACTGTAAAAAAATAATTATTTATATGAATTGATTAATCAATATATATATTTAACAAAAACGCACTTAGAAACAACAGTGATGAAATTGCCCAGACAAGGGATAACATCAAGTATACGATGATCCACATATAAGTTTTGAGGGCTGCTGCCGTCCCATTCGTTGGCCATAATATTCTCGTAGTTGTGGCATCTTCTTGTAACTCGATTTCGACTGCTCCGCACTCACCACCAACAAAGTAAATGAATATATAAAATTCTTGATAATAATTTTTTTTGGCAGTGGAAACCTTCTACTTCCTAGGATTGCAGTGCAAAGAAAAGTATGAGAAAACCATCGCCTATCGAAATAATAGCTGATATATGATAAGATAATGACGGATTATTGTATTAGAAGAAACATATTTTCTTTGACATAAATTGAAATATAATCGGCTAAAAATTATTCCTCTTGTGATAATCGACCAATAACGATTTGCCGCAACGCTTTTGTTGACCAATATTCTTACGATGGGTAATTAGAAATCAATATTCTTGTGCGCACAGAATAGCACTACGACTTAATCATCATTAACAACAATTATGAATCAATATTATTATTTATCTGGTATTAGAATCCTACAAATTGAAACTTCCTATAAGTACTTACTATAAAAGTAAACCAAGTAGAATAAATAAGTTAATCCGCTGCTCTCTGTTACCGATATTTTGCAAGTATAAAGTAGAATACCAAGAATTGCTATGGCACACCATATCAGAGCTTGTATCTGTAATAAATAATTATATAATATCTTAAACTGATAACATGTAATAGAATATATATAGTAGTCAAATCTATATCGAATATATTGTATTTTTATTAAATGAAATTGTTAAAATAGAATAGATGTTACATATTATTATTATAACATACAATTATAATTTTAACTAATGACTAAATGTTTGAAATAAATAATTATACTTGCGACTTACCAAAGAAAATATACCGGCGAATATTGCCCTACTTTTACTGGATATGTGACACGTTGCCATTTTAGTTCTAACTTTTCAGAAGATTTTCGGTTAGAAGTAACTGGGACTATGCGTCTGATTAATACAATTCCTATTGATTCTAAACCAGTGAGATATATACTCATGATCATTCTGATAAGATAAAACATTGGCGGCTCAGCTGAGTGATTATTGAATACAATGACGACTGTCAATCTTGATCTATGAAGCTTTGACGTAAAAGAGAGTCCAACAGGCCTATATACTCAATAGATACATGTATAAATCAATTGGATTAAAGGTGCAGTGAATTAAAAAGGAGTAGCATGTTCAAAATTGTTATATAAAAAAATTGGAATTTATTAAGAGAAATCGTAGACTTTACATATTGTTATACACAAATTTCCATATTTTTTCCTCCTTCCTTTTTTCCTTCATCTCCTTACGCTTTAAGAAATTACCGTGTTTTTTACGAATTATTAAGTGGCACTGTGTGTACCTCTTGTAGACATGACTGACAAAGAATATTGCTTAGACGAATTAGTATGACTTATAATTGATATTTATCATCACGCACACCCGTCTCTCCTTCGGCAACTTAATCAGCAAATTTTTAGTCAACTGTCTGTGGTGATGGACTGCATCATAAGATGCAGAACAAGGAACTTATAAGAACTCTAGAATGTTGAGTTTGAAATTCGAACGAAAGAAACCCTTTCGCGAACTCAATAAATAATTATTAGAGATGAGTGTTATTCGCGGAAAGTGTGAACATTTTCAGGAGACACTTCTATTATTTTGTTTATTGTTTACGAAATTGGAATTGCCAAATATCGCAAGTTGTGGCTTAGCAAATCAATCGGATTTTGAACAGCTAATAAACTTAAAATCTAAAAATTTGCATAGCGGCTAGCAGTAGAACTTTTGACTCCATAAAGAAAGTTGCTGTTAATCGCCATGCAAAAGTTTATTACCTATATAAATAACAGATTGATTTGACTTGAGCGAAAATTCTGTGACTACTTCCCCTCAATTATTTCAAACATAAGGAAAAAAAAGAATTTAATACCTGGTAAGATTTTAATGGATAACCACTGGAAATATGGAGTTCACTTAGTCCTTTCACAAACGAGAATTAACAAACTTTTCAACAAACATGACCTCCCGTTTGCTGTTGGTAGACCTCTATGGTATCACCCTCCTCCATTTCTAAAGTCGTTGGTGTATCCTTTTCATTGATAGGCTGACCATCGAATCTGAATCTTACAGCAGCTATTGCTAATCCCTATGAAAAAATTCAAAAACATGAGAAAGTTTGAGGAAAAACCACTACAATAAATATAAAATGTTAATACCCACTACTCGGTCACAGTACGCATTCATAAGTTTGCGCAAAGGGGTGTGTTTCTTTATTTTGAATTGTACTACAGCATTATCCTGACCAAGTACTTTCAGGTTTATATGTTCAGGCTCAGTTTTGGCCTCCTGCTAAAAAAAATAAAAGTATACGTACAGGTTTTGTTCATGATAAAACAGTTCTCTTGTAAACAAGGTTAGAAAGTTACCTTTTTCTCATCCGACATGATGCACTCCTTTTTCCAGAAATTACTATAACTTTGATATAAATATATCGTCCCTTTCACAAGATTCAGATTATACACTGAACTTTTCCCGTCGGATAAATTATTTCTAGAGAAATGTTTTCTCTCAATGGAAATCCCGCCTTCGATTTACACAGCCAAAACGCAGACGCGTTTGTTCGTTTGGAATTTCAGGAATAGTCAGTACTTAGAATGTTAGCTGCTTCGGATCCTACGTCAATGACTGGCAGTTCCAGTGCCTCTTCAATGTCAATCCTTTCGTCGAAATCGCTTACTTGTGGATGCGGCCATGATGCTCCTAAGATTCTTTCGGCGCTGTCAGCTATATCATCGACTGACACTTGACCTCAAGAATGAATAAGACTATAACGAACAAATAAGAAGATTAGCAATCAGTATTAAGTTTGATTAGTGGAATAGTAATTATCATAAAAAAACGTCGGGTTACCAAATTCGTACCTCAAGCCTTTCTCGCATAGCAGCTTGTTTTCAAATATCCGACTACACTTGGGGGTTTGTCATATCCAAAAAAAAGAACTATATTGAAACAGCTATTATAATCCGTACATAACTAGAAGCCGTTAGTATATTATTGTATACTATACGCATCAGTTTTATCAGTTAGTCTTTTAGGTTGAAGGTTAGATGGTCAGGATGAATCATATCGAGGAGGCGAAGCTTAGGCAGTCCTTAACGGATATGAGGGTAAATTTATGATTTTTTGAAGTTTCTAAAGTATGCCATAATAGGAATTATTTACAATTTAGTTCATCAACGTATCATCTCGTTATTGCATGTTTGACAGATCATCATATATTCACATACTACTAATTTCTAGGGATGTATTCTAAAATTCACTGTCAGTACTACAAGCATTGTCATGTCCTTATTGCATACAGATAAACAGAGGTACTTGGAATACTCACAGTGAATTTTGAAACATATCCTAACAAGTATTGATAGAGACTTATTTTTCAGTATCAAAATCCAGAAATAACACGTAAAGATATTTCAAGTGTGTTACGTGTTTATGGAGGTTTAATGCATAAGGAGGAACGGTTTGGTATGTCAGTTGAATATATCTTTGTTAGTTATTAATTAATAATATTTAATTTTTTTAGTATTCAATAATGGCTCTTGTAAGGAATTAATTAATTTGCAAGGAACAATTCCTGTTAGCTACAAAGGTAAGAATAGTTGGATTAAACATATATGTTTCAGCACTTACATATATTTTGATTTTCAGGCAGTACCTATAATATTCCAATATGCATTTGGCTAATGGATACTCATCCAAATAATGCACCAATGTGTTATGTAAAACCAACAGCAGATATGACAATAAAAGTCAGCATGTATGTGGACCACAATGGCAAGATTTATTTGCCTTATCTACATGAATGGGTTCCTGTAATTATACACAGATATACTGTGATTTTCTAGCAATATGACACTCGAATAAGTGCATTATAATTTACAGCATTCATCTGATCTATTGGGTTTGATCCAAGTAATGATTGTCACATTTGGTGAACAGCCTCCAGTTTATGCAAGACCCAGATCTGATACTCAGTCAACATCTACACCATACCCTGTTCAACGTAAGTAACTTGGTATGAACAAATAAACTTCAAATGAGTAAAACTATATATTTTTTTAGCAGCGTTCATGCCTGTTCCTAGCACAGGATCTAATTCAAGTGGATTCCCACCGTATGTTCCTACATCTCAATACGGCTCAGGAAACACTGCCTATCCTCCATATCCAACAGGTGGAGGACCTACTTTTCCTCAGGCTGGTTATTCTCCTTATCCAGGAACTACGCCAAGTTATCCTGGACAATATGGTGGCTCATATCCAACACCGTATCCTTCTGCTACACAACCAGTGAGTGTATTAATCACTTTAAGCACTTTTTGACTTTGTGCTAAACGTTTTCATTGAACTTCTAGTCCCCAACTTTACCTGAAAGTTCTGGCGGCGGCTCGGGTACAATCACTGAGGAACACATCAGAGCTTCGCTTCTTTCTGCTGTGGAAGACAAACTTCGTCGACGCTTGAGAGAACAGTTTTCTCAGCTACAAGCGGAATTAGAAACTTTGCGTAGAACGCAGCAGGAACTCGTTAATGGTTCTAGTCGGCTCAAGGATCTCTTTAGTAAACTTCAGAAAGAGAAATCGGAGCTTGAAAAGAATATAAATATTTTGCAAGACAAGGAGACCGAACTTGAACGTGAGATTTCAAAGCTCTCGGAGAATCAGTCCATTGACGTGGACGAAGCTGTGACTACTATTGCACCACTATATAAACAGTTAGTAAAATTTTATATAAATTTATATCAAACATCTGACCTAATTTCATGTGAAATGTTATATTGATTACAGTAGAACCTCGATTAACCGGGGCACTCGCGACCGAAGATTCCACGGATAATTGAAACCCCGGTTGATTTGAATTGAACGTAATTTAGTGTTTCGATCAGTACAATTCCAATGCATACAAACTCTTACTTCTATTGTATAGTAATATATAAAGCTCTCTTGCTTCTTATATATATATATATTGAGGTAGCGAACAGTGTATTTAAAGTTCAGACATGCCATGCGCTTGGAACGGTTACGTGAAGCTTAACGCGTATGAGGCGCTAGGAAGCACAGGGTTAACACGTTAAACGCGAAGCCGAGTTTGCTTTTGATTTTCTGTTTAGGCTGTGCCTAAATATAGTAAATGCATTACATTTGATACTGCCGGTCCCTAGGAACCTACGCCGTTTGAAGAGAAAGTTTAATCTCAGTGCCCAAGGACCGATGGCGCCTTTAACGTGTTAGACTGCTCCTCGAATAACCCAAGCCCGGTCAATCGGGGTTCTAATGTATTTGGTAATTCGATTCAAATATAATTATCTTTTGTAGAATGCTTAATGCATTTGCTGAGGAAGCTGCCACTGAAGATGCCATATATTATCTTGCTGAGGGCTTGCGTAGCAGTATCATTGATTTGGATGCCTTTTTAAAACAAGTAAGACAACTGTCAAGAAGACAATTCATGCTAAGGGCCTTAATGTTGCGCTGTCGACAAAAAGCAGGACTGGCTGGCTGATGGACTGGAGCATCATTAAGATATTATTAATACACTTTGAAAATATAATTATGTGCTATTTTACTATTCAAACTGTCCATGTATCTAAACAAAATAAAAATGATATACCTACCTGTAAATTATTATTTAAGTATATGATGCTGTATTAGCTTATTGTTAGATAGAAAACTAGATAAATACAATATTTATATACATGATTGCATTTATTGTAAAAACAAGAAAATGACTGAGGTGTATTGGAATGATCGGTTTAAATGTATCTCCGCACAACAGTGAAAAATTGTTACAGAATAAATCCTGTTAATTCTGGTAGTGATTTAGCTGCAATAAAAAAAATGTGTTACAAAAAACTCCAAGTGAGCTGTGTTCATTAAACATGTAAGTTTACCTAGACATAAATTCCAACCCAGAGAAGCAAAAAGAGTACTCCAAATCCAGAAAATATAGCAGCAACCAATGATACAAGTAATTCCTTGAATATGTCACGAGTAAACTTGGTGCTGGTTACTTCGTAGACGAAGAACCATGCTGTGAAGAATATCCCAATGCCTAAGAGCACCATAGCCAGTAATGGAAAGATGGCTGGGTTGACTGGTGACACATACCTTGTCATAGATTCGATTTCAATCTGTGCCAATAATCAAAACATGTCGAATTAATAAAAGAACTCTGTAGCCTGTTACTCTAGCAGCAAAGAAAAATTCTGGATCAATTATAATTGAGAATCACATAATAGGATGATCACAAATTTTGTCACGTTGAATTGCAATATTTGTCATTCTAGTAGCAACACATTTTTAAATAGGAAAATATTATTCAATTTGTTATATACCATTTTAATATTTTGACGTGGCTTGTGACTGAAACAATACCGGTGGCACTTGCACACACTTGCAACGAGAGCAGAAAGTATAAATTATGAAGGTGTATGAAGGTATTAAAATTATCGAAATATCGAGAAAGGCTCACGAAATTCGTTTGTTCTCAATGCAATAAAAGCAAAATTTGTCCAAAATTTGTCGAACGCATCAATGGCTGTGTTTCCACCGGAAACGACTGGGAATTGAAATGCATTGAAGCCAATATCCAATATAATTTCGCCTGCAGGAAAGTAAGCCTTTACGTGGCATATCCGTCTTTTTTCTTGCGCTTTTCAGAACGTTGCTTGAGTGCGTGAAACTGTGTCGATGGTAGTTTTCCTGGCGGAATGATCGAGGAATAAGGAATTTTCTGATTTATAATGAAACAAAGAAGATGCTATTGAACCAAAATATTTATTGAGCCCTTCATAAGCTTCCGACTTTTTTGGGGGTGAGATTTAATTTTGATCACAATGCACCTTTCTTTGGGTTTACTATAACCTTGCGTTCTGTCAATATGTCAAAAAAATACGTTAATATCTTACGATTCACAACAATTCATATCAAAGAAAGGAACTATATTCTTTGAATCTAGTATTACAGAATTTGTGATTGTTACCTCTTAAAAGTTTTAAGCTGATTTTGGATATAGCATAATGGATTACCTTTAGATGATGCTTAAACTTTGAAGTGTAATTAATATAAAGGGATTATCGTGAATTACCTTATTGGAAGCATACTGAATTCGTTTTTAAAATAACAGCTTTTTATGGTCATGTTGTAAAATATCACTTTTCAGTGATAAAACAAACAATAGATAAGAATTATTTTATTTGATCTTCATCAGTTTTAATTTACAGTAAAATATACAATTTTGTTATCTGATCTTATGTGGTTGGGTCAAGCTTAGATTTAATTTGTGCAGATTCTTCTAATTTGGTTCTTAGCTTGTATATCTTTACGCCAGTTATTCCTTCAGGAGATATATCTTTGAAAACATCTCAAATATTTAATGTTTTTATAATTGACATATAGTCAATTTTATGTCACCAGGTAATATTCAGTAAATTAAATTTTGGATAGAGTTACCACCAAGGCCGGCATGTTTGTGAGACTCTGGCTCCACACTCGAACGTGGGATGAATGAGGAAGAATTATTGAAACGGTCAGCTGCAGAGAGGGATAGAATATTCAGCTGCTATGACCGGGGTAGAGAAAATGGGGTTGAAATTGACCCTTGGGAGGATCCTGCTTACGAGGTTTACCATACAACCGATAGATATGGATTTATCCAGTATGTTATACATCATTGTTTAAACTATTTGCTTCAAATTATTTCCTGAAATTAGTCTATACGTCTTCAATTTTCTTTTTAGTGATAAGAGATTGCCAATGAAAATGGATCCAAATGAAATTAAACTTCATCATGTGGAAATGGAAAGGGTAAAGAAATGGGAAAAAATGACAAAGGACTGGGAAAGCGCCAGCACTAAGGAAAAATTACGGCGCAGGATATACAAAGGCATTCCCGATAGATTTCGTGGGCAAGTCTGGTGTCTTCTTTTGGGTGTTAAAACATTAAAGAAAGAGCAAGCTGGAAAGTACGATGAAATGTTAAAACTCGCTAGGCAATGGTCAACTGAAATTAGGCAAATTGATGCAGATGTTGCTAGGCAATACAGGGATCACATTGACTACAGGTAACACTTTTTCATATAAAGTTCTTGCAGCATCATTCGTAAAACAGTTTTAAATGTTTTATTTATTTTGCTACAGGGAAAGATACAGTATTAAACAACGTTCCATGTTTTACGTTCTGGCTGCGTACAGTATGTATAATATGGAAGTTGGGTACTGCCAAGGTATGTCCGTCCTAGCTGGATTGCTATTACTTTACATGAATGAGGAGGACGCATTCTGGGGACTCTCTGTATTACTTGCCGATAAGAAATACAGCATGCACGGTAGAACATTAAAGTTCAATAAACTTTTTCTACAGCAGGATAGTATCTTGATTTTTATTTTAATAAATTAGGATTCTACGTGGACGGTTTTCCAAAACTAAATCGGTTCATCGAGCATCATGATAAAATCATGAATAAATTCCTACCAAAACTTAAAAGGAAGCTGGATAAATGTGGTTGCGATTCTATACTCTATGCCCTTAAATGGTTCTTCGTAGTATTTCAAGAAAGGGTAAGGCGTGTTATATACTATTACGATATAATTCAATGTTTCCTTAACCATGTTAACCAAGTTCATTTATATCTAGACTCCAGTAACCCTGGGTCTTCGTATTTGGGATGTATTCCTCCTAGACGGTGATAGGATCCTACCGGCGATGGCGTACACCATAATGAAGATGCATAAACGCTATCTCTTACCGATGGAGAGTCTCGATGAATTCTGCAATTATCTGCAGATGAAACTCGAAAAGGATTTCGGCTTTGATGATGACACCGTCATTAGTTCAATGGAACGCAATATAGAGGAACTTAAACGTGCCAAATTAGATTATCCTGGACCACCATTGCCGCAAGAATTGCCACGATATCCCTTTGGTACCTTTAAGGAACCCTCTTTTACAAGCAAGGTAAATTTTTCTCCAAACGACTCAACGAGTGTATATATGATGTCTAAACGGAATACTGTATACATAAAAAATTGTCTCCAAACAGGTAGGAAGACGTAGTGAAGAATTCAGTGAGGCCCAACATGTCATGAGAGATTCTGTTACACAGCGTAGAGATATGGCCGTAATGGAAGAAACAAGGGATAGTTCGACACCTGTGGATCCCGTAAGCTGCGGCGGACTCGGGGGTGAGTTAACTGACAGTGAGAGTGTGATTTACAGTAGTGCAAATCCTAGCTCGATTTATTCTGGTCGTGACAGCACCAGCGTAGATGAGGAGACTGATAACGAATTAAATTCAGATAATGAGTTCATGATCATATACAATACTAGACTCTGAGAGAGCTTCGTGCCATCTCTTTGTGTTACTTCAGTACCGGATTTCCAGGATACCTTAGGATTATAGTACTCTTCCCATTTCCTTTCTTCTACTCTTTTTTACCTTTCTTTTTTTTTGTATGTACGCAACTTTTCCATTTGACGTAGCGTCAATTAACTTCTGCGTTACATTCGGCTAGCAGTATGTCCTTGTACTTAATTTTATATTAGAGTGCCATTGCTGTAATTATTATGTGTTCTGTATACGTACAGCGATTATTAGAGACACTGTCAAGATCTGTAGAGTAAGAGATTATTTAATCACAAATATTTTCACCTGCGTTAACTACGTACCAATTAAGTTTAGTAAGGATTAGTTGAGTAAGGTCAACAGGGATAATAAGGCGACCATATACGGCCTGGCGTACTGGACGACTCGTGCAATTTGTAGAACTGAAAAATCATAGCTTTTTATTCGTCAAATTTGTTCCCCGTGACAGATTAAGCGAAACAGAAGTCCTAGTGTTTCCTGTAGTACTAGTGGCACGTGTCCGAAAGTACCATTGGCATAATTGCGTAATAGTTTCCTCAATCTCTTATCGTTTTTTTCTCAATTAATATCTCTTGTTTAACTTCCACTCACTGCAACATTTACCCTTGGAGATTATTCACTTACTTTGTATTTCGATTGATAATGTCTGCGGTGTATTGAAGAGAATCGGAAGCTTATATTTTATACTTTTACTAGCTTATGTAAATGAAAGAGAAAAAAAGGCTCGTTTCATAATAAAACAAAAACACTAATCTTGTCTTGGAAAAACTTTTGATTTCCTTCGCATGTATTTCCCACGTTTTTTCTTTTCAACTGCACGCACATCTTTTAATGCCTTTCTGCTCGTCACGTTACATTATTGTTTTGTCATTATAAATGGACTATCTCACTGTGAATCACTTTATGTACGATTAATTATCAGATAGTCAAAGACGCACCAGGAAGTATCAAAGTTGACGGTCCGCATCTCCTTCAAATCGAGAATTAAATCCTGAAAATCGACACGATTATACAAGCGAGAAGAATATCTGGATCGTTTAATATTGTTCCCGAGTTTCAAGAGTATTTCAATAGAATCCCACCACGTCCTAGTAGTGTTTCTGAGAAGTGGCTGCTAATTGAAGTTATGCAGATGAATCCTTATTTGTCTGGGATAACAAGGAAGCTCCTAATGTCGTGTGCACGATCCTCTTCCAGGAAGTAAATTCTCCTTCGATCCGAGTCTGGAAGACGGGACCTCACCGAATGGTTCCAGACGTTCCCTGGCAGACACTTCGGTGACTTCCACGGCGGATCTCTCGGTGTTCAGCTCGGCGACCAGGTCGCAGGCGCTGGACAACAGCCTCGACACCCAGAGTAACATTTCGGACGGTAGCTCAGGAAGCGGCGGACTTCCTACTCCGAGAGCCACGCCGCATCAACCAAGTCCTGACGTGGTGAGAATCTACGTTCCGTACACGCCACCGTCGCCGGCATCCTATAAGGACGACCTTCCTCGCACTCTGCCTCGCTCCTTGGAAACGAACAAAATTCGCATTCGGGTTGATCCCGATCAAACTCCCATCGTTGAGAATCTCAAGCCTTTTTCGCTCGAGAGTCCAGAACTCGAGCTTGACCTCAAGTAATATGATCTTCAGATCTCTCTCTTTCTTCTTGTCACGTTAAAAACTGTGCTAGAAAAGAGTATCCCAGTTTACATGAAAATTGAGAGATTCAGACAGAGGAAGGCAATATTAATAATGGGAGGACTAATTAGAAATGAAAAGCAAAAGAAAATATGGATATATTGTAATATAGATGACTATCAGAATTGTTGAATATACATATTATACATAGGGTTATTTAGATGGGTCATTCAGTCAATGGACTCAGGGTCTTTATGCCTGATTATTCTAATCATACTCTAATCTTCAATTAGCCACTCATTATTATGTTTCTCTCCGCCTTCAGGTATATTTATCATTGATTATTGACTCTTCAAACGAGATCCATCTTTCACATTTGTCAATTATTATTTTTATCCATGGTTTCATTATTCGTGCACAAGCAATAGCTAACTTATTTTCACATTTCTCGGTCAGCGTACTGACTCCGACAATTGACAGGAAATAGAGTTCCTCGACTCTTATTGACTGGTCTTGCAACTGTACTGTACCTAATGGTTTTTTTTATATCTATTAATATGAATATTCTAATCAATAATTGGGCATGGAAAATTAATCGTCCCCAATCACATCAGAAGAAGACAGAAGATTTTTTGTCACCTATTTAAATTCAAGTTTTCTTTGATGGGACCTATTCGAGGAAATATTTAATAATTCATCTTCAATGGGCGGTAATGGACGTGAAAAATTACTCACTCGTCTCCTCTTATTACATATATTTATATATATAGTTATTATAGTTTTTACATTACACAATATGATTTTTATACTTTTTCTCATAAGTCGGGAATTTAGCAACGAGAGGATACAAATTCCGCATTCACGAATTCACCAAAAGACGAATCTATAGGCAACAAGGAATGTAATGATTGAAAACAAAAACAGTCATATTACGATATTAATTACTTTGATAAGTTGTATCCAAGTTCAGACATTCCTAGTTAATTATAAATACGCGTAAGGATTACACACGACGAGGAATTACTTAAAGCGAGACTTATATCAACGACGAAACGGAGAAGGATAAAAACAACCAAGAAATACATACGGTTCCTATTGAAAAATATGAACGCATCAATTTCAAATTGTTCAGAAGAAGGAAATAAAGGATATAAAAAGGATATAGCTCCTTAGACAATAACGACACTGTTTCTATATATTGAAATTTCATAGTCACGTACGAGAGATGGTACAATAATCTTTATTTGTCGATCGAAAGAGGAAATAAAGTGAAATGAAGTAAAAAAAAAAGAATCAAACGATAATTAGCTTTCATTACTTTGAACGTGATAACGAAAAATACGGTTCAGTCTGTGGCCTAAATCTATTTATTATAGAATATATGTTGACAAAATTATTTCTCTTTTATGATATGTAATTCGCAAAGTCCACGAATGGCGCACTCAGATAACTAATTTAGTTCTGTACGTTTCTACGAAAACAAATCTTTTCTATGTTTCAACGGCTCTCCTATATTAGACCTGGATAATTTAGCCATATTTTTAGCTGCGACTATCCTGTCCTCGAAGAGGTCCTACCGACCGTGGGGACGATCAGGAAATGCAGGAAGCAATCGCGAACGTGTATTCCAATATTATTAGCAATACGACTGTCTGGTCTGACGGAATGAAGGGACACGCTTGAATGTAAATCACATAGTATGCGTGTAAAAATAATTAGATTAAAATTCCATTGTTGATTAAATCTACTATTAATGAAAGCGTCAATATTAAAATGAAAAATGTAAGATTGAACAAATTTTAAAAAATAGTTATCTTCCGGGTAAGATGACAAAGAGACTCCTGCGATTACAATGAAGAATAATGAGAATCAAAGGAAGAAATTTATTTGCATTTAGTCGCCGATGAATAATTATATATAAATTGTATTAAAACATAAATTGTAAACGAAAAATTCCCTCTACTCTGGTAAAGAAACAATATTATTGAGAAGCTTCTGAAAACATCTGACGTAATACTTTAAGCAAGTATCAGCACCTAATCCTTTTTTATAAATGTCCTAGTATAGTTGAGCGATGAGACATAATATAATATAGCGCGTGCTTTGACCATCCAGCATATTCTCAACCAGATATAAGGGAATCATTGAGTATAGATTAAGCGAAAACCGATGTTATTAGTATAGTAAGACGCTATGTGGATGTTTGGCAGTGTAGGAAAGGACAAAGGCGAGCAGAATGAAGATAAAAAAAGAAAAATTTAATCGTAGAGATGATATTAACGATAAGAATCGATTGCTATAAAGGCAAAGCACGAAAACTGTATATTAAAATGAAAGGACAATGTAATAGAGATATAGAAGAAGTAACATCAATTGTCCGTCGGATGTGTTTAGTGCGGTGGGAATAATAAAGTAGCCAAATAAGCTTTTTTGACTAAATTATTATTTATTGTACAGGCAGTACTGGGCATCAAGGTCTCGATGAAATGTACGGCGATGACCGCGTACATAAATCTACCTAAAACGAATGTACAGTTTTCAATTTTAATCTCTTCTATTTTGGTAATGCAACTGGGACACAAACTTTCTCCTTATTGTTAAATAACTTTTTCCACTTTCGTGATTTTCACATTCCTTTCATATACATACTTCAGTTAAGAAGTAAACAATATTAATCAGGAACAAATCTCGCCTAATTCCCTAATATTCTGTAATTCTTTAATCATGTACCCTAGTAAAGAAGAATATGTACAGGCTTGCTGGCGAGCTAAAAAAAATGAGAAAGACTTTTAAAGCCTTCTCAGACTCTCACTTTTCATAATTTTTCGTAACGACACTTTTCTAATAAATATTGCGATGATAATATTACAAGGGGGTGGTACAACACGTAACTAGGTTTATGACACAGTGACTTTATCCTAGTCTTCACTCAATGCTCACTTAAGATAAGTACACCGTGATAAAACAGTTTTTTTCTACAGTATCCTTTTAAGAAAAGGTTTCTCCTCGTTGATTGGTACCGGTTTGCCATTTACAATCACTTTTGGACCGGTGTAATAACGCCACAAGATGCTGCTTCCTCGTTTTAGTTGGTTGGTGGCAGCTAAGTGAGCCCAACAATGAAGCCAACTGTCATAAATTGGCATTTGAGGTGGAAGGCCAGCAACGAGACTAATGTACCAGATAATCGTATTAGTCATTTATCATTATTGAGTCATTTACTTGTTAATACTTTTAATTACTCACCCACAATTATTTACAGCCATACAGTGAGACACTACCAACAATGGGTATGTAATTGTAGTTGCCAGGAACTATAAAATAATCAGAATATAGTTACTCAGCAAAGATGACAAAGTTGTTTAAAAATGAGAAAGCTTACTGTCATTGTGGGGGATGTATAGGTTTTTGCTTCCCGATCCTGAATAACATATTTATTGATGACATATGTAGAAACTCCTACCATTATAATTGCTGCTGTATTTGCAAGCAGACGCGGTACTAATCCCGCATAAAATCCCATAATACCATTTGCTCTATAAACCTCAATGAAGGAATGGAAAAAACCACTAAAAAGAACATAGATTTCTAAATTTACAGAATTCATGACATAAGTAATCGAAAGATTCAAATACACACTTGTACTTGGTTTCTCCTCCCACAAATTGTGCCATTGTCCTTGTAGCAATGACATCTAAAGGATGCCTTACAACTATGACTACAATTTTGCTAATGAGTTCCCTTATTATATCCTGTATGCATCGTTTACGCCTGTTAAATAGAAAGAAAATGAAAAAGCAATATTTTGATTGCACTTTCTTGATGAAACATACTTCTCAGGTTCTGGTAGATCCTCTATGTCAACATCAGTATTCTTTTCATTTTCAAATACAATGCAAGATGCTGTTTTCTCGTAAACATACTCATTTAACGTAAAGGCACAGAGTTTAGGGACAAGACCCCTGTAGCAGCCAGTAAAACCATCAACATTCTTGATGTATCTAACTGAAACATTAAAGGGGGTACTTAATGAGGTCTAGTTTCTATGATTAGAATGGGTAGCAAAGGTCAATGAATTGTTTGGTAGTAGCAAACAAGTAATAAATTGGTATACCATATTCAAAAACAGTAGGCAGAGCCAGTGCAGGAGTACCGAATAGGGTCGTAGTCGGTCTTGGTGGTATGGGCTCGTGACCGATCTGCAAAATCCAGTAAATAAACGCGTCAGGATGATAACCTTTTTGGCTTTCTGGGGCATAATTCGATGGTTCCTTCTACCTGTATTAAAACTTTCGCGTAGTCGATGGGATGTGATATAGTGTTGACCAATATACGAACGGCAATCCGCGACCAAAGAGGCTCTTCTTTCGTTTGATTCATCTTTTAATTTCAATTTAACCCGGCGCCTTCTAAATTCTTTATCCCTGTACCATAGACATATAGTATGTTATCTATATTCCACACCTCAGAGATGAGTAGGGAGATGCACAACGCTCCGGTTTTAGGCGATACCAAAAGCATGGCGCTAAATCGTAGCGGCGAGTCCGGGAGTAGGATTTCGTGATCATCGCCTCTGTCGATGTTACAGATTTCGCGTAGCCGCGCGGGTCATGATCATCATTCTAGCCGATATTGCAGTCAGAGAAAATGAATGGATTGCTCGGTGGTGGGGAAAATGTTGCCGCCCCTCACAAACCGTTCTTGACAAACAGGCGGGGCAGCAAGGTCTTCCGTCCAACCGAACCCTAAACGTTTGTATGGACGTAATGCGCAAACAAATGTGTATAT